AGAATGTTAGCCACTGGGTGGCAGAGAATGTTAGCCACTGGGCGGCAGAGAGTGTTAGCCACTGGGTGGCAGAGAATGTTAGCCACTGGGCGGAAGAGAATGTTAGCCACTGGGTGGCAGAGAATGTTAGCCACTGGGCGGCAGAGAATGTTAGCCACTGGGCGGGGGAGAATGTTAGCCACTGGGCGCCAGAGAATGTTAGCCACTGGGCGGAAGAGAATGTTAGCCACTGGGTGGCAGAGAATGTTAGCCACTGGGTGGCAGAGAATGTTAGCCACTGGGTGGCAGAGAATGTTAGCCACTGGGCGGGGGAGAATGTTAGCCACTGGGCGGCAGAGAATGTTAGCCAATGGGTGGCAGAGAATGTTAGCCACTGGGCGGCAGAGAATGTTAGCTACTGGACGGCAGAGAATGTTAGCCACTGGGCTCCAGAGAATGTTAGCCACTGGGTGCCAGAGAATGTTAGCCACTGGGCGCCAGAGAATGTTAGCCACTGGGCGCCAGAGAATGTTAGCTACTGGACGGCAGAGAATGTTAGCCACTGGGCTCCAGAGAATGTTAGCCACTGGGTGCCAGAGAATGTTAGCCACTGGGCGCCAGAGAATGTTAGCTACTGGACGGCAGAGAATGTTAGCCAATGGGCGGGGGAGAATGTTAGCCACTGGACGGCAGAGAATGTTAGCCACTGGGCGGCAGAGAATGTTAGCCACTGGGCGGCAGAGAATGTTAGCCACTGGGCAGCAGGGAATGTTAGCCACTGGGCGGGGGAGAATGTTAGCCACTGGACGGCAGAGAATGTTAGCCACTGGGTGGCAGAGAATGTTAGCCTCTGGGCGGCAGAGAATGTTAGCCACTGGGCGCCAGAGAATGTTAGCCACTGGGCGGCAGAGAATGTTAGCCACTGGGCGGCAGAGAATGTTAGCTACTGGACGGCAGAGAATGTTAGCCACTGGGCGGCAGAGAATGTCAGCCACTGGGCGGCAGGGAATGTTAGCCACTGGGCGGCAGAGAATGTTAGCCACTGGGCGGCAGAGAATGTTAGCCACTGGGTGCCAGAGAATGTTAGCCACTGGGCGGCAGAGAATGTTAGCCACTGAGCGGCAGAGAATGTTAGCCACTGGGCGGCAGAGAATGTTAGCCACTGAGCGGCAGAGAATGTTAGCCACTGGGCGGCAGAGAATGTTAGCCACTGGGTGGCAGAGAATGTTAGCCACTGGGTGGCAGAGAATGTTAGCCACTGGGTGGCAGAGAATGTTAGCCACTGGGCGGCAGAGAGTGTTAGCCACTGGGTGCCAGAGAATGTTAGCCACTGGGTGCCAGAGAATGTTAGCCACTGGGCGGCAGAGAATGTTAGCCACTGGGCGGCAGAGAATGTTAGCCACTGGGTGGCAGAGAATGTTAGCCACTGGGAGCCAGAGAATGTTAGCCACTGGGCGGCAGAGAATGTTAGCCACTGGGTGGCAGAGAATGTTAGCCACTGGGCGCCAGAGAATGTTAGCCACTGGGTGCCAGAGAATGTTAGCCACTGGGCGGCAGAGAATGTTAGCCACTGGGTGGCAGAGAATGTTAGCCACTGGGTGGCAGAGAATGTTAGCCACTGGGTTGCAGAGAGTGTTAGCCACTGGGTTGCAGAGAGTGTTAGCCACTGGGCGCCAGAGAATGTTAGCCACTGGGTGGCAGAGAGTGTTAGTCACTGGGCGGCAGAGAATGTTAGCCAATGGGCGGCAGAGTATGTTAGCCACTGGGCGACAGGGAATGTTAGCCACTGGGCGCCAGAGAATGTTAGCCACTGGGCGCCAGAGAATGTTAGCCACTGGGCGGCAGAGAATGTTAGCCAATGGGCGGCAGGGAATGTTAGCCACTGGGCGCCAGAGAATGTTAGCCACTGGGCGCCAGAGAATGTTAGCCACTGGGCGGCAGAGAATGTTAGCCAATGGGCGGCAGGGAATGTTAGCCACTGGGCGGCAGAGAATGTTCGCCAATGGGCGGCAGGGAATGTTAGCCACTGGGCGGCAGAGAATGTTAGCCACTGGGTGCCAGAGAATGTTAGCCACTGGGCGCCAGAGAATGTTAGCCACTGGGCGCCAGAGAATGTTAGCCACTGGGCGGCAGAGAATGTTAGCCACTGGGCGGTAGAGAATGTTAGCTACTGGACGGCAGAGAATGTTAGCCACTGGGCGGCAGAGAATGTTAGCCACTGGGCGGCAGAGAATGTTAGCCACTGGGCGGCAGAGAATGTTAGCTACTGGACGGCAGAGAATGTTAGCCACTGGGCGCCAGAGAATGTTAGCCACTGGGCGGCAGAGAATGTTAGCCAATGGGCGGCAGGGAATGTTAGCCACTTGGCGGCAGGGAATGTTAGCCACTGGGCGGCAGGGAATGTTAGCCACTGGGCGGCAGGGAATGTTAGCCACTGGGCGCCAGAGAATGTTAGCCACTGGGCGGCAGGGAATGTTAGCCACTGGGCGGCAGACGGTTAGCATTAGGTAAACATTATGTAAATTGGTACCAATCAAGTTTGGTGAATTTCCGTCAATTAGCTGTGAGTTTCAGTTTCAGATCTGGTTTACTTCGTGAGGTAGGTTACATCTGGAATTCTTCAGGCGTGGAGTTCTCTACCCCTGCAGTGCTGGGGGCATGGACATCATGTCAGGTTGATCTACGGAGATGCAAGTTATCACTCTGTGGTGTCCTGGAGTCTCGAACAGCCATCCTAGCCTACACATACTATCCAGTGCAGTTTGCCCTGTCAAGTACTTCCTACCTTCGATGGCTATTACCACGGTGACACTACTGTACATCCGAGACTCACATAAACCCGTCGCCTGTAGGTTGCGGTAGACGCCACCCTGTGAAGTATTGTGTTGTCGATAAATCTTTTATGTTCGTTTGAGTTAGACGAATTAGAACATAACAAGTCGTAAGCCGTTTAGTCAAGAAACATGCTCAGACTGGTGATGTAGACATTTGGGATTCCATTTATGCACACGAAGATGTTTCATACATCAAAATATGCCTGTGTTTGTTTGAAGGAAACATGTTCTTCACCGACTTTGCTGCAGGCTTCAATGCAGGGTTGGAGCACACAAAGACTATTCTGCTACCAGTGCAAATAAAGAATGTTTATTATAACATGTTAATGTCATTGTGTGTATATACTTCACATAAATAAAGTATAAGTTTACTTTTCTACAGTCTTATATACATTAAGTACAAGATTACTTTTCTATTTTTCTTGGATCACTCCATTCTAATACTTAGGTAACATAGGGTAGACCAGTCAGTGCCTTCCGCCATGACCTACATTGTTTTAAGGTGTGTGACAAATGGGACGCGAAACTAATGGAAGACCGATTACACTGGCCCAGACTGACCCAAGCGGGATTCTCTCTACTGGTCAGTTCTCCATGCGATACTCACAGCGTTGTGTGTCTCCCAGATTTTTCATCATGTCCAAATGTCGCATTCTTGCGTTGTCGACTTTTAATGCGAGATCGCGAGATTGCCAGAATGTCCCTTACAGTATTCCATACCTTACGGAGCTATTTCGACGTCGACTTGACCTCGGTTATTTCAAAGAGTTCACCCACATTATCTGTCTGCAGACTTGATGACTCAAGCCTTTTTCTTCAACGCTAAATCCTGAGCTAATTTCAGTTGTAATCTCTTCCTAAAGCATGTCGCCTTACTGCTGTGTCCGCCACAATTCATTGTTTATGTCCGTCAGCTCATCTCAGCGTTATGATTTTAAATTGTTTACAAATATAGAGGATATTAATACATAACGCCGAGTGGTTAAAGCATTCGTTCGTCACGCCGAAGGTCTAGGCTCGATTCCCCACATGGGTACAATTTGTGAAGCCTATATCTGGTGTCCCCTGCCACTGCATTGCTGTAATATTGAATCAGGCTCGCTGACTTGGTTGATGCATGTTTCCCAATTGCGTGAATCGATGCTCATGATGTCAATCACTGGATTGTCTGGTCCAGTCTCGATTATTTACAGACCGCCGTCATATAGCTGGAATATTGCTGAGTGCGGCGTTAAGCAACAAACAAACAAACAAACCATACGCTGTGGGGATAAGGCTTACATAGAATGTGTCTGTTTGCAATTGCTCGCCACCCTGTAAATATATAACTTCAACGCTTGAGAATAACAGTATCGATTATCCGCGAAACAGATTTCATTGGACGTAAAAGACAAAATCGTGGTGACAGTTATGCGATTTGATCACTGAAAATCAGTGATGACACCAGGTGTTCGCGAAAGGGTAAGCATGTTCTGTTCCACCGGTAACACCAGCCACTCACAGAATTTTGCATAAAAAATAAATGTTTCTTTGTTGCCTGACGCCGCACAGTACTCCTGCCATGCGACGCCAGCCTCTGAGCAAACCAGACAATCAAATAATCAACGAACCAGAAAATTCAGTGACACGAGAGTACCATAAATGATTTTGCTGAAAGCTAATAGAAACGGTTTGAAAATACGTGTGCTGTGACAAGAGCAGCGAGTTTGCTGCTTCTAAGTAAAGAAAAACGTTAAGAAAAATATTCTTTTTCCGACACAGTGGGGCGCAGTTTTAAACAAATGGTAACAGTTCACAGATCAGCAAAAGTATATACCAGTTAACCCCATTGGCAATGTCTTTACACAAGCCAGGGATGCTTGTGTTTGTTTGTTAGCAAACGCCGCACATCAGTAATCCTGCATACGGACAATCGAGTCCCGACCAGACAATTCCAGCGAAGGAACAGGAATTCCAGTGACACGACAGCGCATTTACTAATTCTAATTCTGTTTTTGGGGCTGTAACGGAAAACGATAGAACACGGAAACGTGATCTCTCTAAATCTCATACCGAGAGATAGGCGTGTGATATCCTTGACTTTGAAACTTTATAACGGTAAGCGTGTCTAATCTTCGCTCACCGCAGTACAAACATGTTGTCTCGTTCGTTATCAAATACACCAATTTGTACCTGCCATGCGAGTAACGCGAGTAGTACAGACCCTCTCTGCATCCAAGACTATTACAATAGCTTACTGAGGGTTTACAGAGACCAAGAGTTGACAGATGGGTTGGCATGTCACGTGGCTTGGCTTGGCGTTGTGCACCGCTGTGTGACATGCTGTCGATAAAAACTGTTATATTTGAATTCCCTCATCTGTTTTACGTACATACAGGTATTAATCATGGACATTAAAAGCAAGGCCTTCGTATACGTCTGTGTGACAGTTTGGTGTGGATTATCGGTGATATACATGAACACAGATTCGTTCAAGCAGCCATTGTAAGTATATCTTTGTCCATGATAAGGGCGGTGGGTAAAGCGTTCGATCGTCGCACCGAAGGCGGGTTCGATCCCACACATGGGTACACTGTATGAAACGTTTTTGGTGTAACCCCCCGGATGTTGCTTGAATATTGCTGAAAGCGGCGTAAAACTATATTCATTCACTAATGGCGTATTCAGCAAATAATCTTATTTTCTTAACATATGCGTATTAGTTTACATGAATATGCACTTGTTGTCCTAAAAAATATTTACAAGTATATCTAAAGCAAGAACAGGAAGCTAATGTACATCATTTATGTAACGACCAAACAGTGGCAGCATTGTAATGACACAATCAGCGGAGTAAAACATATACCCCCCCCCCCCCTCTCTCTCTCTCTCTCTCTCTCTCTCTCTCTCCCCCTCTCTCTCTCCCACCCCCTCTCCTCTCGTTCCCCTCTTTCTCTCTCTCCCCTCTCTCTCTCTCTCCTCTCTCTCTCCCTCTCTCTCCACTCTTTCTCTCTCCCTCTCTCTCTTTCTCCCATCCCCTCTCCTCTCGTTCCCCTCTTTCTCTCTCTCATCCTCTCTCCTCTCTCTCCACTCTTTCTCTCATCCTCTCTCCTCTCTCTCTCTCTTTCTCCCATCCCCTCTCCTCTCGTTCCCCTCTTTCTCTCTCTCCCATCCCCTCTCCTCTCGTTCCCCTCTTTCTCTCTCTCATCCTCACTCCTCTCTCTCCACTCTCTCTCTCTCCCTCTATCTCCCCTCTTTCTCTCTCTCCCATCCCCTCTCCTCTCGTTCCCCTCTTTCTCTCTCTCATCCTCACTCCTCTCTCTCCACTCTCTCCCTCTCTCTCTCCCATCCCCTCTCCTCTATCTCCCCTCTTTCTCTCTCTCCACTCTCTCTCTCTCCCTCTCTCTCTCCCATCCCCTCTCCTCTCGTTCCCATCTTTCTCTCTCCCCCTCTCTCCCTCTCTCTCCCCTCTTTCTCTCTCCACTTTCTCTCTCTCCCTCTCTCTCTCCCATCCCCTCTCCTCTCGTTCCCATCTCTCTCTCTCCCTCTCTCTCCCCTCTTTCTCTCTCCCTCTCACTCTTTCTCCCATCCCCTCTCCTCTATCTCCCCTTTTTCTCTCTCCCTCTCTCCCCTCTTTCTCTCTCATCCTCTCTCCTCTCTCTCCACTCCTTCTCTCTCCCTCTCTCTCTTTCTCCCATCCCCTCTCCTCTCGTTCCCATCTCTCTCTCTCTCCCTCTCTCTCTCCCATCCCCTCTCCTCTCGTTCCCATCTCTCTCTCTCTCCCTCTCTCTCCCCTCTTTCTCCCTCCCTCTCACTCTTTCTCCCATCCCCTCTCCTCTATCTCCCCTTTTTCTCTCTCCCTCTCTCCCCTCTTTCTCTCTCATCCTCTCTCCTCTCTCTCCACTCCTTCTCTCTCCCTCTCTCTCTTTCTCCCATCCCCTCTCCTCTCGTTCCCCTCTTTCTCTCTCCCTCTCTCTCTTTCTCCCCTCTTTCTCTCATCCTCTCACCCTCTCTCTCCACTCCTTCTCTCTCCCTCTCTCTCTTTCTCCCATCCCCTCTCTTCTCGTTCCCCTCTTTCTGTCTCCCTCTCTCTCTTCCTCCAATCCCCTCTCCTCTATCTCCCCTCTTTCTCTCTCCCTCTCTCTCTTTCTCCCTCTCTTCCCTCTCATCCTCTCACCCTCTCTCTCCACTCCTTCTCTCTCCCTCTCTCTCTTTCTCCCATCCCCTTTCTCCTCGTTCCCCTCTTTCTCTCTCCCTCTCTCTCTTCCTCCAATCCCCTCTCCTCTATCTCCACTCTTTCTCTCTCATCCTCTCTCCCTCTCTCTCCACTCCTTCTCTCTCCCTCTCTCTCTTTCTCCCATCCCCTCTCCTCTCGTTCCCCTCTTTCTCTCTCCCTCTCTATCTTTCTCCCATCCCCTCTCTCCTCTCTCCTCACTCTCTCCCTCTGTTCTCTCTCCTCACTCTCCCCCTCTGTTCTCTCTCCTCACTCTCTCCTCTCTCCCTCCCTCTTCTCTCTCTACTCACTCTCCCTCTCTCCTCACTCTTCTCTCTCTATACTCACTCTCTCCCTCTCTTCTCTCTCTTCTCACTCTCCCTCTCTTCTCGCTCTCCTCACTCTCTCCCTCTCTTCTCTCTCTCCTCACTCTCTCCTCTCTCTACTCACTATCTCCCTCTCTTCTCTCTCTCCTCACTCTCTCCCTCTCTTCTCTCTCCTCCTTCGCCCCTCTCTTCTCTCTCTCCTCCTTCGCCCCTCTCTCCTCTCTCCTCACTCTCTCCCTCTGTTCTCCCTCCTCACTCTCTCCCCTCTTCTCACTCTCCCTCTGTTCTCTCTCCTCACTCTCTCCCTCTCTTCTCTCTCTACTCACTCTCTCCCTCTCTTCTCTCTCTCCTCACTCTCTCCCTCTCTTCTCTCTCCTCCTTCGCCCCTCTCTTCTCTCTCTCCTCCTTCGCCCCTCTCCTCTCTCCTCACTCTCTCCCTCTGTTCTCTCTCCTCACTCTCTCCCTCTGTTCCCTCTCTTCACTCTCCCTCTCTTCTCTCTCTTCTCACTCTCCCTCTCTTCTCTCTCTCCTCACTCTCTCCCTCTCTTCTCTCTCCTCCTTCGCCCCTCTCTTCTCTCTCTCCTCCTTCGCCCCTCTCTCCTCACTCTCTCCCTCTGTTCTCTCTCCTCACTCTCTCCCTCTGTTCCCTCTCTTCACTCTCCCTCTCTTCTCTCTCTTCTCACTCTCCCTCTCTTCTCTCTCTCAACACTCTCTCCCTCTCTTCTCTCTCCTCCTTCGCCCCTCTCTTCTCTCTCTCCTCCTTCGCCCCTCTCTCCTCTCTCCTCACTCTCTCCCTCTGTTCTCTCTCCTCACTCTCTCCCTCTCTTCTCTCTCTACTCACTTTCCCTCTCTTCTCTCTCCTCACTCTCTCCCTCTCTTCTCTCACCTCACTCACTCCCTCTCTCTCTCAGCCTATATAGTGATCTCAGTCTAATCATTGTCCAATTGTAACGGCAATTGCAGCGCTATGCTTGTCATAGGTGTCAGTTAATCTGTGAGTGTAGCGGCAGTCGTAGCGATACGATCGCTTTGTGGAGCGGGACCTGGCAGGAATATTTCTCTCCTGCATGTCAAAGCTAGGCTTACAGATATCAGAGGTGCAGATAATTTGATTAACAATTATGAGTTCACGTTACGATAGAGTTAGCCACGAGACTTCTAAACTATCACAGTTCTTTGTGGATCCATGTCTAAAATGGCGATCCTCGATCTCCAGTACTTCTTGTGATAAGAAACTTGATGGTCTCCTGATTCGACTTTTAAAACGTCCAGGCCGTTATGGCTGTATAAAAACTCCTGAACACACTTGTGTCGAATTCCCGGCTTTGTCGAAGTGATAAATCGGCACCGATGAATCTTTCACTGCTTATCGTTATTTGACCTCTGATAAATGGAATGTATCGAATTTTCGGTTGTCTCGAATCTATTTCGACTAATGCAACAACAAAATTCCCCGATTCGTGGAACTGCAAGCTCAACATGAACTGTCATATACTGTAATATACTGGAATTCACATGACGTACATGCAGTTCATGATTTCGAGAATCTGCTTCTGGATGTGACAAGTCGAACTTGTAGCAGAGATTTCATATGATTATGAACCTGTGAAGATCCGAGCAACCCTTTCAAGAACAGCTGATGTCCATATGTGATATTTCAAACATCGTGTTATTAACGAGTTGTCTTCCCTTGTGTCGTCGACTTGTGAAATCAATTAATTTAAAGCTTCTGGCTAAAGTACCATACATACGACTAACATTATTTTTATAAGTGTATATATTTTTTAACAAACATATGCACACAGTAGATGTTCCGTTTCGTTTATGTATATAATGTAGTAATACTCTATAAGTAAAACCAGATACTCGTGAAGATCCGGGTTAGAATAGGTCTTCAGCAACCCATGCTTACCGTAAAAGGCGACTATGCTTGTCGTTAGAGGCGAGTAACAGAATCGGGTGGGGAGGCTCGCTGACTTGGTTGATGCATGTCATCGTATTCCAATTGCGTGAACCGATGCTCATGCATGATCTCTGGATTATTTGGTACAGACTCGATTATTTACAGACCGCCGTCATAAAGATTGAATATAACAACGAAAACAACGAACAAACAAACAAACAAATCTTATTAGTATGGAAATAGTTTTGCCATTAATATTTACTTGTATTTTGATTTAATTTTAGCGTGAAGATCTCCCAGTCTCGTTTATTCACATTTTTACATCGATGGCCAAACACTACAAACAGCGATGCAACAAGTGGACCTTTATATTTGAAAGAAGAGATTTTACGAAAAGGGGCAAAATACAATGTTTCCACCTTTGCTGATGCAAATACATCATACATCTATTTAAAACAAAATGCAACCTGTCATCAAGGTGACCTCATCCTAGTCCAAATAGATCTGTATGATGCACAAGGCACAATAAAGAAAACTGGAGGTGATTTTTTGAGAGTGTGGATGGAAGACCCCAAGAATGCAACTTCCGTTTCCGGTCAGGTTTCCGATCACAACAACGGAAGTTACTCTGCTGCCATCATCGCTGTGTGGGCAGGGCACGGCACGATAAGAGCGTTCATTGCTACAAGGCGGGAGGAGATTGTTTACTATTATAAAATATACGAACAGTATACCAGTCTCTGGCCCGCATATGCTGATTTCCGAAAGAAGGGGTCGAATCTTACAGGACAAAGCACTTGTTCAATAACAGTGCCAGGTGATGAAACAGCAGGAAATTGGTGCAATTTTACCCTGGAGAACAATGGCTTCCCTTGGTACTGCTTGAAACCCCCAAACAAACAACTGGCATGTCACATGTGGACTTATTCATTCTCTGGTCTCAGTTTCATATTCAAGCTAAACAGCAGTGAAGACAGTGTTACACGCTGGTATGTATATTCCCCCGCGAAGATCCGGTTTAGAATTGATCTTCAGCAACCCATGCTTGTCGTAAGAGGCGACTAACGGGATCAGGTGATCAGGCTCGCTGGGTTGATGCATGTCATCGTATTCTAATTGCGTACAGCAATGTTCTTGATCTTAAACACTGGATTGTCTGGTCAAGACTCGATTATATACAGGCAACCATCATCTAGCTGGAACATTACTGAGTACGGCGTTCCACAGCAAATAAACAAAGAAATTGTATGTATGTTGCGAAGTAGACTTGCTCCAAGGTTGTACTGAATGGTGAGTCCATTGGTGTATAGTAATTCCATCTATAATTAGGCAAATAGGCAAATCTAGATAAGTGGACACTATGACCATTCTCTTACAGGGATAATTTGTTCTTATTATTTATATAATCAATAAATTATGATTTAAACTTATAAGTATTGCCAGAGAGACTTGTGCAAGTTTAAGCGGGACGTGAATCGTAAAAAAATAGTTCAGGTGGGAATTTTAAGCACTATTTCAGTATTCTAACCATAACTTCAGCAGGTAGGGGTCACGAATAGGCTTACTACAGTGTACCTATTGAATCGAACCGGGATCTTTGCGTGACGAGCTCATCTTCCCGAGGCAAGTGAGTTAACTGACTATAAATTTTAAAAGTCCAGTTTCCACCCTTGCCGAACTAGGCTGGTATTATGGAGTTACATTTTGGCTGGAATAACGAGTCTATGCATAGTCCAATCTAAATCGCGCACTGAAATCGAAATCCGGTCCGTAGAGTGTCATGCAGATTTCGGTCGACTGCAGGATTTGCAAAGCATGTGCACCGCTTACTCGTTGTTAACAGATATTTTCTAAACCTTTTCATGCTTTTTATCAAGGTGCTCACGTGATTTGATGCACTTCGCGATGTAAGACTCGTTTTATCACAATATAGATCTTGATTATCAATCAGATCGTCTTGACTGGGCGCCACCGTTTTGTTTGAAGCAAATGCAAGTGATACGAGAAGTTGAATCTGATTGGTCAATAGGAGAGGCATAGAAAGGACATAACTCGTAATAGCCACTGGCGGCGCTACGATCGAGCCCAGGAATTCCAGCCTAGTTCGGCAAGGGTGGAAACTGGACTTTAAAGTCAGTTAACTCTCTTGCCTCGGGAGGATGTGACGAGCTAGGCTGTACTAGCACCCCTAACGAGGGTAGTCACACGGCAGTCATGTTGAAAGCGAGAACTTCGGTAGAGGTCGTCTCATTGTCCTAATGGTGAAACCGATGATATTTTTTCTGATAGGGTTCCAACATACGGGCCTCCAACGGTGTATCTTCCCGAGGCAAGGGCGTTAACTGACTATAAAAGTCCATTTTCCACCTTTGCCGAACTAGGCTGAAATTTCGTTAGTCCATTTTGGCTGGATTAACGAGTCTATGCATAGTGCAATCAAAATCGCGTAATGAACTAGATTTCGGTCGACTGCAGGATGTGCAAAGGATGCGAACCGTAAACAGGGTGTCGACAGATATTTTGCTAATCATTTCAACGTTTAAATCAAGGTGCTCAAGTGATCTGGTGCACTTCGTGGGATGAGACCCGTTTTATTAAAATATATATCTTTATTATCGATCATATCGTCTTGACTGGACGCCGTTATTATGTTAAAAGCATAGGCAAGTAATTTGAGAGATGGAATCTGATTGGTCAATTGGAGGGACATAGAAGGGACATAATTCATAATAGCCACTGTTGGCGCTACAATCGAGCCTGGAAAATCTAGCGTAGTTCGGCAAGGGTGGAAACTGGACTTTTAGAGTCAATAAACACCCTAGCGTCGGTAAGATGAAAACGATTCAAAAATCATGTTTTTCAGTTTAGTGATTGACTCATATGATTACAAAATATGTATTTCCATAACTTGATAATTAAGGAAGCTGCAGCCGTTTATGTCACACGTGTCTAACGTTGGGTGGGATGCCCACAAGAAGCAAAACTATTTTCGAATTATTTGTTCCTACTCATTGGTTAAAAAGTGTCTAATAGACTAAACACAGGAGTGTAAAAATACATTGAATGCCCAAAGATGAATTGAAGCAGCCAGTGGGATTGATAACATTTCAGTCCACGCTCAATGGCTAAAGAGAGTTTCTGTGTATTGTGTCAAAAAAGCTGAATATCCTGATGAAAGGCCATTTGATTTACGTAAGAACAACAAACAAACGAGCAAACCTAATATATCTTGATTAACCATTTAATACATCTCCAAAAACTTACCAAGACGCAAAGACACACACAAATACCAAATTTGACCGCATTTACCGTACAGAGTTCCGCCCTTTCCTTAGTATAATGTTGTAGACATCCTAGATACTTTTTTCTTGTTTTTATTCACACCCCAATATAACTGAAATAATGTGGCGGCGTCAAACCCAAATCACTCGTTCATTCGCTTGTTCGTCAGAATTTGACCGCCACAACCGCTGACGATGTTTTTAATGCTTACTGTGCAAAAATCATTGAAATAAACGCTTTTGTCATTAAACTTAGTAAATACCTCCACTGGATGAAGCTCTGCTTTCAAAAATTGTTTTGGTAACGGGCCATGGTTGTATCGTTGTCAGTTTCTGAGGTATGGTTACCTCATCTAGTTTTTAAAAAACCGTGATTCTCCAAACAAATCCGACAAGGCTCATCCTTGAGACCATCGTGAAATGTTGTTGTATCAATCATTGCCAGTTACTTTTGCAACCACTGCTTGAGTAAGCGTGTTGGATTTAACGCTGCCTTGAACAGTTTTCCAGTTATATCACGGCCTGTCAGCTTAATGTGGGAGGAAAGTGACGCAGGTCTTAGGCATTGATCACTTTGGTAAAACCCACGAGCATGGGTATGGTGCTGACAATAATCGGGGAGAATCGGGATTTGAACCCACGATCATAAGTTTATGTCGTGCCGAAGGGGGAGGCAACTCTGCACCACGAATTGCGGCCCCTTAGAAAACTTGGCATGCGGCCACCACTGCTTGAAAACTCGCGAGAGTTGGTAGCTACAACACCCTTACAGGTGGCAAAACAAGATGCAGACACTGAAAAACAAAGATGCAGACACTGAAAAACAAGGATGCAGACACTGTACCTACATATGAATGTTTCTCACGCAGTAGTTACTATCCCCTCCCACGAAGTGGGGAGGGTGATATAGGAACGAAGTTCGTCCCTCCGTCAGTCCGCTTCTCAATGTAGACAGATTTTCTCAAAAACTATTCATGTTAGAGAAATGAAATTTTACACACTGATGTTGGTGTCGTGCATTCATTTTTACAGAGTTACAGCCCTTGATCCATGTTATTTTAATTGGTGCATAGTGTGTACAATTGGGACAAGGTTTTTTTCTCAGAAACTACTGAAGTTGCACGAATGAAAGTTTGCGTGTTTATCTAAGAGATACTTGTCAAGACTGAGGTCGGAAATTGGTCCCGTCAATTGTTTGTTTACAGAGCCACGGACCTTAATCCATGTTATTTTACTTGGTGCATAGTGTCAGCATTGGGGACAAGTTTTCGCAGAAACTGTCGAAGTTAGCTAATCTAAGAGATGCTTATCAAGACTTGCTTCCAGAGAAGGGGCCTTTTGTGTGTATTAATTTCACTTTTATTCATTTTTTTCGGGTGACACGAAGCGGCCCAAGTGCCTATCTCTTCTGAAGGCTTTTAGGACTTTGTTTTTAATAGTTTTTATTCACTACTATATGGACAAACAAAATTCTAATTGTGCCCCATGGCGGGCGATAGTGGTGACGCTGTTTTCTTGTTTTGGGTGATATGTGGAATATATGTAATTGATAACAACAACGGTCATTCCAGTATTGACTCATTCCATGAGTTACACATTGTTCTTGAACGGGAGAATGACAACAGACCCTGTAGTGCATACACTTTCCTCATGAATAAAATAGAAGCATGGAAGTATCTGCTTTGAAGTGCGACTGCACTAACGGTATTTCCCCAAACCGGAAGTAACGTCATCAGACCGGAAATGCATATATTCTTTTTTTGTATTAAGCTAGGTCGAGACATTGCACTTTCCGAATTAAAGCTGATCTTGATTGACATTGTGTTTCCACAGATCTAAATTAATGTCAATAGGTTGGAAGTTGTTTTGTAAGAGACAGAATTTCGTTTTTACCCCTGAATTTCAGATGGTCGGCCTCTCATCGATCACTGTGAAACGAAGGTCGGATAATTGCATAGTTTTCAGATCATTTTATAAGCCTTTCACAATCAGAAGACTCAGTTGCGGAGGTTATTATTTCATGTGTGGAATTATAATAAATGTAGATTGAATCATTTATTTTAAAACTTTTTACTTTATAAAGGTCTTCCAAAGATCCGCAACCAGATATCCTAAAGCGGTTTGTAGACGTATCCATAGCAACCGGTAAGTTTGTTTGTTTGTTTGTTTGTTGTTGAACGCCGCACTCAGCAATATTCCAGCTATATGACGGCGGTCTGTTAATTATCGAGTCTGGACCAGACAAGTCAGTGATTGACTTCATGAGCATCGATCCACCCAATTGGAATACGATGACATGCATCAACCAAGTCAGCGAGCCTGACCAACCGATCCTGTTAGTCGCCTCTTACGACAAGCATAGTCGCTTTTTACGGCAAGAATGGGTTGCTGAAGACCTATTCTAACCCGGATCTTCACGGGTCGTTAAGTAATGTCTCCACTCAAGTCTTTTCTAGCTTAGCATCTTGAAATTTCAACATAGCATCTGGAAATTTCAAGATAATAAGTTGAAATGTTAAGATTATCACATTTCAACTTAGTATGTGTCCGGAAATCTCAACAAAAAACAAATGGACCTAACAAACAGAGGCCTTTCAGCATGTTTCAGGGACATTTGTTTTTGTTGGGTTTTTTTTCCTTTTGACAAAGCTGCCACTAACAACAGAACTATTAACACTGATTACCATAATGGTTTCTCTCAACTTTCAGCTGACACAGCCTCCACATTGCCCTTAAATCAAGTGGCGTGTAACAAGCTCCCGCCATATATAACGTGGCAACGGAAGTCTCCCAATGGTTTCTTCCACCAGGACAAGTGGCATTCGTTACTGTGCCATGACACGCTGCCTCGCACCATTGATGCCTACAGACAATGCTTGAAAGGAAGAACGCTCTGGCTTCATGGGGATTCGACAAGTGATCAATTCAAAAAAAGTCTTCACTCCATCTTGCGCTTCCAGTCACATGCAAATGGACATATGCCTGTCACTGACACAGACTGGGTATATGAGTTTTCCGTTTCTTTTCAAGCTCACGAATTTCCGTTCTATCATGGCAAGTCGCACTATCCAAGATCATCAAACCAAGCACAGCACATCATGCTGGACCGTCTCCCGAACGCAACCAAGGATATAGTTGTCCTATATATGTACGTTCATTTCACGCTTGTCCACCCGGATGTGTTCAGGCGACATGTTCGAAAACTTGTTCCTTCTGCAAAGAACCTTTTGGCGCGAGCTCCTAATGTTACACTTGCAGTTCGTGGGCCACACGCATTTTTCAGATCGAGCAAAGGTTTGCTATCCTACTGGGGACTTCATTATGCTGATATTTGGCATCAGGAATTCGCTTCGCTACGTGACAAAATCGTGTATCTAGATTTCTGGGATTTGACCATAGCAAAGACGCATTACGATTTTCACCCACTCATGAAAACGGTGCATGAAATGGTTCACCATATGATGTCTTTGTTGTGTCATAGAAAGTAACACGTACTATTTTATTCTAAAATATTCAATTTTATCTTGGAGATCTAGTGTATTAATGTAATACCTAATGATTCTGTTGTATGTTTACGTAACATATAGCGGCAACCAAATATACCGCCGAGCAAGAGAAAGTATGTACTTGAAAACTGGATGCCCCCCAAATTTCAAACATCGAAACGTTACTAGGGTGAAAACAGTCGCGGAAACACTGCAAGCCCGAGGTCCAACACACAACTGTGATACCCATGTCAAATACATCTTTATGGATTAACAATTTCTTCTGTGCTTCATTTTTAACCACCATCAAACGTGTGTGTATGCTTTCTTTAGCCCGGCAGTTTGTGTGAGTGAGTGGGTGTGGGAGTTGGACACCGCTTTGGACAATAGTTCAGTCATATTGCGTCAGTTCAGTGTTGGGTAGTGTGGGAGGTGAGGTGAAATGGGGCTTACCGTCGCGTCCAAGATTATTGCCCGTATATAGTGTTTGTGTGTGGCTGCTGGTAGTAGTCCGGTTCAGCCGATTTTATAGTGCTAACCCTCTGAGATACCATGCCGCAGTTTAACATGAATACCCCACTCAGACACACACTGACTCCAAGCCGACCAGTCTTTGTTTTTGCCGTGCCAAGCGCCATCAACAAGTACACTTTCTGAACGTCTTTTGGTATGACGCGGTAGGGGATCGAACCCTGGACCTTCCACTCTCCGGGTGGACGCTCTACCACTAGACCACGGAGGCAGTGAATAGTGTTGGAGTGATGCCGGTCTTAGGCAATACTCACGTCGTTTATACTGGGATAATATTCAGATCATATACACAAAATTTCAGCTTCACAAACAAATGTCCTTTGAGATAAAACTAGATGGAGAAAAGTGAAGGTCTATTGTCATAGCTGGGTCACAATTCAATCAATCAATACTTTATTCATATTATGCATATTTACATTAGTTATACATGTATTTGGTAGATATTTACTTCTAATAGCATCAAAAGTAGCACATAAAGGACAGTTTCTCATGCAATTTCTCGATTTTGTTGCCACCTACTTTCATTATTTCTCAACCGTAAAACTCTCCCTCTAAACTACACTAAAATATTGCGAAACGTTAATTCGCTAATTGCATAGATTCCTAGAGATACTTTTCTGGTTCCAACAAACTCTAATATTCTCTATTAAGCTTATATTATTAATAGTTGATATCCAATTTTAATGAAACACATTAATAGCACAATCCTCCAACGTACTTATTAAACTTTTTTTTTTATCTCCAACTGCTTGTGACAGCCAAAAAACATATAAAACCATGACAAAAAGGTAGATATCTTATATTTGAAGCCCAATTTTTATACCAAACATTATCCAAATAATGTAACATGCTTCCATATAAGGCAAACCAAATAATGCCACGACAGTGAAGCCCCTGGACATATAGTCATCTGTTAGGGCCATTTTGTTTTCTTATTTTTTTCCTGAACTTTCAAGAAATTTCCTGAAATTTCCTAAGTTGAAATTTAAAATATAAAGAACAAATTGCCCTAAAAGGCTTCCGTACTTCAGTCTTCTAACATGTTAGTGATTGAGTGGAGAGTGAAACTATTGAGTGTGAGTGAGTTGGGTTTAACACCGCTTTTAACAGTATTCCAGTTATATCACGGCGTGTCAGCTTAATGTGGGAGGAAAGCCCGAAGTGATGCAGGTCACAGACGTTTACCACTTCGGTGAAACCCACGAGCACGGGTATGGTGCTGACAAACCTAGAAACATAATCGGGGAGAACCGGGATTCGAACCCACGATCATAGGTTTCTGGCGTGCCCAAGGGACGCAACTATGCACAGCGAATCGCTGCGCCTTAGACGACTGGGCCACCCGTGACCCCGAGAGTGAAACTAAGCGAGTCCATGTTACAACTTATTTCCGACAGTGAGTTTGTCGCTAAGGGTTTGACCAGATACATTTGAAAGCTAAATACTCCATTCAGACGTCAAAGTTAAAATGTTCAAATGACTAATCAAAATGATGTCATTGTGGTTCTAAATGGCTTCATGGTATCCCGACATTACCGTGATTCGGCACAGCAACTCGTTATTGGTCAGTTTGTGTGATATACGATCCTGGTAAGTGTAAATAAAGAGAGGTCTCTAATTCTGTACCGGAACCGTATATTACACATCTGACAAATAACGAGTTCCTGTCAGCAGTGTCGGTGAAAAGATGATACACAAGGACAATGAAAACCTTCACCCGTCATCCCTGAACTCTCTTATAAAAAAAATGTATCTGTCGGGGCGGGGATGATAGCGTAAACAGGTTCAGCGCGAAAATATATTTTGGTTGAAAAGTCTGTGATAATCCGTACCCAATCTCCCCAAAAAGCTGTATCCGCCCGCCCCTGCAATGTCATTACATTTTGAAAGAAAATGACTGAATTATGGCCATAATATATTTTTTTCAGCTTTCGTTTGTCTATTTATTGTTTAACGCTGCACTCAGCAATATTCCAGCTTCATGACTGTGGTCTGTAAATAATCGTGCTGGACCAGACAATCCAGTGATTGACATCATGAGCATGGATCCACCTAAAGGGGATACGCTGACATGCATCAACCAAGTCAGCGAGCCTGACCACCCGATTCCGCTGGTCTCCTCTTAAGACAAGAATAGTCGCCTTTTACAGCAAGCATGGGTGTTTTGAAGGCCAATTCTAAAACCCGGATCTTCAGCTTTCCGTATGGCTAAAGTGCATATGTCAAATCAAGGTCAAAATTTAGAATATCACCAAAAAAATGAAATACTCATGTTGAACTCAACAACTAGCTACATATGAACCTAAGCTCATTACATTTTGAACCAAAATGGCTGAGTAATGCCAAAAAAATAGATTTTACAATATGACTGACTCATTGGCCATACTAAACCACTTGAACAAATTGGGGGGGGGGTCATCATCGGTAGGACCAAACATGCGAGTTTGTGGTTCACTGGTCCGGTGGTTTCTGAGGGAAATATGTTTAGGACGGTAGACAGACAAACAGGCCATGACATTAGCTTACTTGACTTTCAGTCAGTTGAGCTAAAACCAGGGGTTGCATGGAGGTCAAATGGTGGTAGCTGAATCAAATGTCATGAACAAATGCTCATGATATCTACTTAAGCTTATGGATACCTGTGGCCATATTGGTAATGCTGAGAGACTAATCAATGAGCTACAAGAAGGTAGGGATTATTCATCTATAGGGCTGGGACGGGTAACTCGGTACTCAGGTCGGGTGGGTACTGAGATGGGTTCGGGTACCCGAAGGACTACCTGGACCAGGTACCTAACCAGGCAGTAAAGTTGGACTCATCCAGCCCTATCCTGTTACACAATGGCAGCCTGTAAATGATCCAATCTGGCAAGCTGAGAATTCAAAGCACGAAGCACGCAATTGGGATACAATGACATGTATCAACCAAGTCAGCGAGCCTGACCATCAGATCCCGCTTCTTACGACAAGCATAGTTGCCTATGTGGTTACACTACAAGTCACTGATGTTCGCATTTCTTTCTGACTTGGCACCCTATCCCTCCGACTTAAATAAAGATAAAACTTCAGGGTATGCATGGCCTGATTGTTTTATATGTGCATGTCATAGTTTTTGCCAGCGCTGCGGTAAAACAGTTCTCAATCGGAGATTATGTACCCAACTCTTGAGGCCTACAGTGGGTGCCCGGACAGGGTCGGGTAATAAAGGGGTGGGTACCCGGGGCAACGTCGGGTAATAAAGGTTTGGGTACCCGGGCAGGGTCGGGTAATAAAGGGGTGGGTACCTGAATACTAAATTTGGACTCGTCCCAACCCTACAATCAAGACAAATATTTAACAAATTGACACACAAGTACAAGTGAGAGAGAGGTTTTTGGTGCTTTTATCAATATTCCAGCAATATCACAGTCAGAGACAACAGGGCTCCACATATTGTACACGTGTGGGGAATCAAACCCAGGATAAAATGCGATCACCTTATCCACTAGGCTACCCCAGTACCATCAGTGATCCTGAAACATTTCTTTCAGTACTCTGCGATATCACTTATTGTTATATTGGTCAACATCATATAATCTGTGAGACCCACCAGGAGAAAAGGGACCTTATGGGTGCTTGGATACAATTATGCTGTGACCTCTTATGACGTTTGACATCCACTTACTTCAGTGAAGATCGCCATGTGTGATGTCATGTATCTCAGTATTAAATATGAATTGAAGCTTGTGAATTATACTTTTGTTTTCCGAAGATGCTGTTGTGTTAACATATAATGAAAAGTCAAAATGTGATTTTTCACCCATAATGTCCCTTATCTCATGGTTGGTCACATATGCTAAGGGATGTTAGCAAGACTTGACTTTCTCAGAATGTAACTTGACCCATCTCACCAGTTGTTCCTCTCAATGACTGATGCATCCTAACATTGTCCGAGAATATTTGCCACAAATCACCACCCATGGATACATATTAAGGGTTCAAGTGACAGCTTTTTCACAAAATGAATTATAATGCAATTTAAACAATATTGTATTGAACAAATTATTCATTTGTGGCTTTAGTTGTTTCTTGTGTTAGTTGGGTGAGTGAGTGAGCTGGGTTTAATGCTGCTATGAGCAGTATTCCAGTCATATCATGGCATGTCAGCTTGATGTGGGAGTAACGCCTGAAATGATGCAGTCTTACACGTTAACCGCTTCGGTGAATCCTACAAGCACCTGTATGCTGCAGACACGAACCCAGAAACACTGAGGGCGAACCAGGATTCGACCACATGATCATAGGTTTCTGGTGTGCCCAAGGGAAGCAACTCTGAACAAATAATTGTGGCGGCGTAGATGGATGGGCTACACGTGCCCCTTGTCGTTTCCTGGCTGCTGATGCTGGTGGTTGATGCAGCTGAATATAGCAGTGCCATCAATATAGTCACAGTGGTCATTGGTTGTGGTTGTTTTGATTGAGCAGAATCTACACAGTGGTGTTATGTGGCACAAACTGACCATGCAGCATGGGAAACAAATAAAAGCTTTTCCCACCTTTTCTGCAGTGAAGCAAGACATCAGGTAAGGGTAAGTTGGTTCTGGGTTTGAGGAAACCCTGTTCTGTATCACTTCCGAGGCTATAAAAGTCCAGTTTCCACCCTTGCCGAACTGGGCTAGAATTATGTAGGGTTTTGGGGGGCTGGACTAACGAGTCCAATAAAAGTCGCGTTACGAAATCGACATCCTCGTAAACTGCTGTGCAGATTTCGTTTGATTGCAGGATTTGCAAAACATGTGTAGCACCAACTCGGGGGTCAACAAATATTTTCCAAATCTTTTCATGTTTTTAATCAAGGTGCTCACATGATTTGATACACTTCACGAAGAAAGATATGTTTTATCACAATATATATTTCGATTATCAATCAGATCGTCTCTACGTGGCGCCGCAATTTGGTTTGAAGCAAATACAAATGATATGAGAGGTGGAATCTGATTGGTCAATAGGAGGGACATAGAAGGGACTAAACTCGTAATAACCACTGGTATCGCTAGTCCAGAACTTCCAGTCTAGTTCGGTAAGGGTAGAAACTGGACTCTTACAGTCAGTTAACTCCCTTGCCTCGGGAAGATGGCTCTGTGTTTGTTTCAGAAATCATTGATGATTTTTTACAATCATTTAAGATATGAATTATGTTCTTAGTCATAAACGTTTCACACATGTCAGAGATAGACACTATTGGTCATATCCAACTAGTCCGCAGTTCATTCAGACTAGCGATTATGTACAATAAATAGATTTCGGTTAAAACAACTAGTATGTCTAGTATTGTTACTGGTCTAGGATTAACAGACTAGTGGCCGTGTCTATCCCCACTAGACTAAAACGTATAGGTAGTCTAGTTGTGTTCTGATCTACTAAAACCCTTAACTCCTTGTATACTGTACCATTTGGAGTGAGTGATTGAGTTTGGCTGCTTTGCAAGTATCTCAGCACTATTGCAGCATGACAGCTCACTGTGGAAGAGAACACCACAGGCACAAGTGTGGTGCTTACAAACCAAGGATCATAATCAGGATTCAAACTTGATCAGCAGATCCAGGCTAAACTAAGGGATGCAACTCTGCTGAGTGAATCCTGGTGGCTTTAGTTTACTTCAAGGCTACCCATGCCAACAGTAATCTATAAATTCATTAACTACAAATGTAACATATCATAACCACCAGTACATCAACATAAACAAAAACATAACTCGATGATTTCTACAAACCAAGAGAAGAGAAATCTGTTGTCGCCAATTTCAACTTATCATCAATGATATGCTACATCATTATAACAGTAACATGCAAAGCATCAGGTACCCGTACTTCATATTAACAAACAGTTGTGTTATACTCTCCATAATGCACTACAAACACTATCCGCTAAACACCCACACATCTTTATCACAGTGATGCATGGCCTATTCATTATTTCTACAGCATGGATTTGACAGGTCGGTGGTTACAGGGATGGTTACCTGTGTCTTTCAGACATCAGCATACTCACCGAGGTCTACAGCAAACATTCATAAAACAGACTTAAAACTTTTCAATTCAGGCTATCGTATTCATAACTAAAATGATACAATGAAATGTATAAATGTATTTTCATTAACCTGACAGATCTGTCTCTCATGTATTCGAAATGTTAAAAGTAACAACAATAAAAGTCACTTTTCAAATTATAATTGATCAAGTGCATTGTACGTATCAGTACTCTCTGGCCATTGATAACCTCAGAAGAACAAAGTCTTCTTACAAGAAAATATATAGCATGGTAAGCTATAGTATAGCATTAGTTACGTTATAATGGATCGTAATGGTGAATTCTTACTAACCTATTAAATATTTCATGCACAAAATGTTTCTTGTTCTCTGTTCAACTTTTATGACATATCAATTAGGATTGATCGACGCTTATATTCTTGACTATAAGCAAGGTACCTGTCGTTAGCACCTAAAGGGCAGGCAACTCTATATTATCACGGTATCACTATTTTGTAGTGTGATACGTCTGGAGAATGTGGTTTACATCACTTCCTGTTTTGGATTATACATAATCAGTATGCATATGACCTAGGTTAGGTCAAGGGACTTCATTTAATCAAATGGGTTCTTTTCTAACCAATTTCTAAAGGAGGTAGGGGTAATTCCACTTCAAAAACATTCCAGAAACTTATCATGAAATAGTAAACACGTACACTTACGAGTAGCCGTGACATATCACAATGAGTCCTATTTTCAATCAAGCGTTGAAATATCATGCTTAGATTTGTAGAAGTAAGCAGTTGACACAGGGTGTGGATTATGAGATTTATCGATACCGCGGTGATATAGTGACTGTGATAATTATGAGTTGTACTAAACATAACCTTCAATATTTGTTTTTAGGGGATAAACTCACTGTATCTTCAATGTATCGTGATACATATGATACACTACATTACAAGTTATTTTGGTGTAAAATTAGGTGACTAATAACAGATGTTTAAAATTGTTTAAAATGCTAAACAAACCTGTTCAACAGCCAGCTTACACTGATTCTCTAGTATTTCCTGGTTGGCTATAACTAACATAACAGTCAGACTGCCTTCTCACCTATATGTTTTTGCCCCACAATATCCCATCTTTGATCTCTGAAATTCCAAATTCAAAAGCAAATAATTCAGGGTTGTCATTCACCTGCAAAAAATAAAGTATATCAACCTATGTAATATAAGTACTGTATCAGGATCACACCCATCGTATCAGAATACATATTAACTACGACCTATGCTTATCATTGCACCTCATACTGTCATGGGCACTTAGATTAAATTCCTTGATAAATTCCTGCAGTAATGTAACTACAAAAACAGTAGCCCCTATGTACAAACTTCTTAGTAAGTTTCATACAAATCATAAACCTCACTAAGATAACTTATTGTAGATCTCTTCTCATTAAAAGCATTCAAATCTAAACACATATTAACATGTATTAAAAGCTCTCTTTATCACACATATACACCTTTCACACAAACTAGGCTTAACGTTTTTAATTATGTGTATCCGTTTTTGTAAAACAATCCTTAACTAAAACCAACAATCATCATAAACTGTGAATGCCTTCTTTCCCAGCATTCTCTGTGAATGTCCGAGTTTTCCCACGTTCCTGTGTGAGCGCCCTGTCGTGGTTCCAGTACTCCTCGGTCTGCATCTCGGTCAGCCTGGACACTGTCCGGTCAAACGCAAACAGTTCCTCTTCCCCTGTGAAGATGCTGGACTTGGCCTTGTCCGAAGTCTGGGAGGAAAACAGAAAGAAGTCATTCAGGCCAAAGTAGCAGAGCAGTGTACGGCTGAGACAGCTCGCATGACTTACATACACAGGGGTACTAGGCTATATCACTGTCCTCAGACTTCAGGATCAACAGTGTGTGACGGCTGAGACAGCTCGCATGACTTACATACACAGTGGTACTATGCTATATCACTGTCCTCAGACTTCAGGATCAACAGTGTGTGACGGCTGAGACAGCTCGCATGACTTACATACACAGTGGTACTATGCTATATCACTGTCCTCAGACTTCAGGATCAACAGTGTGTGACGGCTGAGACAGCTCGCATGACTTACATACACAGTGGTACTACGCTATATCACTGTCCTCAGACTTCAGGATCAACAGTCTGTGATGGCTACAATGACGCATTGACACATGATGCTCAAAGAGTATTTGGCCCTGCTCTGCACTGGAACATTCACCATTTCCACAGGGTGAAGGTCAAGGCACCCTGGTATCCTGTAGCAAGGCATCCTGAGGTCCTTGAGATTTGCTGCTTAAGAATTTTAATCTAAGGACCCTGCACTCTCAAACATTCAATATTAGGTAAAACTCAAGGCACCCTAGGGTCCCAGAGGTTTGCTGATAAAGAATTTGAATCAAGGACCCCTCAGTCTCAAACACTGAGCATTAGGCACAACTCAAGACATCCTGGGGTGCAGAGGTTTCCTGATAAAGAATTTGAATCAAGGACCCCTCAATCTCAAACACTGAGCATTGGGCACAACTGAAGACATCCTGGGGTCCTAGAGGTTTCCTGCTAAAGAACTTGAATCTAAGTACCCCTTAATCTGTCAATCTAAAATATACCCCGCCAGTATGTGCAGGTGCTACTCACTGCCTGGATGCCGAGATCGTCCATGAGAGCCATGTTTGCCAGCTCATCCCGCTGACTGAGAGTCCCAGCGGAGAACAGGTGCCTGGCCTCAGCTTCAGCAGAACAAACCACCTTCACCTGTAGACATACACAGCACACTGTTTGATTGGCATTCTAGAAGTTGGCAAACACCTCTCTTACTACTGCAGACACATCACATAGCAACTCTTCAAACTCAATTTGAAACTATTTACAACATACTACTCAAATGAAGTGAAAGATTAATGATAATAATATGAAAGAAGGTGTGTTCCTCAATTTCTATTGAGTAGTACATAATTCTATTCATTATGACTTAATAAGCTTAACAGAACAAACAATGGTTGCCTGCACCCCTTGAAATGATCAGGAAACAGGAAAAGGAAGTTCTATTGAGGGAGACAATTTGTACCCATTAGTTGATTACACTGCACAGCGTGAGGTTTCAAATGTTTCATGTCAAACCCACGGGCTATCTAGCTCCACAATAAAAAACTCAGAACATGTATTTCGATTCTACGAAGACACAATACATGGCCATTTAAGCCCCTGTTTCTCAAAATCAGCTGTTTCAATAAACAGGGATCATTGTGATTTGAAACCTCAGTTTGACTGATAAAGTCATAGTAGTATTAAGGAAGAGAAATTATGAGGAACACAGCGTAAGAACAACAAAGAAATAAGATAACAAAGGCGGAAACTTAACAAGGGAAGCCAACAGATAACTGGCGGGGATAGGTGATTAGCAATGGACAAATGGAAGCCAACACTTAACAGTAAATTGGTGCTGATAGTTGATTGCGGTAGACAAATGGAAGCCAGGACTTAAATTACCACTGATTGGTAATAGGCAATGGACATATATGTTTTCTCTGCCTCATAGCATATATTCACCTGACGAAGGAGTAAGTTTTTTACTCCGAAATGTTGTGTTCCTCGTAATAAAGAAGTTGACATCCATGAATCCTCTTCCTTGTGTGTATCACTTCTAGAAGCCTTTCAAAGACCTGGACGTATTAACCTTTCAGTAATGGTTCCAGTGTGCAGTCTGTCACATACCTTATTATCATAGAAAGTGTCTATGAGCGTGATGAACCTCCTGCCCTCAGTCTTGTTCTGCAGGGTCATTGTGGGGATGTCTCGGATGATGACGATGTCAAACTCCTGGCTGATGCGGAGGTAGTCTACAGCCCCTAGTGCCTGGCAACACAGCAACAACCAAACATTTCAAATGGAAAAAAAGCCTTGCTCATCATGCTTATGCACTGAAAAGAGTGAGTGAGTTGGGTTTAACGCCGCTTTTAACAGTATTCCAATTATATTGCGGCGTGTCAGCTTAATGTGGGAGGAAAGCCCGAAGCAAAGCAGGTCTGAGATATTTACCACTTTGGTGAAACCCCCAAGCACGAGTATGGTGCTGACAAACCTAGAAACATAATTAGGGCGAACCAGGATCCGAACCCACAATCATAGGTTTCTGGCGTGCCCAAGGGATGCAACTCTGCACAACGAATCATGGTACCTTAGACGACTGGGCCACCCGTGCCCCGCTTAGATGACTGGGCCACCAGTGCCCCCCTTAGACGACTGGGCCACCAGTGCCCCCACACTGAAAGGAATTGTTATCTTTCCCTCAAGTAAATGATGTACAGTAAATCTGGAAAGTTTTACAAGCAGGAACGTACTGCAAAAACTGTGAGTGACAGAGTCGCAACAGTTTCATGACGCAGTTATCTTTGCAGACCAACAACAAACAAAAGACATGAGGCGGCATATCTTTTTTTTATTCACTTCCACACATTGACAAACCAGCCAGCACTGATTAAAGAAACAATTCCTCGCATCCTGTGTTTCCCTAATTACACATTGTCACTTAGTATCATTAGTCTAATTAGTCTAAGTTCACTGACGTGCTACATCTCATCAAATTGTTGACATAACACCAAGCAATCCAGATATACACCTGTCTATTCTGCTAGATAAACACGCCACACCCCACTCCAACCTTCCTAGTCAACAACAAAACATGCATCTATACTTTAAAAATCACTGACAGACACTGAGTACCGTGTGTGAAATACCCATAATGTCGGAAAGCGCATGTTAATTCTCCAATAGTAAGTAATTAAGTAACACTGAGTTACCATTTCATAATGCCGTTTCCTACATATCAAATATAACACCTGTAATAGTACCTTTCATATTTAATAATGTTAACGAGTGGCGCAAAACTTTCCAGATGCACTTACGGCTATTGTTAGCCGCTTGCAGTAATTTCACGGCGCAAAACTTTCCAGATTTACAGCATAAATTTTAGTAGGCATTTAGTGATTTTGTCAGGGGTATTTTCACTGACCAACATCTTCATTGCCCCAAATAACAAGGTCTTAGTCAGGTGAGTTGGGTTAAATGCCCCTGTGAGCAGTATTTCAGTTATATGAATGTGTGTCATGAAGAAGAAAAGTCTTAGTGTTTACAATTTGGGCTTAAAAATATAAATGAATTTGTTCTCAGGTAATGACTTTTGAAAATATATTTTGAGCAGGCAGTTGTTTAATTTTGGGGGGCTTTTTACCAAATAAACAGTTGTGTACCATCGACCTGGTTAAGGCCTCCCTACATAAACAATCACTTCTTTTGCCTCCATGACCATAACACAAGATGTGCAGTAAAGCGATGCGCATGTAAAGGGAAGTAACTGCGTGTTATATTGGATCGCATTGTTATAAAGTATTAGGATTTTATCATTTTTTTAAAAAATGGAATAAAAATGAAACATGCATATGATGATGTGCCTGAGAACCAAGGCTACTATTTTTTTTAGCTTTAGTGAAACCCATGTATCAGGGGTACATTTATGTACTAACTCATACGACACAGACCCCTCCAGCATTACTGAGTTATAATGTCTGCTGAAGTTGCAGGTAGCTAGAGAGTACGTACAGTCTTGCATAAATGGCTGAATGATGCGTAACTCATACGACACAGACCCCTCCAGCATTACTGAGTTATAATGTCTGCTGAAGGTGCAGGTAGCTAGAGAGTACGTACAGTCTGGCATAAATGGCTGAATGATGAGTCCAGAACTCGACCACACGTCACCGGCAGCTTCAGGTCCCGGCCCAGGATTCTCAGAGTTCGAGGACGTATAACTGAAATCAGCATAAACACATTTATTACCTACGTGGGCAAACATATCGGGGTTCATAAAATCATATATGCCCTTGGGTCATATCACGTCACAAGACAACAGTTTATTATTTCCGTCATCCGGACACTCATATAATATCCTCTATGTTCTCTGCTTAATCAATTTGTCTTTAAACTGAATTTATTTAAGAAAACCTGCTGTTTACTAAATTTCATGTTAGAGAGGGACTGTGCTCCAAAAAACCTGCTGTTGACTAAATTTCATGTTAGAGAGGGACTGTGCTCCAAAAAACCTGCTGTTTACTAAATTTCATGTTAGAGAGGAACTGTGCTCCAAAAAACCTGCTGTTGACTCAATCATATGTTAGAAAGGGACTGTGCTAAAAAAAAACATGCTGTTGACTCAATTTCATGTTAGAGAGGGACTGTGCTCAATGGTCAGGTGCCTATTTCAATACTTGATGTTACTCAGTGTCCTGTGGGAAACTGAGACATCGTCTCTGCGTAACTAAGGTGCTCATTTACCATTAGGCTCATATACAGTCTCAGCGTCAGTCATCAGGCAATCATAGTGGGATTTTAATGCTTTGACCCAAGCTTGCCAAGTCCCCCTATAAACAAGCATACCATACTCAATAACTTTCTCATAGTATAGCAACACAGCCCACTAAAATAATAGCCGTTCTGCTACATTACTTGATGGTAGTGAGTGATACGAGTTTGGTTTATTGCTACTTCGAACAGTATTCCAGTCATATCACAGAGTGTCAGCTTGATTTGGAACGAAAGCCCTGAGGCATAGACATTTACCACATTGGTTGCTGAATTGAAGGGCTTTTGAAGAATGTTTTATTGCAAATTCAAGGCCTTTACAAGCCTGCGTGAGCCATGTCAAGGTTAGACTGTCAAACACAGCAATAGGATGTTGTGACATGATCAGTCAGAACAATGTTGTAGTAGAGGGGAGACAACTCACTGGCATTCTGGCTCTTGCGTAGATCTTCAAACACTCTGTCAACTTCAAACTGGCTATCACACATTGACTTTCTAAAATATTAAAACAAAACCTTTGAAACAATCAAAAATACTTTAGAAATAACAATCACAATGTTTTCCACAGTTTTTCATAATACTACAACAAGATCACACTGGGAGGTACCACGTAAGACACCAATCGTACCTAGTTAACAACAGTGCTATCCAACCACTACCCACCACCATGTTAAGTAACACTAGAAGCTTACATGAAATACGTCCTTCCTTCAGCCGGAAGCGTCATCATACGATAGTCAACACCAGAGTCCAGACACACCACGCTGCTGTAGTTCTGAAACAGTATCTCAGGATCACAGATGTTCCAGCACATACTTCACATAGACACAAAATCATTTCTCCTCCCCCGATGGTGTCAACATGGTCCATGGTCACTGCCCCACAGATTTGGGTACACTACATTTAGGGCTGGGATGGGTCACTCGGGTACTCGGGTTGAGTGGGTCCTGGGTAGGACCCGGGTACCCACAAGACTACCTGGACCCATGGTAAGTCATGTGATATATTGTTTAATGACAAAAACTCACTATAGCTCAGTAGTTACACTACAAGTTGCTAATGTTCGCATTTCTTTCTGACGATGCACACATTCCTTTTGACTTGTATATGTTTGAGTAATGATATAGCTTCAGTCTACTTCAGTTTACGCATGATCTGATCGTTTGATCCACATATCTAAATAGATTTAGCCAGGGCTGCGGTAAAACAATTACTAATAAGACATTTTGTTCCAAACTCTTGAGACTTGCAGTGGGTACCCAGATAGGGTCGGGTAATAGGGGGGCTCTCAGATTACATTGCACAAATGATAATGATTCTCGCTTGACTATGTATGCAACGAGTGCCTAAGCCTTGTGTCCATCAGCTCTGTCTGTGCCAAAAATGTTTTGAAATTACTAGCCTGAATACGGATCTTAGCATTACTTTCAATATATTGTAGCATTAGTATGTGGACTTTTATTAGCTGAGCTTACAAGACTGAACAGACTTTAACATAACTCGGGCTTCAGACAAGTGGCTGAAGACACAGATTGTACAGCTTCAGTGTCAGACGGTAGGGTTGTGGAGTAGGGTACATTTGACATCCATGAGTGACTGACCTCATTTCATTAGCTTACTTGAACGCTGTGTCTCTACTTGTGTCTCTACTGGGCAATTTTGGGAATTCAAACTCTGCATAGTGAGTTTCAGTTCTTTACCACGCTCAGTAACCCATGTTCCCCATTCCAAGGTAAAGATGACGATATACATGATCTAAGGCATAGTTTTATCATGTTTATTGAACAAAAGTATGCGTGTGCTCTTAAGAATTGCTAGTGCAGTGGTAGTATTAATATCCAGCAGTCAGGGGGGCCTCTTGTGGATGTGGATTTACAATTCCTACAACAGAACCCGTCTTTTCGCATGCTTGGGTAAAGTCACTGAATCATGCGTAAAAGGACTTTGAGTGAGTGAGTGAGCACGGTTTTACATCGATTTTAGCAATATTCCAACAATATCACGGCGGGGGACACCAGAAATGGGCTTCACACAGTTTACCCATGTCAGGAATCGAACCCAGGTCGACGGCGTGTCGAGCGAACGCTTTAACCACTAGGCCACCCGACCACCCCAAAAGGACTTTGATGTCACCACACCATAAGCACTTGATTAATTCCCAGCCTTCCTTTCCGCCAGGATACTTGTAGGGATACAATTTGCTTTCAAGTGTACCACTCAAATAAATGTTAGATATGCCCTTTAAATTTCAGTTTTCAAACAAGACAAACTAATATTGATCCATTTTCAAACTTGAATATCATTCATTAGGAATCAGATTAATTAGAAGAGTTGAGCAAATGATAGTGATACCTTCAATATCCCTATGAAAGGCACAAAGTTTGCACGCTGTAGGCCGTTCTTGTAGAGATCTGAACAAAAAGAAAACAAATCCATGAATACAATATCGAACTTGTTAACTTAAAAAAAAAAGGCAGGAGCTATGCACCCAATATAAAGATTTATTCATATTTGATTTAGGTACTACCAGCTGATTACACAGTAGCTCCGACGGAATTCAGAGGCAGAATAGGTCTCCCGGGTCATGCTTATCATATACTTATCACATACTTATCATATACTTATCTTATACTTATCACATACTTATCATATACTTATCTTATACTTATCACATTGACATACTTATCATATACTTATCATTAGAGCTTCCTACTGGCAAGCCAGGATAAGTTGAGTTGTGACCTGACAATCAACCCATTATGATTATGTATGAGGTTCACCCACTGGCACATACCATTGTGAAGAAAAGGGTAGTGGGTGGTCCACAACAAGTAGTACGATAGATATGTGCATCTTGGCTAACCACAAGTTCTAGTGGCGAGTTCAATAGCACATAATAGTTGGTGCTCATGTGAGGTACCCGATGACTTTGAAAACGGTGACCGCATAGATAACAACAATTATGTATTTTTTAGGGTAAAAATATGATTTATACTTATCCTGACTTATTCTTATTGCTTATCTCTACTAATTTCCAAAAGGTAGTGGAAACTTCCTGAACTGTGTTTCCGGAGAACAGAGAAAACATATCACCCAAACACACCCCTGGACTGCACATGCACACCGGAAGCACGTGACCAAGACCGGTTACTCATGAGCTTTGCTCATGTTATCAACCCTTGGTGTGCCCAGTCCGGGCCTGATTGTTTACAGGTCTCTGTGACATACTTACAAATAGACAGCTTTCAAATCACGGATTTCTTCAAGTGGAGCAAAGTCCCCTTATAAACACTGATAAGTCACATATACATATTTCACAAAAGAATACATAAATACCATTTGGATGTCTGTTTGAAGTTGCTACAACAACAACGCCATTTTCAAACAGTTCTGTGAACAGTCGTTTCAGAATCATGGCATCAGCAATGTCCGTCACTTGGAACTCATCAAAACACAACAGCCAGGTGTCTTCACTGATCTCATCGGCCACAGGAGCTATAGGGTCGAAGGCATGGGACCTCTTTACGTTCCTGTGTTTCGGCTGGCTGTGTTTCAGCTCATGGATTCCTGGAAACAACATAATTACATGTCCATATCAGTCGGCGCCAAATACCCTGGAGACGACAAGCCTGAACTAGGCTCTTAGCACTTTTCAGGAGTGAGTATGGTTTTACTGTGCTTTTGGAAGTATTCCAGCAATATCATGGCAGGGGACACCAGAAACAGGCTCCACACATTGTAACCATTTCGGGAATTGAACCCAGGCCTTTGGAGAGATGAGTGAATGCCCTAACCACTAAGCTACCCCACTGACCCAAGGTTCATAGCCAACAGTAGATGAGCCAAATATTTTACATACCAGCACTACGTAGTTTAAATGAATAAAAGGCTAACATGTAAGTTACATGGGCAGATATAACGACGACACAACACAGGAGTGGAGGCCTCGCTATAGAGTTATAAACTATGTAGACAAGGAACTTACGTCTGTGTACATCCAGCATGAACTTGTGGAAGTGGACGCGTTGTTTCCTCCTCACTGAGCACGTATGGTAGAACATGTCCATCAGCATTGTCTTCCCGCATCCTGCACACCATGAGTGAGTGAGTGAGTGAGTGAGTGAGTGAGTGAGTGAGTGAGTGAGTGAGTGAGTGAGTGAGTGAGTGAGTGAGTGAAGTGTTTGTTTTTGTTTCTTCGTTTGTCTGTAAATAATCAAGTCTGGGCCAGACAATCAAGTGATTGACATCATGAGCAACTGGGATACAATGACATGCATCAACCAAGTCAGTGAGCCTGACCACCCGATTCCGTTAGTCGCCTCTTACGACAAGCATAGTCGCCTATGAGTGAGCGAGCGAGTAAGTTGTGTTATACACCGCTTTTAGCAATGATCCAACAACATCATGTAGGGGACACCAGAAATGGGTTTCAGACATTGTACTCATGTGGGGAATCAAACTTGGGTCTTTGAGAGTGAATGAGTATTGTTTTATGCCGCTTTTAGCAATAATCATGGCTAGGAACACCAGAAATGGGCATCACACATCATACCCATGTGGAGAATCAAACCTGAGCCTTTGACGTGACCTGCAAACACTTAAACCACTAGACTACCCTACCGTCCTGTCATTTTGTATATCATGGGTGGCAGCGTTAGAAATTGGCACTAGTCCTGTAGTCCTTTCCAAACTGACCAATAGTAAAGGTATCCTAAGGACTAGTAGAAAATGGCCCATTTTAAGGGTTTTGCTATATGTTATCATTATAAGGACTAGTGGACAAAAAACTGTTAGTTTCTAACCCTGGGTGGAACGACTGATCACACTTTCAAAGCAATTGTCTATGGCTCGAAAACAATTATCTATATGACATATAAATATCAATAGATCGACATGTCTTAGACATAGGAGTAACTGAACTCACCAACACTTCCATACAGGTAGAGGCCCTTTGGAGCTGACACTTGCTGCTGGGTACCAAATCCTAGACTCTGAAACAGCAGGAGAAGTCTTCGATTCATCTTTGGCATCAGGAGATTGAGGTTTGCATACATTCTACATGGTGCTGACAATCGTAACTTTGGGAACTGATTGATTTCTCAGCGGGGTTAATGAGCTGGCTACATGGAAAATAATTGCCCGCTCCTTAACTAGTTGGACATAAATCTGAACTTGCTGCTTTCGTTAATTTTTTCTGCTGTAAAATTGTCAATAGGACTCCTTGTGAATGAACAATCTCATTAAAATCAGACCTTAGTTCTCGCTACCGCTAAACAAAGATCTGAGGACATCCCATTAGGGGTCACGTCAGAACGACCTTTCACCAGCTCAATCAGAGCATCGCTTACCAGATTATGAAAGTGACAGTCGGAGTGTGATTTCTGATCATGCAGTCTCGAAAACTTTAACTCCGAACGATAGTTATGGGTTAAAGGACTGTATCCATACACTCTAGACCATCTATCAGCCATTCCAGAATGTTCTTTTGTTCAGGTTTCAAATTTGTAATCGAGAATTTGTCAAAATATGTTTCGAAGCGTAGTCGCCAATTTGAAATTAGTGCCGTAAAGCACGAGAAAGCTGCCTTCTGATTGGTCATTCCATTGGGCGGTCAAAGTTCGCGCAAGGTCGGTCTGACGTGACCCGTAATGGGATGTCCTCAGATCTTTGTTTAAGCGGTAGCGAGAACTAAGATCTGATTTTAATGAGATTATGTGAATGAAATACTTCAAACCACAGGTAGGTAGATTGGTAGTTACTCAATATTTCAATAGCAACAGTTTGTGAAACATTCTTGTTTTAACAGGCAAAAGAACATTTTTCTAGCATTTGCAAAAGTACGTAACCTGGTAACAGCATAGAAGCAAAATGCAAACACGGTACAAGTTCAGAATTCAATGTCAGTAAGTAAACAAAATAGCAATACCAAGTACACATCCTGGACAAATCTGTCAAAATACATAAAAGCCACTACTTTAAAGATGGCTAGGTTAAACTTAAATAATTATGACAAAACTTGACAGACACAATACTCGCCATACATTTTTCGCTGGAAGTACTCATTCCTACCTGCAACCAGGAGGCATTCTGTGCCTGAGGTTTGTAGTTCTTGAGCTGCAGATGCAGGTCCTCTAGGGACGACACCACCTCTCTCTGATACTCATCCCTCCTCAGCTCCCCAGTCTCAATCTTTGACAGATATGCCGCCAGAGGGCCATTGTAACCTTGGAAACTTACTTCCTCCGTCAAGCTGTCAGTTGCCAAGTTGTCACCATTTTCTGCAATAATTTAACATCTATAAATGGATTATCCTGAGATTTAGTATTTAATGCAGATTTATTCTTAAATAGTCATGTCAAGTAATTTGTAACACAAATTGAAGAATAGCGTTTGCTTGAATTCAGGTAATATTTATCGCTGAAGATCTCACCAGCTTTTTCAAATGATTTCCAAATGTAACTATATGAGTTGAGGTGAAATGGAGATTGACATTGTGTTCAAGACTATTGCTCTCATATAGCGACGTGCATGCATGTGCATACGTGCATGGCTGCTTGTACTTAACTAGTCCGGACTAATGTTGATTTTATAGTGCTAGCACACTGAGATACCATGCCGCAGTTTAACATGAATAACCCTTCAGACACAGTATACTGACACCCAGTCAAACAGTCCTTGTTTTAGCCCCATAATACTGAGCGCCAGGCAAGGTAACAAGAAGTACCACATCTTTTGGTATGACATGGCTGGGGATCAAACCCCAGACATTCCATCTCCGGGCAGATGCTCTACCAATAGACCATGAAGGCGGTCTAACCATACAAAGCAGTGTGTACATTAAGTTTGAAAGTCAAGGGGTTCTGGCCAGACCCTACAATGTTAAACATGTTGAAAGACATAAAGCTTAGGGGTCCTTATACCCTGTAAACATGTCATTCTGCTATAGCGATAAACCGGAGCACCTGTAGAATACAGCACAACAACTTCTCGTGTGGATAAATGCCATAGGTCGCACGTCACTATCACAAGCAACCAGTTCTAGTGAAAAATTTGTTGGACACGAACTTGCGAGCTTCGGATTCTTACCCCGACAGCTAACAGACTGAGTTATGTCCGCTCTGTTAAACTAAGTGCAAATTTACCTAGCCATTTCTAAGACGTTATGCAACTGAACAGAAAGGGTCCAATAGGTGAGACACTTATGAAGGTTACAGGTAGGCATGATGTCTCGTGACTGTAGTCTACGGACACTTACGAGTGATCCTAATACCATTTGGCACACTCGTCCCATTCCGTAATCTGCAAGATACTGTGTGGTGAGGATTAAGCCGAATGGTGTGAACTGAAAACGGCTTCAGGCGTCAAGCATTGAATACCCGGGAATGTATGAATAGTTTTTAATAATTCATCATTTGATTTTGTGACAGAAAAGTTGGGGAGGTAACAATGTAAGGTCAATGTGGATCATAGTAAGGGACGAGGAAGCCATAAGCTTGGCTAGTGATGTAACAAGAGTAAGTAGGCATTTGTATCAGTACTGAACAAATCTAGCAGGTTAAAGTGGCTTGTGTGGATGTTCCAGGACAGTTTCCAGTAGCCAAAATATTCAACACAAAACCATTTCTCAACTTTTTTTTTTAGTTAAAATATAGCTTCTGTCAACTTCAGAGTATGCATGATCAGATCATATTATGAGTGTATCTGAGTAGGTTTTACCCAGGCTCCAATAAAACAATTCTCAATTGGACATTTTGTAGCCAACTTGAGACCTACAGAAGGTACCCGGGTAGGGTCTGGTGATAGGGGATCGGGTAGCCTGGTTGTATATTTGGGCTTGTCTCAGCCCAACTACAAACCTAATTGATTTATTGAGTGTGAGTGAGTGAGAAATTGTACCCATGTGGGGAATCCAACCCGGGTTTTCGGTGTGACAAGCGAACGCTTTAACAACTATGCCACCCCACCACCCAATTGATTTATTGCAAAAGATGTCCGACCATGTGTTCGGACCAGCAACATTTGGATATCTGCAGCATGTATATAAATAACCTAACAAACTGTGTTGCTGTGCATCATCATGATCATGGTGCAAAATAATGAAAATTAATGGATCAGAAAAAAAAATGTATGTACATTAGTTCCCATTTATAATCAAAGTTGAAACAAAATATAAAATATGTTGAAAAAAAAGTGCTTTCATAAACAGGGCCTTGCTCTAAATTGCACCGTTGCAGGCTACATTTAGTAAACAAATTTTGAAAACTCTCAACATTGCTGGGCTTATTCAATGACAATGCATGTAGAGGTGATAGATCTCTGAGAGGTTCTTATGCACACTCAATGGCCCCAGCTACTGTGTTGCTTGGATGACGTTACCATGGTTACAGGGCATTGTTATACCTCTATTAAGAATCTTGAAATTCAATTGGTTAATCCATACCACGTGATGAAAGAATACATTTCAAAGTAGACCCTGAAATCATGTGACTGACACTGACCTCGAATTTTGACTTGTCTCCTGATAGATATTAACTCGTCCGCTAGAAAACAAGATGGCACCTGGTACGAACATTTCACAGTTTACAGCTACTGAGTGAAACAGAGGACAGTTAAAAGACCTCATAAACCTTAAAGAGAATTTCGGTATGTTATAATAAAACGAAAGATTACTCTTGACAAGCATGGACCCTCTAACCCGACCCTGCAGCATCGATCAGGTCAGATCGATGCAGGGGTCTGGTCCTCGGGTCCTTGTTTACTCATATTGAGCTTGTCAAGAGTAGTTCTATTGTTTCACTGGTGTGTTTTGCAACAATATTTCACAAATTAAGTCATAGAGTATTGTGATGTGTTTGTAAACTTGTGCTGAATTCTAAAGGTAGGCCGGGCAGTCGGGTAGCCTAGTGGATAAGTGTTCGCTCGTCACACCGAAGACCTGCTTTCTATTCCCGACATGGGTACAATGTGTGAAGCCCATTTCTGGTGTCCCCCGCCATGATATTGCTAGAATATTGCTAAAAGCAGCGTAAAACCATACTCACTCACTCACTAAAGGTAGGCCACTAAACCTTAACTTGCTCAAGGACTACAGCAACCCCCTAATTTCTGTCAACATTATTCAGTTTTGAATATAGGAATTAACATACAATATTATAATCTTGTGCAATGGCAACGGCCAAATAGAACTCGTTCGTCCTAGCTGTGGTTGAAAATCGCTTCAATGACGTCTGATCACACTGATTGATGACACTGACTGACGATGATTGATGAACATTTATAGCAATCATGAAAATGAAGCCACTGCATCACTGTACTAACCATGCTAACATAATGATATTCCATGATTAGTCTTAGGTTAACAGTAAATATGAGTAGCTTAACTGTAAAACCTTTACTTCAACATGTTCAATGAATATGATCGAGCATGGCATAAAAATGATTCTGTCAAATCAACAGCTTCTGTGACATGTAAACATGGTAAATGATGGCTGAACAATTTTCATGAATACTGAACTATTCTCTGTCACGTGTACAGCTTTGATCACTTTTTTAACCGCTTGCTAAGCACAGCTGTTTCATAAGCATTAATGCACTCGTTCGCGATCATATTATAGGCCTAGTTGTGATTACACAACTAACAGACTAACGATGTTCATCATATGGGCCTATCTCTTTTTTCCGTACCGTGACATATGATGTCTAAAATTCAAACTGAAAATTGTCACTGAAATAGAAAACGGAGAATGACCTGAAACATTGAATTTTGCCCTTGGTATTACAGTACTAGGCTCAATCACGGTCAAATTCATGGATGAACATTTGAGGGATATATAATAGGCTTTCATAACCGTAAAGTTAGTGACATGATCATTTAGAATAAAATACCTGATAGGTTAGGAGCTGTGCTGTAGCACGAAAACAGGATTTTGCGAGATATTTTCCTGAACTGAAATTGCAAAAGAGACAAGCTCCGCATGTTTCAGCTCACCATACCCCACGACAGACTGTCAGTTATCTAGTCTAATCGGGAATCAAGAGTAATCTGTCCTTGGGTAAAGACAAATCGGAGTTACTCTATGAGACCTTATATATCTTGGCGTCTTATTCACAGTGGGAACTGCTGACCTTCCGATATACACCCGAGATGTGCCGAACGCAAAACAGGGGAAGTAACCACGGAGTACTCCAAATTAACCAATTTGATACGAGGTGGTCAAAGATAGCGGTCCTCAGTTCGAATCTTAAACTTGCCACATTAATACTTGTATGTTTCAAAAAAAGAATTAGAAGGCAATTTTGAAGAACGGGTGTGAAAATGACAATTAAATTCTTCAACAAAACAGATATGAACATGAATTATATTTCATTTATTCCTTTTTCAATATTTTAAATAATATCTCACATGTGCATAAAACACGGGTCTGCTGGCTCAAATGGAATTATGATTACACTAATACACAAACATAATGACTCAGTTTCTCACATGGCATTTATTACAATAGACGAAGTAAGTAAAGGGGCACCGCGGAGTATAAATACTCTGTGGTACATTTGGCGTAGACACATAATGACAACCAGATTATCTCTCCTCTCTTATCCACGGGGGGTACGGGTGGCACATTCGTCTTAGGCGCCGCGATTCGCTGTGCAGAGTTGCGTCCCTTGGGCACGCCAGAAACTATGATTGTGGGTTCGAATCCCGGTTGGCCCCGGTTAAGTTTCTAGGTTTGTCAGCACCAAACCTGTTCGTGGGTTTCACCGAAGTGGTAAACGTATTCGGGTTATCCTCCCACATTAAGCTGGCACGCCGTGATATAACTGGAATAATGTTAAAAGCGGTGTTAAACCCAACTCACTCACTTTATCCACGGCGGGAGCGGTAGGGTAGCCTTTCACTCGTCACGCTGAAGACCCAGGTTCTATTCCCAACATGGGTACAATGTGTAAAGTCCATTTCTGGTGTCCTCCGCCATGATATTGCTGGAATATTGCTAAAGGCGACGTTAAATCCACACACACACACACACACACACACACACACACACACACACACATACACACACACACACACACCCTCCCCAATCTCATCCGCAACACTCCCATGTCAATGTATTGATATATAACTTCTTATCTGCGCAGTGAAATGGCATGCTTCATGTCAGTATAGTTTTGCCACCCATGCAGTGTACGGCAAGAAAATGTTTGGACATTTTTAACATCATGGCCAAACAATACATAGTAGCACACAACTGGCAAGTGATATGTGTGAATGTGTGATCGGGTCGGGGAACACTCTCCAACTGATTACCTCAACAAATCAATTAAAATAGTGTGATTTCAAAGTTATATAATCTGTTATTCGCAAACTGAAACTACCTGGGAATTAAGGTAAATGGATGACTTTGGTATTACCATAATTCAAATATTATGTCAGGTATTATATATCACCGCGTGTTGAGGTAGGCCGTATGGTTGAGGTCGTAGGCCTTTACCACTTTAGTAAAAGGCTATGGTGCTGACAGACCACAGATTGGGGGATTCGAACCTGAGACCAGCGTCTCCCTTAATTCTATGGGACACACGGAGATTTGTCATATCAGGTCTGAAAGGTCATAGCACTGGTTCTTGCTCGGAAACAATATGTCGACGTTTATATTACTGTCTTGTTGTTTATAACTTGATTCAAGATGTAGGAGAACGCTGCCTTGTGTTGTACGTAAGGATAAGAATTTACGGATGAACAACTTCTTTATTACAATTACGAGCAACCTTTCGGTGTAGGTTCTAACACCGTTATGAAGCAAGTGATATACAGAGTGTGGTTGGCATGTATATACATGTATACAAGTAGGAGGCAATGTTTATACGGTAGAGTAGATATTGTTATGCTGGAGTAGAGAAGCCTGTTATGTACACACAAGGGTAGTGATGACGATCATCGGTGAAGTCATTGACATAAACAAAGGATGAAGCCAGTTATATAAACAACGGTATTATGGCTGATTAGGGTCTTTGATGAGTTGATGGTACGCCGAGGGTATGTAATAGCCTTGGTCACGGTTGAATGACGGCTGGAGTCTTTTGATGTTGATGGCTTCTTGCAGTTTCCTGATCTTGAAGTCTTTGAGGTTGGTGGTGAGGGTTGTGACTCTCTCCCACTGAATGCTGTGGCTTGGGTTGTCACGAGTGAGGCCTGATAGAGCTGATTTAGAGTCATCTTTGGAGACTGAGCTTTGATGTTCTTTAATTCGGGTTTTGAGGGGCCGAGATGTTTCTCCTATGTAAGCTTGTCCACAATTGCACGGAATGTGGTACACTGCTCCTGATGGTTCTAGCTTGTGGCTAGATGGTGGTTTCCCTGTGGCTTTAATTGTGTTCTGAATGGTATGACTTCTCTTGAAAACTACATCAATGTTGGAAGAAGTTGTTCACCCATAAATTATTATCCTTACTTAGTACTCCAACTTCTAAATGCCTATCAAAGAAGTTATGCTTTGTGGTGTGTTGGGGGCAACTGAGGTGGCCCAGTACACCAGAAGTGTATTTCACACTTTGTTCATTGTATGCGGGGAATCGAACACGGGCCTTTGGCGTGACGAGCGGACGTTTTTACAATGCACTAAGCTACCCCTCTCTCCTTAAACAGATATAAGTTTGAAAGTCATTATGTTAATACAATGTATATTAAATACCGAATTCTCAATAAATGTCCGGATTATTTTCCCTTCCTCGGAAATATACCAGTGTGAAATAGTAACTGGTCGCACGAAGGGTGATTAGGAAAAGTTCATACACTGGTCACATTTAAAGATACCGGCAACGAATTAATACCTGTTCAATGCAACCCAAATGCAACTTCTCCCCGGAAGGGGCATGCACTGCATACGCCAGTACGAGTGTGCCAGTGTCGTATGACGCTCTTTGAATTCTTTGTATAAGGAGTATATACTCGGTTGTACCTAACAAGTTGTGACATGTAGACATCAAGGGCTGGAGCTGCAGGAATATTACTCGACATAAAGGGAAAGTTGAACTACTGGAAAATAGAAGTCATCCCTCTTGTCAAACAGTCTTGTGTCGAGTGTTTCGTCACTCCGAATCTTTTGCATAGATCTAAATATAACTGATGAGACAGTCTCAGTGGTCTCCTCTATTTCTAGTTCAGGTGGGTTAATCAGTGGAAGGGAATTGGCTTTTGGATGGTTATTGAACGGTATCAGACCTTCGATATATTCCTGAAGAGTAAGTTAAACTTCTTGGCCAAATTACCTTGTTTTTGAATTTGCCAATCGGAGCAGAAATTCTGATTCATTTGCATAAAGAAGCAGATCAGCCATCTTCCCGAGGCAAGAGAGTTAACTGACTTTAAAAGTCCAGTTTCCACCCTTGCCGAACTAGGCTGGAATAACTGGGCTCGATCGTAGCGCCACCAGTGGCTATTACCAATTATGTCCCTTCTAAGCCTCTCCTAAGGACCAATCAGATTCCACCTCTCGTATCACTTGCGTTTGCTTCACACAAAATGGTTGCGCCCGGTCAGGACGATCTGATCGATAATCAATATCTACATTGTGATAAAACGGGTCTTACATCGCGAAATGCATCAAATCACGTGAGCACCTTGATTAAAAACATGAGAAGATTTTGAAAATATCTGCTGACAACCAGTTGGCGGTGCACATGCTTTGCAAATCCTGCAATCGATCGAAATCTGCACGACAGTTTACGAACCGGATTTCAATTTCGATAGCGATTTCGATTGGACTATGCATAGACTCGTTAGTCCAGCCAAAATGTAACTCCATAATACCAGCCTAGTTCGGCAAGGGTGGAAACTGGACTTTTATAGTCAGTTAACTCTCTTGCCTCGGGAAGATGCAGATCAGCAAGAAGGGGAGCACAGTTGGTGCCTATGGGGAAACTTCTTGCCTAAATGTCTTACCCCCAAATTTACATAGATGTTACCAATGAGGACGTCTTTCCAGTAAACCTCAGATAACACATTGGCTTTCGTTTTTGACAAATTCACCTGAACTCTGATGACAGATACGTAACTGTTTCTATGATCACCACTTTTGTAACAAAAGACCCACGGATCAATGAAGAAAGTTTTTCCGGTATGTCATGTGGAATAGTTGTGTACAAATTTGAAAAATCAATTATTAAAACAGAATTGGACTTTTTTCTGCCTCACCCAAAAAAACCACAACAAATCAAAACAAACAACAACAAACAAACAAACAAACAAACAACCAACCAAACAAACAAAATAAATAAATAAATAAATAAATAAATAAATAAATAAATAAATAAATAAATAAATAAATAAATAAATAAATAAATAAATAAATAAATAAATAAGTAAATAAATAAAATAAATAACTGAATTAAAAACAATAACAAAATAAATAAAATAAAATAAAATAAAATAAAATAAAATAAAATAAAATAAAATAAAATAAAATAAAATAAAAACATCTAGATCTAAATAAATATAGAATTTGCATAATCAAGTTTGGAATTTGATGAGCCCTTTGACGAGCGGGCTAGCGGTCCCGCTCTGATTTTCCTCTTGTCACATGTTCGTGTCCTCCTCACTTGGTTTCATGGAGTCTAGGGGTGGGGTGGGGCGACCCTGCTCCAAAGTACATGCCCATGTATGACACAAATGACACAAAATCGCCAGCTGTCCACTTCTTGATTTTCTTTTTAAGATAACTCTTTTCAAATAAATAAATAAATGTCACGATCCACTCCTTTGACCTTGTGATAAACATAGGAAATGCACAGTGTATGTAATAAAAAGAACCGCCCTGCGAGAGCAAGATTGTCAGTTTCGAACTCATGATTCATATATGTAGAATAATAACACTCGCGCGCATCAAGGAAATAGGAGAGTTATATCCCTTGCACAGTTACTATTTTTGTCATTTTACCCAAGAAGCAGTGATGTCATCAGATAATGCGTAGCAGGCGAAAATGACGACCCCTCAGACTGCGACTGCTCGAATTAGTTCAAAGAAACAAACCCTTGAGGATGCTTATTCTCCTCCAGCAAACTTTTTAGAAATCGATGTTTGTACTCCTCAAACACACGGAATAGGCAAAAAGCGGTATACCGACTATGAAATGCGTTTACGGGTAAGCAAACGAGTCGACTCATTGCCATTGTGATCATGCAATGACGGAAGTATGCAATAGAAAAATTGCTTGAAATATTGACGTTATTTTCTTCCCTAGTTGCGTTTGATGTTGGTGACAGCTTACTGATTCACTGAGTAATTGTATAAGTGTCTGTTAGTCAATATCTGCCCTTGGAAATACATCTAAATCTATTTTCATCGATAATACATGTGAATGCAGTTCTGCTCCACCCCCTTTTCTTGCCTTATCGAATGGCAAGGGATAACTCTGTTATTGTTGCGGGTGTGTTGATTCAAACTACAAGTGGCAGTCTCGACAGAGTGCTAATGTTATACTTTTGATTTGTGTCAGAACATCACGGGTGCTGTTATGTTTTCGTTATTCAGTTGTGTTGATATGACTTGACAATGATTATATTCATGATCATGATAGACTTAATTCAGGATGTAGATTATATGGCCCTTATAATAGTACATATACAGGTGTAACGGTTCAATGACTTGATACTCCCTAAACCATGTTAACAATTAACTTTTAGAATTTCTCAGATTTGGTATCATGAACTTGCCCTTTTTATCAATTGATCAGTCTTCTGTATATGAAACGTCTTTTGACATCTCCAAGAATTTTCTTTACGTTCACAGTGGTAGAAACTAACAGCTTTTGTCCACTAGTCCTTATAATTATAACATATAGCAAACCCCTTAAAAATGGCAAATTTCTACTCCTCCTAATGATACCTTAACTATTGGGCAGTTTGGCAAGGACTATAGGAGTAGTGCCAGTTTCTAACGCTGCGTTCATGTAGTAATCTTATTGGCAGTGCTTTAATCTAGGCTAGATGATACAAAGATACAATGTAATTGGAGCAAGGATGTGTTATCTATGAAACAATGTATTTGTCGATAACTTACTGAACTAAATACAGTTGATATGCATGATAAGTGTCACTGTATGGAATTAGGTTAGTGCTCTCACTCAGTCTCAAATTTTGTTTTTTGAGTTTTTAACCAATTCACAATGACAAGTGTGGGTCTTTGTCTGGTAATCTGCCTAGTAGTCAGCTGGTAAGTAAGCCCATATGGTGAAAAATTTAACCATGTAAACTGAAAAGGAATTTCTGGATAATCCTATCAGGTGCCTGAAGGGTTGAACTTGAAATGAATACCCAGCCAAGTACTTCCTGTTCTTACCATGGTTATTCCTTCATAGTTTAATACAAACATAGATATATATATGGCTGGCCCAGTTATACATGACTTTATTGGTTATCAGATTTATCAGAAATTATATTAAAAGGTCAATATACCTCAAAGTTGTGGCATTAAACTCTCGGAAATGAAAACAAAATATGACAAGCAAGCGCCGTCTCCAGAAACAACACTATGCGTGATTGGTTCATTTGTCGAAATAACAGTGAGTTACACGATCAGGTTTCCCCAGGGTTAGAAAGTCAAATTTTAAGTAAAGCTCATGTTAATTTATCTTTTTGCTGACATTGTGACTCGTCTGCATTGAAATACCAACACATCAAACTTTGTCAATTTTCACGTGAATGTATCGTGAATATTTTCGCAAGTTGACTGGCTAATAGTTCGCTTGCGGCCCCGATCAGCAATCTAATTTGCAAACACCAGTATTAGTAAACCAAAGAGATTCATAAACATCTAGGTCATAATGGTCAACGAGGAACATGCCATTCATAAATTGTAGTAAAACGTAATAGCACTTCCAAATATAGCATACATTTCTTGAAAATGAAATGCTAACATTTAGTTAAGGAATCATAAGGACTAATAGAAAATTGCCCTTTTAAGGGTTTTGCCATTTTTTTTTATAGCACGGGTTAATATAAAAACTGAAGTTAATAATTAAGCTATGTCTTTATTGACTGACAATATGATCAATCGTGATTTTAAATTTAAAAATGTAAATAGATACAAATTTTATGCTACATCTAGACTAGTCATTATTTTGTCTTTTTAAGAAAAAGAAATTTAATTGGGACAAATTTAAATTATTACATGTATTATTCTCTCACATTGTTTGTCTGTTGCATAAATGAAGGCCCAGAAAGCATGTTCTATGAGTATGGATAATTAAAAATGACATTTGTGGTACTAATTGGAAATTGATATGGATACTTGCCATATTAAAATTCTCCCTGATACTTAAGGCTCAATGTCCGTGACACCCGCTGACAATCTACCACATGTATGCTGTTATATACAAGGTTTAGAACAACCAAGAGAGGAAAGACTATCACACAGTTATTAAAAACCATGTCGGTAACAATTACATGGGTAACAATGGCAACCATACAGTATAAACAAGGGTAACTGGTATTTTTCATTAATCATGTAATCCCATGAAGATCCAGGTTAGAGTTGGTTCAACAACCCATGCTTGTCATGAGAGATAGCGAACAGCAACAACCAAACAATAATCATATTAATCATGTTAATGATGTTCCATCATTATCTCATTATCATGATCATAATTCAAAATTAATATGTGTTTATCTTGATCTTGACCTTGTTACATGTGTCAATGTCAATTGTTTTGAGAAACCATTGTTAGGTTTGTTGAACACTGCACTCAGCAACATTCCTGCTGTATGACAGTGGCCTGTGTCCGGAATACCCACAGGGATGTTCAGCATTTAGAATAGCGTTCATGGCAGCACGAACCTATATATATGCCTGGTGTGATTCTCACATAAACAGAATAAAAAACTTTGGTTCATTTTGATTTTTATTGTCTTGCAATGTCTCCCTCAGGAGATCTGATCTAAGGTGGATATTCACCTTCAAGACTGCAGCAATGCTAAATAAGAAATCCCAAATTGGAATAAAAATTGTTCTGTTAGTTGTTATCATGATTATAATTTTGCTGCATTATTGACTTGTATTTCATTATAAAAGGATACTGGAGGAAGATTTTTCCACTATTGCATTGAACACCAAGTTAAGAAACCTGTGAATTTTAGAAAATAGGAACATGAATATATCCTGTTTGAACAAAATAACCATTCTTTTCCCAGGATCTCACTTGGCAGCAGCGCCATATTATTGTATCTATCATCTCTGTCATGCTTGTCATACTTATGGGTCATGTCAAGTAGGGCTGTTAAGATTCACTAGTGTATTCATGTGAATAGAACCGTATCCCTTCATGAATTAAATTTGTTATTCGTGTTCACTAGAATTGACTATTTACCCACAAAAAATTAAAAGAGTGTTTTTTCTGGAACTCGTCTTGATATTAATAAATATCTTCACTTTTAAGCTATTAAAAAGGTTATAATTAATGTGTTTGGTGTATAATGAGCATAATGTATCCAAGTACATGGCTATATATGGGTTTCTTCTCAATAAAATGGTCAATTTAGCTGTTATTCGACCACCTCAGTGGTGTAGTGGATATGGCTTCTCAATGGAGAGCGGAGGGTCGGTGGTTCGTTCCCTTGCAGTATCATACCATATAGTGAGCTTGCACTATATAAACAGCATAAGTCCATACTAGATTGAGCAGCAAACACTCATGCATGCACGTCACTATATAGGTTTAATGATCTCAAACCAGGACATTTAACCCTTTCATCTCAACAGACACAGATTACCATGATCATGATGAAACAGAGCTGATAACTGTATATAATAGCAGGACCTCTGCTATTTCAGGTATAGCAATCAGCCCTAGCCTGCTAGTCTGGACCAGTTTTGTTTATGTTAAAGGTATCCTTAGGGCTGTTAGAATTTCACACATCGTGGGGGGTATTACTAGGTTATCACTATTCAGGGTAGTTGATGATTTTGGTTAATTTCCATCCCTTTTTTGTTGTTTGAGATATTGTGGTGATGGTGGTTCGTGGAATGTTCGGGGCGGTCGGGTAGCACAGTGGTTAAAGTGATCGCTCATTACGCCAAAGGCCCGGGCTTCGATTCCCTAAATGGGAATTATGTCTGAAGCCCATTCCTGGAGTCCCCTGCTGAGATATTGCTGGAATATTGCTAAAAGCTGTGTCAAACCATACTCACTCACTCGTGGTATGTTCATGCTATCAACCACTGGTGTGCCAAGCCTTACCTTGATTATATACAGGCTGCAGGAATATTGCTGACAGTTGCGAAAACCCCAGTAATTTACAGTAATGCCACTTTCAATGCGGTTTTGTCATTGGAGAACGTGACATGTTTTGGTGGATGTTATTATTCATTCTTCACTGTAACAGCTGACATCATCCGTCAGTGAATACAAGAAACTTTTATAGATAACAACTTCATTTTTGTGTATGACGATTCATGGCTATTGCTTTCCCCTTCATTAACAATAACAGCGTTAGAAATTGGCACTAGTCCTGTAGTCCTTACCAAACTGCCCAATAGTAAAGGTATCCTTTGGACGAGTAGAAATTGGCCAATTTTAAGGGTTCTGTTATATGTTATCATTATAAGGACTAGTGGACAAAAGCTGTTAGTTTCTAACCCTGAATAAGATGTTGTTATGCATAAAGTTTCACATGTCTTCATGTTAACCATTTCGCAATGTCAATCAGATACTTGATCAATAAAGATGTTGACGTGGATGTTGAACCTCTGTGTTGATGCCGCACATGATAAGGTTAAGGCCAAGTACTGGAGTTTTCCTAACGAGCAGGTGTAGTGCTGGTTTCCTTCACTGTATTCCATGGCGAAACTGATATGCTAATACCAGTTATCAGGGTCATAACTCCTACTGCTTGATGACGAGAGCACCACGTCCATTAGTTTACGCCATTATGTAAGTTGTCCATCAACTGGTGTCAAGTGCCCCAAGGGACAGCTTTAACATGTAAGAATGAGATATGTTCATAAAATATGCTTGGATGACTTGTATCATTGAACTTATTAGGGAATTTTCCAATAGCATTACAATCAGATCTCAGTGCTCGCGACTGCTACTCAAAGATCTGAGAACATCACATTACAGGGCACGTTAGCGTTAGCAAGTACTAAGATCTGATTTTGATGTGATTTGGAATTTTCTCAAAGTTAATATAGACCTTATTTTACCATATATTGTTACCTTGGTTACTGAAGGTAATTGCAAGTGGAAAGAAATGTTCTGCCAAACCTAATTATGCAATGTCAACACAGTGTTTGAAATTTGCAGAGACCAGGACCCAGAAGACTTAATTTGAGTAATAATTTCACTGTTTTTTTAAAATTTAAACCCAGAACATGAAAACTTTAATCCAATGTAGAATTTTCACCAATGTTTAAATAACACTGCACCTTATTTAAAATAGGAAGAGCCAACACCTTGTTTACCTAGTACCAACGAGTGAGAGCACTTTTCTTACACGATTTGTAAGAAACATGATGCATGGTAAGGACAGCCTCAGTTGTTCACAAAGTCAACTGCTAGGTAAATCTTGAATTTACACCCTCTATTGCCATGATTACCTTTAATCAGGGTTAGAAACTAACAGTTTTCGTCCACTAGTCCTTATAATGATAACATATAGCAAACCCCTTAAAAATGGCAAATTTCTACTAGTCCTTATGATACCTTTACCATTGGGCAGTTTGGCAAGGACTATAGGACTAGTGCCAATTTCTAACGCTGCTTTTATTTTCATGTTTCATGGTGTTTGACAATTATTTTTATTCTAATAATTTATCACAAAGGTTGATTATTGAGGTAGCTCTAATACAATGGTTGATTAATACGTTCTTAGCCTCACATAGAAGGAATTGCGTAATAGTGAAATATTTTGTTGAGGACATTACATGATACCCTATAGGTATATCCACAAAAACTTGAGTCAACTGAGCAGATTATTTTACTTGACACAAATCAGTAAATAAAGCAGGTTTCTGTGACCTTTGGAAAATGGACAAACTTGAGGAACGTGTAGTGATCACGTACTTGCAGATTGTTCCTTGGACTCGGGCTAGAAGTGGGGAAGGGGTGAAGCCAGGTTTCATCCATAGCCACAAATCATGAGGCTCAGAACTTATCAATCAGCCCTCGTATATAGAACTGGCTCTGGCTCTGGCTCCTGGCAAATGGAACTGGTGGTGACAAGATATGAGCTTGTTAAAGGATTCCTCAAATGCTGATCATGACTTAAAGGTTGAAATTTTGCTTGGCCGAGACCATAGAGAGAAGTAAGATTCAGGAAGCACTATAAGCATGATATTATTAGGTGGTGTCTTTAGTTGTTGTATATGGTGTCATATTATAAAAGCCGAAAAATATTGGGAGAGGCATCAGCTTAATAAATCATTATATGTGGTGAGATTTCCTTGTGGAGGTTAACCATGGTAGATGGCAACTCTACAGAAGATCTTTTTACCAACTTTTTGAAAAAATGTTCTCACCCATACCATGGTTACAGTTACATTCCAATTGATATTAATTTGCTTCCTTTTCAGACAAATTTACCAGTATTTAAGTTAAAAGAATCCAGTGTTCGGCGTCGGTACAGTGATTTTGAGTGGCTGAGAAATGAGCTGGAGCGTGATAGTAAGGTAAGTTCAGGCCTGAGAACATTCTACCTTAGCTTGCTGCAGGGCACAATACATGACCTTAAATCAGAAAGATGGGACAGACAGACATTTTGTTTAGACAGTGTGGTTGGTAGGATTGGCTTGTCCTTGAAAATGTTGGATGTTGCTCTTTTCACTCACTGTGACAGTGTAGTCGTGTACTGTAGTTTATCTATATCATCGCATCAGAAGGTCTGGGTTCTGTCACCACAAACGGCTGCAATTTATAAAGCCCGTGTGTCCCCCATCTCAATTTGGCTGGAATATTCCTAACAGTTGTGTGAACTATATTCACACACACTTCCTTTGTAAAATACTTTTTTTTAATGGCGATCCATGAACTCAAGAACCAAAGAGGGTCACAATCAGGCCAGTCGTCTTAGGTGCCACAATTTGATGTGCAGAGTTGTCTCCCTTGGGCATATTAGAAACCTACCATCATGGGTTGGATTCCCAGGTACTTTCTTTGTCAAACCATAACCATGCAGGTCGGTTACACCTTTAGTCTACATCCACGCTGACATGTCATATGACCACATGTCTTGAGACATGTTGAGATGCAATACCTGATGCATCATTTCTTGAAATGTGGGGAGCGTTGAGTTTACGTACTCCATACAACCATGGGGCACATTATTGAACTTGATTTTAATTTTTTAAAGCTTTATCTCTGTGATCAGGGTTTTACATGACGCCCAATGCCTGTGTTTTTGACGCAATAATTTTCTGAAATTCTCTCAAGAATTTCTTGTACAAGTCATAAACTGATGCGATAAATTTGCTAAGCATGTCTAAATTCAGATCAAGTATTTAAAATATTTTAAAAATATACTGACTGCTACTCTGCTGATTGTTTAATATAGAACAAATTTTCAAACTTACTGAATTAAATGAGACTGTAATAGTTTTCATAAAATAGAAACTTATAGATCACTGTCGCAATCTGTAACTGGCAGGGCTACACACCAGCCAACCACCTGGGAGTATTGTATTTCTTTCTAGTGTAGGACTCCTTGACATCCCCCATGTGTGGGGAGTCATGATGATGCCCATTCCTACAAGGCTTGTAAACGCTAGTGTTGTTACCTGTGTGGGTTCTCTTTGCAGATTGTGGTTCCCCCTCTTCCAGGCAAGGCACTGAAGAGGCAGCTACCGTTCCGTGGTGATGATGGTATATTTGAAGAGGACTTCATTGAAGAAAGACGGAAAGGACTCGAGATATTTGTCAACAAGTAATGTGCTTCATATTTCTATGCGACTTATTTCTTAAAATCATTCAATACAACCACTGGTTTATTTGAGCTCAAGCTTTCAAATACGTTTGTCTTGTTTCTATATTGTTTAACGCCACACCCAGCAATATTCCAGCTATATGATGGCGGTCTGTAAATAATCAAGTCTTGACCAGTCAATCAAGTGATTGACGTCATGAGCATCGATCCAAATATGATGACATGCATCAACCAAGTCAGCGAGCCTGACCACCCGATCCTTTAAGTCGCCTCTTACGATTAGCATAGTCACCTTTTACAGCAAGCATTGGTTGTTGAAGACCTTTTCTTCCCCGGATCTTCACGGGTTGTGAAGTGATGTGTAATGCTCTTCACATTTCTTGATGTGATTCTGTAACTCCCCAGAATGTTCCCAAGGGATTGGCTTGTGCACCTGGGGTAGAGTACACCATTGCTAGTCATAGTGAATATATTGGGAACCAGGGTTAGAATTGGTCCCTAGCCACCTATGCTAGTCGTAAGAGGTGACCTTATGAATCGGGTGGTCAGACTTGGTGAGTTGGCTGATGGCATGTGAGTGTACCCCAAAGGCATGGAACGCTGCTCATGAAATAACTGGATTGTCTGGTCCAGACTCCATTATTTACAGTCACCATCATATAGCTGGCATTTTAAACAACAAACACAAACTACATTTACAGGGTTGGAAATGAAGTTTTAGTGTCACTGTCTGCAAAATATTTTTGGGGTAGCCTTGTGGTTGAGCCGGTGTCTCTGTGGACTCGCACTATAAAACCAGCATAAGTCTTGACTTTCCAAGCAGACGCACTATAAAACCAGCATAAGTCTTGACTTTCCAAGCAGACTAACACAGACACAGTGTGCCTGCTTGGCACTATGCATGTACAATAATCTGGAACAATGTTTTAGCCTCATTTCACCTCACCTGACATGTGACTTTTCGGTTACTATTGCAGAGTGGCCGGGCACCCGCTAGCTCAGAATGAGAAGTGCCTACACATGTTTCTTCAAGAGCCAGTCATAGATAAGAACTATATCCCAGGCAAGATCCGACCAACATAGATAGAGTCTGCTGGCTCCTGCATATTTGGTGTGTCACATCCATCAGACTTTGCACGACTTAACAATGTGCGCCGGAAGCGAGGACAACATCTGGATTGACGAGGGCGCATGTTTCTGATTTACAAATGTCAAGACCAAATCATCATGGAATAGTTCATCTTTCCTTATCATTTGCTTGGTCAAAAAATGTAGCTTTCGATATTTGTCAACCTGGATTTGATGGAAATGTACTACAGTTAGTGACGTGTCCTGGCATTATTGTTTTTTATTAAAATTAATGGAGAGTAATACGTTTGTGCGACTTGAAAGTCTATGAAACGAAAGGTGTGACTGTTTTCAATATTTTTGTACATCAAAGTTTTGCCTCCCCTATAAGAAATCTTGTTAAGTGATTCATAGCAAAGATGAATGTGAATTTTGTTAATCACATTGACAAACATTTGAATTTATTTATTAAGAAATGGCAAGTCCTTATTGTTTTCGTGTTGGTTATCAATAGTTATGATAGAAGATATTAAAGATATTTCCTTTGGCTGTATGTACAGGTGAAACAGGCACAAGTAGCTTTGAAAATACCATCCCATATTTAGCTATTTTTTCTCAGGTATTTATTTAACCCTCAACTGAGTACATATATTAAAATTGTGTAAATAAGGAACGTGAATAATTTCTCTGGTTTGGTTTCGGACATCAAATACAGATTAAGTTGGTGTTGATTTGGTTAAGTGCTCAAATAGGATGGAATTGTATCAGATTTAAACCATTACATCGTGTACATGGTACTCACAATTCCATGTTTTAAGGGTGATTTCACCGTCAGAAGTTGTAAGTAATAAACATTTTATTGTAATATTCAGACATCTAGTTACACATTAAACATTTCATTGGTGGTGTGTATCATGTTTATACCATTTATATGGAGTAGGTGTAGTTTTTGTTTTGTCTTATAAATTTTCAAGTTAAAAGATTGGTTGTGATAATCAGTTCCAAAGATACACCAGTCTAACATGCCACAATTTGGGGGGAACTATAGGTGTTACTATCATACAAAAACATATAAGCATAGACTATTTAGAAGGGAGAAACATTTCTTCACAAAATAAAGAATCTTTAAAAATATAAATATGCAAAACTAAGGGGCTGTTATGCCTGTTTAAAATATTGTAACTGTAGGTTAAGTGTACAGTGTATAGTTAATTTAGAAGTGAGCTATTACTAAAATATCAACAATATTTTACTAAACATTTTTCTGTAGCTTTATTACCAGGATAAGATTATTGTATATATGAAAGAAGTCTGTATAAGTGTGGTTATTTAACATTACACACTGAGATACATGACTTACTTATTAGGTTGAAATGTGAAGTGAGATTGTAAAAAATATTATAATAATTATTTGTTTAGATTTTTTAAATCTGAAAATTAAATAGTACAGGAATCTTCATTGTTTAAAATCACTAATTTTCCAAGTATTTTCATTGTTGCCAAATCTCATCAAGTCAGTGTCTGTAATCTCTAACATTCTTGAGTCACACCTGCACAAGCCTTTACAATATTTTAGGTTTTAAATTTAGAATCAGCCATCAAAAGTGGATTAAGATATATTCTGAAAGTGGAATGTATTGAACAAAATGATTGTTGCATACACAATGGAACTGTTTCATCTTAACCTTGTGCTCCATAAACATTGGACAACTAAAGCTGAAATTTGTCAAGGGTCTAATATGATGTCTGAAAACCAAATAATTATGTTGGTGCATGATAATAAGTGCCAACAGTGTTGAAATGCCACCATTAAACGTTACAAGCAATTGGTGATCTGCATAACTTAAAACGAAGCAGGCGTGTCTCAGTGTAACAACCCTCAATGGGATTCCACCTGTGTATGATATCCTAAAACCAATACCCCGGACAAGGACTGTATGCCTTCCAGGATTTCTCTCCGAGGGTATTATTGACTTTTATTACTCAACTTTCCAATAAATGAAGCAAGTGTTTGTGCTTAACATTCACCTGGTCAACTTTTAGTTAATCAAAAGGGGGTGACTTTAAGATTACTCCTTCATGTACTGGACAAATGTAGATATATGTGTAATGTATGCTGGTAACCATGGATACCAACCCAGTTGACATCTTGATGGTGATTGGTCGTTGTACATAACTATGATAGGCTACCAGCAAGTTAATGTAATTGTAAATGTATATGTATTCATTGTTTTACCCTAACATGGCTTTGTCTCATCACTATCAAATATCATTTGATAACGTAATAACATGGCAAAATTGTTATGATTTAAGGGATGCAACAAAAGGGAATTACCATATATTTTAAAGGGGCACCTGTTACTGAGAAATCTAATGTTTACAAATTCTAAATGTAATTCAAGAATGAGGAAATCTTTCTTTTCCTTTTTAACAAATTTCAGCTTGTTTTCTTTGGAATTAGTTGAACTTGATATTGCTATTTGGACCCCATTCAGCATATTCAGTTTTGATTTTTGAAACTGATGAGACAAAGCCCTGAAATGCTTTGTAGAAACAGCAGCTGTTTTCTATACAATACTGTAGTGTGCTCTCAGATAATTAAGTCTGCTTATATTTTATTTTCAGTGTTTTCAAGAAATTTTAGTTGTAACTTAAAGCAGCAGAAATTTGTTTGGAAGTATTTAATAATCTACATGAAATTCAAGTACCTAAATGAATGTATTTTTGCAGTTCGAGCATGTCCATACTTGTTGGCAAAAATCCTCCACAGTTACAAAGGAGCTGTACGAGCACAAGCAACGCTCCTGTCATGTCTTACATGTGCTGAATAAATCATACAATGTACACCCGAGTTCTGTGCTGAGTTCCAGCTGGACTTATCCAAGGGACCAGTTTAAAAGGGAGATGTCTGAAAAATATTGTTTTAAGACGTTCCCCCACCCACCCTAAAAGAAATTGTGAAAATGATGACATTCTCAAAGAGATTCCTTCAGAATGAAAATAACAAAAATCAGAAGTTATGTATTATAATCAACAGCAACATTGATGATTTTTGTTAAACTGACTTGCATCTTCTTGGATTTCAACTCAATTTACCTATGATGGAGATACTGATATAACATTATGATGATTTACATGTGATAAAAGCTGTTGTTTATTGATTCAAACTAAAAATTCTGAAATACTGGCTGACCTGTTAACCCACTAGAATTATGAATTTTATCAGACCTCAAACTTTTGAATGCTCCCTAAGGCGTTCTTCAGGTGTCAAACTTTATTAGTTACCATAAAATCCACAAGATGTATTGCTTTCTTGGCCATCATAATGGCATCAGTGTCTTTACATTCGGTCCTTGGTTCTAACAGGTGAATGCTGCTTTCAAGTCGGATACTGTTGCTTCTTGTTCTTTGTGCTTCACGACCCAACTGCTATCTCAGTACTTATGTGTTGCAGTCTCAAGTATATGGTTCAGATTATTTGTTTGTGAGATATTAACTTGATTATCAGCATGTTGGGGGCACAAGTGGCCCTGATGTTTCAAGTGGTCTTCAGCTTTCAGAATTGCGTCCCTTAGGACTGCCAGAATCTGCAGATCATTGTTTAAATCCTGAATCTTCTGATTATGGTCCTTGGTTTGTCAGCACCATAGCCATATTTATGGATTTCACTAATTTGGTAAACGTCACACAGGACTTTCCTCCCACGCTACTGTGACTGATGTGCAGTGAAATACTGTTCACCAGCATTTAAGTTTTTTTGACAGTGACCAGATGAGCTAGAAACAAAGAAGGCTAAAATGAATATGTTCATTTTAGTTGAAATCATACACACTGATATTAATCAACAGAGATTAATCAGAAGTAAATACAGCAGAAGTTACTGCACCATGCTGAGCATTGATGAACACTGGAGTTTCCTGATGGAGTACAGACCTTGGTCCCGTTTCACAAAGAGATCTTAGCGTTACGATTGTCGTAAGTCTATATTTAAATATGGGAGTTTAATACAATTGTCTTTGTGCTATGTTCGCCTTGTGGAACAGGGCCGGGGAACATTTGACATACTTCTCACAAAGACAGTCTTGACTTGACTGTGATTATCGTGTCTATGGCACTACTACACAAATCCATGGGTTTGCCTTGTACAAGATGCATTAGCCTTCTAAAATGTTGAGAATAAAATATACTTCATTCAGTTCATGCTTTGCTTAAAATACACATTAGGCATTAACAATGATACTACAACAAAAGAACATCAGTCTATATCACAGTCTGTCATCCACACAAATGGAACAAAATATGGATAATTTGAACATACATTGAAAACAACATCAAAACATGTAAAACAAACTGGTACCGGACCATAACGAGATCAAACCATCGTACAAATCAAGTTGTAAACAAACAGAAGATCATAATCACCCTTATGATCTGAAATTAAATGAAAATAAATTCTCATGACAATGCTATTGCAGTTAATATCACAGTCAACAGCTCCAGTGATGTGTTTGATAAAATAATTATTTGCATGGCCCAACTGGGTGTGGCATTAATAAGCACATGACTTAAATTTTAATGTCATGAGACAAAGTGTTATATACCACTCAAAAAAAAGTTAGAGACCGCTCACCATTGGAAGTCTGTGTGTTGCAATACCCACCAGCCATGACAGAATAATGATATGAAAAAATAGGGTGTTCTCTAACTTCTTTTGAGTAGTATATATCAAGTTTTCATCCTGTTAATACTTTTTTCTAATATGACAAAACAGCTTGCTTGATTATAGATGTTGATGGAGATGCATGGGTGGTGAGGCCTTATGCAGCTCCTTCCTCCTCTGTTGCTAGCTGTTTCTGTTTCTCTTTGGCCTCAACCAATGCCTTCCAACTAACAGTGTTGGAGCTGGGGAAACAGAAGACGTACATTGCCAATGACTGTAGCATTTCCAGAGTAAGTTTGTTTGTTTGTTTGTTTGTTGTTTTATGCCGTACTCTGCAATATTCCAGCTATATAACGGCGGTCTGTAAATAATCAAGTTTGGACCAGACAGTCCAGTGATTGACATCACGCAATTGGGATATGATGACATGCATCAACCAGGTCAGCAAGCCTGACCACCCAATCCCATTAGCTGCCTCTTACAACATGCATAGTTGTCTTTTACGGCAAGCATGGGTTGCTGTAGAGCTATTCTAACTGGATCTTCACAGGTATTCTAGGTTAAGAGTCCATGCAACATTATGCTTGTTCATCTACACAACCAATTTATTGATTTAATTACTCTTAGTGGTAAACATCTACGCCCTGCCCCACATTGGGTTTTCCCCCCACAATAAGCTGACATGCTGTGATATGAGATGTGTTAAACTCTTGATTCCTCATAAAAGCATTGATTCTTTTGAGTTGTTGGAAGTTGTGACATAATATTCAGCAATGTCTCTCCAAACTACCACCTTAGGCAAATCAGATTTGTTTGTCTTAGTACAAGGATATGCCAAAAAAGTGACCTACAGAAGAATCTTCTAATCCTTGGAGATTTTAATGTTCATTTGGATGAGAAGGATGAACCCAAAGTGAAGAAAATTGATTTAGTCAATATGTCAATGCTACTACACAAAGAATGAACATATCATTGACTGGGAAGTTACAAGAAGTTCTGATAATCTTATCAAGAACTTGTCAGACCAGGACAAGCAAAGGTCAGATCACTTTATGATCATATTTATGCTTTCTCTTTCTGGTCTCCCCACTGAAGATATGGAAGTTCCCTGCTGTAATTTGAAGAATATTGATGCAGATTCATTTAAAGATGATCTTCGAAACACTGGCCCCCCCAGATCATCTTGATGAATTATGCCAGTCCTACAATACCACCCTGACACCCCTACAAGATTGCCAATCTGCCGTCACACATGTAGAGGAATGTACAAATGAAATCAAATCTTGGATCACTAAGTACATGTTAAAACTCAGTCCTGACAAGGCTAATGTAATCCTGGTTGGAACATGCAGCAAGTAGAGCATTGCAGATGTTACAAGAGTGAATGTTGGACAATCACAACATATAAACATCACATGTAACTCTACATGTTTCACAGATCTACAGAACATGCCATTTCCACCTTTGAATTATCGGAGCAATCAGACACCAACTGTCTACGGATGCTACACATATGCTTGTCAGAAGCCTTGTGCTCACTAGACTTCACTACTGCAATAGTCTACTTTGTAACATCAAGAACCAAAAAGTCAACGCATATACCACCTGTGCTTATCGATCTGCACTAGCTCCCAGTAGAATCTCCAGTTGAATACAAGATCCTGACTTTAACATACTCCTGCTACAACCAGTCAGCACCTTCTTACTTATCTTACCTTATCCAGGTGTATCAGCCACCTAGATCCCTTCGTTCTACCTAGAAACATCTCCTTTGTATACCAAAGACAAAACTGACAAGGTTTGGGCAGGGGTCATTTGCCTACAATGCTGCAGTTCTATGGAACCATCTCTCTTCACATGTGAAAGAAGCAGAAACTCTGCAAATCTTCCAGTCCTGTCTCAAGACATTCCTGTCGAGACTCTTTCATAAAATTTAAAATCAACAGCAACTGACACATCTATTTGTCTTGCATCAGCAGAGTTGCCCCTCTTTTATGTAGCACTGTGAGCATTCAACTAGTGTATGGAGTTAAGCGCATTACAAAGATAATGATGATGATGATGATGATGATGGTGGTGGTGGTGATGGTGGTGATGATGATGATGATGATGATGATGGTGGTGGTGATGGTGATGATGGTGGTGATGGTGATGGTGGTGATGATGGTGGTGGTGGTGATGGTGATGATGATGATGGTTGTGGTGGTGGTGATGGTGATGATGGTGGGGGTGGTGGTGATGGTGGTGATGATGGTGGTGATGGTGGTGATGGTGATGATGATGGTGGGGGTGGTGGTGATGGTGGTGATGATGGTGGTGGTGGTGATGATGATGGTGGTGGTGGTGGTGGTGGTGATGATGATGGTGATGGTGGTGATGATGATGGTGGTGGTGGTGGTGATGATGATGGTGGTGATGGTGGTGGTGGTGGTGGTGATGATGATGGTGGTGATGATGGTGATGGTGGTGGTGGTGGTGGTGGTGATGATGGTGGTGGTGGTGGTGATGATGGTGGTGGTGGTGATGATGGTGGTGGTGGTGGTGGTGGTGATGATGGTGGTGGTGGTGGTGATGATGGTGGTGGTGGTGATGATGGTGGTGATGGTGGTGGTGGTGGTGATGATGATGGTGATGGTGGTGATGGTGGTGGTGATGATGATGATGATGGTGATGGTGATGGTGATGGTGATGATGATGATGATGATGGTGATGGTGGTGGTGGTGGTGATGATGATGGTGATGATGGTGGTGGTGGTGGTGATGATGATGGTGGTGGTGGTGATGATGGTGGTGGTGGTGGTGGTGGTGATGATGGTGGTGGTGGTGGTGATGATGGTGGTGGTGGTGATGATGGTGGTGATGGTGGTGGTGATGGTGGTGGGGGTGGTGGTGATGGTGATGATGATGGTGATGGTGGTGGTGATGATGATGATGGTGGTGGTGGTGGTGATGATGGTGGTGATGGTGGTGGTGATGGTGGTGGGGGTGGTGGTGATGGTGATGATGATGGTGATGGTGGTGATGATGATGGTGGTGGTGGTGGTGATGATGGTGGTGATGGTGATGATGATGATGATGATGATGATGGTGATGATGGTGGTGATGGTGGTGGTGATGGTGGTGGGGGTGGTGGTGATGGTGATGATGATGGTGATGGTGATGATGATGATCGTGGTGGTGGTGATGATGATGATGATGGTGGTGGTGGTGATGGTGATGGTGATGATGAATGAAAGTTTCCCAAAGAAAGTATACTGACTTGGTGCCGTCCAGGAGTGGTTGTGATCCGGGGAGAATCTTGATGAGTGTGTTGTACAGAGGCAAGCAGATGAACCCGATGAAGCCAACCTACACAACAAACATTCATGTAAATGGGGTAATCAATCACATCATCATCATGGCAGGGTATGAAACTTATGTACTTTACTTTCATGGTAAACTTCCGCCATCTTTTGTCATGCGGTCATCATTGCGATGAATGTAGCACCACAGTGATGGGTCCTGGTCACAAAGTGTCTCAAGCAGTACATTCTAGGGATCAGGACCCACAATTAGGACTCCGATACTCTACCACACTGACATTAGTAATAGATTGTAGTGGTCACAATGGTGGCTTGATGATACTTGGTTACTATGACTATTTGACTATTTGAGTGTCACCCCATTGGTACCGAACAATGAACAGGTCCACAGTTGGGAATATCAGCTCATCTGATCAGTATTCTGAGTAAATTTGTCTCAAATAGGTATTTATATTTAACCTAATTGTCCAATTGAAACACACCCAACAGTTACCTGGTTACTGTACATTCTGTTGTGCTGGGCACACTTATTTCATTAACTTCCGCACCAAAGTCACACTTTACATAATTCTAGGGAATTATTCCCATTGTAAAGGTCTGCATAAAAGTATGATGAATAGAATCTATGTTTTTAAAATGTTTTAAAATAAATCAATACGGAAAATATATTTTTATTTCTATGAGATAGTGGGCACATTTATGAGCAAATGTACACAATTACCTACTTCCCTCAGTTTCTATGGGTCTGTCTCTGATGATACCTTACAGTGCTATGATGTGACACCAGATTAAAATGGAGTTGTGTCATAGGTTAATTGCGTGTCTCCTTCATTTTCACTGCCATAACATGGGAATTAATATCACTCCTGATTCACAGCCATTTGACAGGCTCAATGAACACACTGTCATACCAACACACATCCAATTATATCCAGGGTATTTTGGAGAAAGGCTTAAGTATAAACTTAAAATGTTGTTCTGAAATTCTACAAAGATCTAGGGTAAATATGGAAATAGGTAAATGGAGACAAGTACAGTAAACTACGGTTATAACGAATTCAAAGGGACTACTAATTTTAGTTCATTATAACCGTAGTTCGTTATAAGTACATATACAGCATGACTACAGCAAGTAGTCGGGGCCAAAAAGTAAGTTCGTTATATCCGTCAGTTCCTTATAAGCGTGTTCGTTATAACCGTAGTTTACTGTAGGGTGATTGTACTGGGAAGAGACATCCACCTATGAGACCATTTGGATTGATTGCTTCTGTTTCTCTTTAGGGTAGAAATATTTATCTTGCTGCAGAAGGAAAGTTGCAAGATTGGGTATAAGTGCGAGAGACAGCCAAAAAAAGATGTCAGTTTGACTCTACCCCTTAGATATGTGTTGTGCCTAAACGCGTCAGGCAACAGAAACACATCTGAGTACCTTGTGTGTTATAACTAAAACCTCCGTCTCCATTAAATGGACATTGAGAACACCTCACTAGGCACCTCAAACTGCCCAAGTAACAAATGCCATGTATACAATTCAAAAGAAGTTAAGGACCACTGTAGTAATATGAAAGAATCGGGTGGTCCTCAACTTCTTTTGAGTAGTATATGTAACATGATGACAAGATGTACAGGTAAGTTTGTGTGTCTACCTGTTGCTTCGGCATCTCATCCTTGTACTCTCTGTCCATCATAGGAATAGGCTGGAAGCCGTATTTCTTCTCTTTATCTCCCTACAAAGCAAATATGACATGCATGCTGCAAAAATATAAATAATGAACACAGCTGTGACATTTCTAATTAAAAATGTAATCATTTATTTCATTTACCAGGGTATTGGGCAGGATTGTAATGCTCTTGAATAAATTACTGACTGTCCAGTGACTTTCCTCCCACATTAAATTGACACGCCGTGATATAACTGGAATACTGTTCAAAGCAGCGTTAAACTCAACTCACTCACTCATGTGTGAGTATTTGATGTTCAGGACTTAAAAAAATATGAATCCTCGAGCTAATGCTGATTTCCAAATGAAATTCCAAAGCAAATTTCCAGGAAACCTGAGAGCAACCCCAAATAAGTGTACTCAACACAATAATATACAAAACCTGCACATAGAATTCCTCATAGATATGATCGACGGTCTGCTCCTGTGTCCTCCAAGGTTTGGCCACGGCACACAAGTCTGCCCCCGTCATCATCAGGGACTTACACTGGCCTCTGCCAAAGAGGAATGTAGAACTGAATGTGAAATGATCCATCCTCTTTGTCAGGTATATGGTAATAAACATGGAGTAGTGTATTTGAGGCTAAATGAAGTAACGGAAAGCTTTGTATGAAATTTATCTGTGACTGTACATCAGGTACATAGAATTGTGCGATGGTTCATTCATCTACACTGTATGCTTCCTTCAGTGCTTGATATGAGTGAGTGAATGTTGTTTTACGCTGCAGTCAGGCTTATCATAGCAGCTTGTAAATAATCCAAGACGAGGCCAGGCACGCAAATAGATACCCGTAACACTATTAGCCACACCTTATGGCCACAATGGCACAGTTTGAGCAGCTAACATATTTTAACCATCTGATCCCTATTTTATTCAACTTGAAAGACAAGCAAGGGGCACCTGGTACCTATTCTTCCTTACTAAGAATCTCATCATGTCCTGTGCTTGGTGGAACAGTATGGATATAGTTCCAGGAAGAAAATGGTGCCTTCATTTTCTAAAGGGGCCACCGGTACATGACTTCTAAAGGGGTACAAGACTTTTAAGGGGTACATGACTTCTAAAGGTGTATATAACTTCTAAAGGGGTACATGACTTCTAAAGGGGTATATGACTCCAAAAGGGGTACATGACTTCTAACGGGGCACGTGTCTTCTAAAGGGGTACATGACTTCTAGAGGGGAACATGACTTCTAAAGGGGTACCAGACTTTTAAAAGGAGTACATTACTTCTAAAGGGGTACATGACTTCAGGGGTAGATTACTTCTAGAGGGGTACATGACTTCAAAGAGGTACAAGACTTCTAAAGGGGTACATGACTTCTAAATGGGTACATGACTTCAGGGGTAGATTACTTCTAAAGGGGTACATGACTTCTAAAGGGGTACATGACTTAAGGGGTACATGACTTCTAAAGGGCAACATGACTTCTAAAGGGGTACATGACTTCTAAAGGGGTATATGATTCCAAAAGGGGTACATGACTTCTAACGGGGCACGTGTCTTCTAAAGGGGTACATGACTTCTAGAGGGGAACATGACTTCTAAAGGGGTACCAGACTTTTAAAAGGAGTACATTACTTCTAAAGGGGTACATGACTTCAAAGGGGTACAAGACTTCTAAAGGGGTACATGACTTCTAAATGGGTACATGACTTCAGGGGTAGATTACTTCTAAAGGGGTACATGACTTCTAAAGGTGTACAAGACTTCTATAGGGGTACATGACTTCTAAAGGTGTACATGACTTCTAAAGGGGTACATGACTTCTAAAGGGGTACATGACTTCTAAAGGGCAACATGACTTCTAAAGGGCAACATGACTTCTAAAGGTGTACATGACTTGTAAAGGGGTACATGACTTCTAAAGGGGTACATGACTTCTAAAGGGATACATGACTTCAGGGGTAGATTACTTCTAAAGGGGTACATGACTTCAGGGGTAGATTACTTCTAAAGGAGTATATAACTTCAGGGGTACATGGCTTCTAAAGGGGAACATGACTTCAAAAGGGATAATGACTTCTAAAGGTGTACAGGACTTCTAAAGGGGTACATGACTTCAGGGGTAGAATACTTCTAAAGGGGTACATAACTTCAGGGGTAGATTACTTCTAAAGGAGTATATAACTTCAGGGGTACATGGCTTCTAAAGGTGTACATGACTTCTAAAGGGCAAGATTACTTCTAAAGGGGTACATGACTTCTAAAGGTGTACATGACTTCTAAAGGGGTACATGACTTCTAAAGGGGTACATGACTTCTAAAGGGCAACATGACTTCTAAAGGTGTACATGACTTCTAAAGGGGTACATGACTTCTAAAGGGGTACATGACTTCTAAAGGGGAAACATGACTTCTAAAGGGGTACATGACTTCAGGGGTAGAATACTTCTAAAGGGGTACATGACTTCAGGGGTAGATTACTTCTAAAGGAGTATATAACTTCAGGGGAACATGGCTTCTAAAGGGGAACATGACTTCAAAAGGGATAATGACTTCTAAAGGTGTACCTGACTTCTAAAGGGGTACATGACTTCAGGGGTAGAATACTTCTAAAGGGGTACATGACTTCAGGGGTAGATTACTTCTAAAGGGGTACAAGACTTCTAAATGGGTACATGACTTAAGGGGTACATGACTTCTAAAGGGCAACATGACTTCTGAAGGGGTACATGACTTCTGAAGGGGTACATGACTTCTAAAGGGGTACGTGACTTCTAAAGGGGTACATGACTTCTAAAGGTGTACATGACTTCTAAAAGGGTACATGACTTCTAAAGGTGTACAAGACTTCTAAAGGGGTACATGACTTCTAAAGGGCAAGATTACTTCTAAAGGGGTTCATGACTTCTAAAGGGCAAGATTACTTCTAAAGGGGTGCATGACTTCTAAAGGTGTACAAGACTTCTATAGGGGTACATGACTTCTAAAGGGGTACATGACTTCTAAAGGGGTACATGACTTCTAAAGGGCAACATGACTTCTAAACGGGTACATGACTTCAGGGGTAGAATACTTCTAAAGGGGTACATAACTTCAGGGGTAGATTACTTCTAAAGGAGTATATAACTTCAGGGGTACATGGCTTCTAAAGGTGTACATGACTTCTAAAGGGCAAGATTACTTCTAAAGGGGTACATGATTTCTAAAGGGGTACATGACTTCTAAAGGTGTACATGACTTCTAAAGGGGCGCATGACTTCTAAAGGGGTACATGACTTCTAAAGGGCAACATGACTTCTAAAGGGGTACATGACTTCAGGGGTAGATTACTTCTAAAGGGGTACATGACTTCAGGGGTAGAATACTTCTAAAGGGATACATAACTTCAGGGGTACATGGCTTCTAAAGGGGAACATGACTTCAAAAGGGATAATGACTTCTAAAGGTGTACAGGACTTCTAAAGGGGTACATGGCTTCAGGGCTAGAATACTTCTAAAGGGGTACATGACTTCAGGGGTAGATTACATCTAAAGGAGTATATAACTTCAGAGGTACAGGTGTACAGGGGTACATGACTTCAAAAGGGGTACATGACTTCAAAAGGGGTACACCGTACAAGTCTTCTAAAGGGGTACAAAACTTCTGAAGGGACATATAAATCCATGATGTTACCTCATCTTGGTGTTGTTGATATCAAACGTATTCTCCTTGATAAGAGCTGCAAGTGATTTTTGGTTGGGAAAGTAGAGGGCAAGGTCAGTGGCAATGATGGCCTGGCGAATCATTTCCAGCATCTCCTTGTACTCATCAGCAGTCATGAAGGAGAAGATGTCGTGCGCTTCACTCTAACAAACATAAAACAGTGCAAAATATAGGTCACACTTCAACACATTGATGGGATGTCTTCATGTACTATTTCCCTGATCACACTATTTTCTCTAAAAATTCCAAGAAAGGTGATGGCGACACTACAGTTCGGCAAGGGTGGAGACTGGACTTTTACAGTCAGGTAACTCCCTTGCCTCGGGAAGATGGTCATTAGCTCACACTCAGCCGTCATTGTGACCACCCAATCCTCATATTGATCATCTCTTGCAACAAGCATTGCCTGTGCTGGAGACCCTTGTTCCACTCAAATACACACGTTTTTAGCATAGCTATTACAAGGATCTATTCTGATTTAGAATACCCCAAAGTATTGATAAAATGCAAGTTTCTTTTGTAAAGTAGGTATGTGTTGTCCAAACCTGCAGGATCATGACTGTCTGCTTGTAGTGATGCTGCTCCATGACGGAAGTGCTGTACAGGGCAGCCATAGGCAGCTGCAGCTTGGTGAAGAATGCATTGTTGTAACCACGGTGATCCACATCATGACACAATCCCGATATCACGAGACCCATTTGCTGCAACGACAATGAACGCAAGAGACATCATATACCTGACATGAAGAAGGTGGAATTTAGGTCTACAAATCATGATTCTAGATATGTTATAAGTTAAGCATGAAGTCGTCATCCATGGGGCAGTGGGGTAGCCAGTAGTTACAGAGGGTCCAGGTTTGATTCCCCACAGGCATGTAACATGTGAAGGCCATATCTGATGTCTCCTTTCTGAGGTATTACTAAAAGCAGTGTAAAAACTAAATTTACTATCATCCATGACTTGGGAAGTGTGACACTAAGGAAGAATATGTGCACAAGGTCTTGTTCTCATCCTACTGTCATCCCCAGCATATTTCACAATACCATGGTCGTGGAACATTTTGCAGCAATGCTAAATCAGTGCAGAAATGTACCTAACTTGTAGAAAATCACATCTTGTAGTAAATGCATTTATCTGCTGCAGAATTTGTCAAGTACACTGCAGAATTTGAACATGTGAGTAGAAAGCTGGTTTTAAACATATATTTATTTCGTTTTGAATTGAAGTTGATTTTTGTATTATTACTTAACGAAAGTGCATGTCTGTATGTTTACACAGGTGATCTCATGAATCATTTAAATAAGCTATTCTAGCCATGGATAAGTTTATCATAAAAGGGCCTGCCACAAGTCTAACAGGTACAAAACTACGAAATTCACGAAAACTAAGTATAAAAGTTTGAAGAATCGTGTGCAGAATTATCAAAATCTGTTTTCCCCACAGTATACAACGGGGACAGTACTATAATCAAAGGCTAAAGGAATGATGGCCATCTTTTTGTCTATCGCTGTGATTTTTCAGGGAACATCATAGCCCAAATCTGCTCTCTCTTTTGAAGATAAAGTAATTTTCATTTTCCATTTGAGATCCATAGCAGGTTCATCTTTGACTCCAATATGCATTGAATGGCATCAATACACCGAGCCTGGTCTGTCTTGACAAGCGGTTGGCCATGTACACAGGTAGAAGATTGATCAATTCACATTCTCATCTAATACAATATGATTATTAATAATTTTCAGTTATCAATATATTGATCACTTATTTTTGCCCTTGAGTAAGAAAGCAAGTTCACCATTGACAAGCCACATTAGACAACCTGTCCTTGCTCATAACCTCCCTTTGTTGAAGGTCATCAAACACAATCTTTGTCTTAAAGAGAGCCACAAAGTCAGATTTGGGTAGCAGGAAAAAAGTGAGTTTCCAAGTTGATAGACTAAAATGTCTCCAAAATCAAGTAAGACAATCTATGTCTAGTCCAGATTGCCCAACTATCATTCTGGTAAATTAATATGCTATATGCATCTGCTGCAGGCAAACCAGTGGTTGACATTATCAGCAATAGTTCTTCCATCTAGGTACTACAACACCTGGCCAGGCAAACCAGTGGTTGACATTATCAGCAATAGTTCTTCCATCTAGGTACTACAACACCTGGCCAGGCAAACCAGTGGTTGACATTATCAGCAATAGTTCTTCCATCTTGGTACTACGGCACCTGGCCAGGTAAACCAGTGGTTGACATTATCAGCAATAGTTCTTCCATCTAGGTACTACGACACCTGACCAGGCAAACCAGTGGTTGACATTATCAGCAATATTTCTTTCATCTGGGTACTACAACACCTGGCCAGGCAAACCAGTGGTTGACATTATCAGCAATAGTTCTTCCATCTTGGTAATACGACACCTGGCCAGGCAAACCAGTGGTTGACATTATCAGCAATAGTTCTTCCATCTTGGTACTACGACACCTTGCCAGGCAAACCAGTGGTTGACATTATCAGCAATAGTTCTTCCATCTTGGTACTACGACACCTTGCCAGGCAAACTAGTGGTTGACATTATCAGCAATAGTCCTTCCATCTAGGTACTTAAAATGACACCAGGCCAGTTAAACCAGTGGTTCACATTATTAGCAATAGTTCTTCCATCTAGGTACTATAACACAGAGCAATATCCTCATTTTAGTCTGTTCTTACCTCAGAGTTCACACTGATGTTGAGCACTAAAATTCAAGGCCTTTTCAGGGCTTAAAATTACATTTTCAAGGCATTTTATAACAAAGATGATAGCCTGAGTTAATCAAAATTTCTGAAATTCAGCTGACTAACTCCTTCCACAAATTAACATATGAGAGTCACATAAAAGTCATTGAAATATTTGCAGTCACGCAAACTGTTTTTTTTCAAAACAAGCAGACATGTTTCATTCAACCAAAATAGAATTTGTATTCAACCAATCCAACATATGAACATTGCAGAACTGTGTGATGCTTCAGCACATATACAGTGTGCATAGTTCACACCTGGACACCAATTACATATTTTAACACAAATTTCTGTTGTGTGGTTCCTGTAGCAGTACCTCTTTGATGGAGAAGATGCCAGGGTTGGTTTTGATCATACAGTACAGCGCATGGGCCACCTCGAATCCATGCCTCCAGTTGTGGTACAGAAGTGGTCGGTAATTCTTGCGCACAGTCAGAATAAACTGACACAGCTTCTTCTGGTCAAACCTGAATAAATAAATTGCAAATGATTCGTGGCATTTGATAGGCTAACCAGCTCATTTTTCTTGCCAAATTTCTTTCAGTCCATGCCTACTAACAGACCGCTTTTTTACAGAACTGGTTGGTAATTCTTGCACAATCAGAGTAAACCGACACAGCTTCTCCTGGTCAAACCTGAATAAATAAACTGCAAATGATTCGTAGCATTTGATGGGCTAACCAACCCATTTCTCTTGCCAAATTTCTTTCAGTCTATGCCTACTAACGCACTGCTTTTTCCCTATTGGCTGATACTGGAACGGGCGGGGTTTGTGTTGCATTATTGTGCTGAATAAGGTGACTGATTTCATATTTTTGTCTGCAGTTACGTTTGTGTTTAAATTAACAGTTTGTGAAGTTGTTATTGTTGACATATTTATTTATAAGAAATGTCTTCAATATGTTTTTGTGTTTATGGAGTTATAAATGTAAAAAATGTAAAAAATGCACTACATGTATTTCTACAGTGTGCACACTAGTTTACACCTCCATAAACACAAAAGATATTGAAGTCAATTCTTAAGTTAAAGTTGACCATAAGTTTCTTTAGATCACTTTCAATTAATGAAGAAAGTATCTAACATATAGAAATAGATCTAAGACAAAACATCTAATGACATGGGTCCCAGTTCTACAAAGAAATTGTATGCCACATACATTCACACTGACTCAAGATAGTCATAATGCTAAGATCAGTTTGTTGTATTGGGCCCAGTATGGCCACCTAAAACTAGCCAACAAATATGCACAAATACAGTATTCATCCTGGCACTGTTTGTATCACTGTTGATTACCAGATATAAATATCAATTAACTAGGACTGGCTATCGATATAGATCATGGAGATCGATAATCGCTGACTAAATATCGATCAATAATCAATAAATATGGGAGAAGGAACTTTTAGCAAACATGCCAAAAAGTCCCGAAAGAAATCAACAAATTTCACACCACTGGTGAGCAGTGATTGTTTATGCATGGATTACTTTGTAGACATTTGAGATATAACAAAAACTGTTGCTTTCCGTCTTCGACAATTGACATTATTGACAATGACAAGTCTTTCTGTAAATCTAAAATTTATTTCATCAAAATAGTTTATGTGAGTTATTATTGATGACAACAGTTTCCTATCCATATTCGTTAAAATTTCTTTCCATCGACGATAATTCTGATTATCAATCTTTTTAGCCAGCCCTACAATTAACTAATACATACATGCATGTCTGAGTACAGTATTGGCTGGCCCACCAAGCTAATTGTTTTAGCAACACACTAAGGACAAGCAGATAATCCAACCCATACATACATGGCCTGTCACAGATAAAATTAGAATTTTGTTAAAAATGGGATTCTTTTTTCAACGTTCATGTGTTACATGGTCATGCATGGTTATAAGAAATTCAATTAGGAATATTTCAAGTCAAATTTAAGAATTTGACCAACATTTGCTGCACATTTGGGACCAAATATCCCTCTCTGAGAACATATTGGTAAAACACTGACATTGCTACAACTTGGGATTCACATGGGATTAAAGTTTGTGAAATATGCCCACAGAACAGAGAAAGTCAGAGTCACATGACTTTCCTTCACACTTTGGTGTTAGTATTTAGTTGGTGAGTACAGAGTGTGTAATTATACTTACATATTTTGCCCAAACAGATCATCAATCATGTGTAGAAACAATTTTGGCAACTGTTTCTCAAAATCATCTGCAAAAAATTCATATCTGAAAAGAAAACCATGAAAAAATACTATCCTGATTTTTTAGTAATGTATATGCTGCACCTGATACAAGATAAAGGCTTTCAAAATCTCAGCTATGCTATATGTGAACGTTTCATGCCTTAGTCAGAAATACTATAGCTATATATCATGTGTGTTTGTAAATATTCAAGTCTGGACAAGGCAAACAATGTTTGGTAGCAGTAGCAGTGATCCACTACGTCAAAGTATGAACTATGAACACATGATCCCAATCTCAGCTCAGTCACCATGAAGTCAATCTCCCAGGCTCCGAGTGTATTACCTTACCATTTTTTATCTTTAGAAATTGTTTAAGATGTTATGGAGATGAACTGGCAAGACATAAGAATCAGCCTATTACCTACTCAACAAGCAGGTATGATATTACAAAAGCAATTAAGATGAAGATGACACAGATCTTACTTGCTCAATACAGCTGGAACCTCCTCAGCTGCTGGATAAGGATTGTCAGCCAGCTCATCCACTTCCTCATCATGAGCCACAAAATGAAACTCCAGAACATCCATGGCCACCTTGTACTGGTCCTGCTGTTGCTTCAGCAAGCTGAACAGCTGCAACATGGAGGGAGGTGTGAATGTTGCAACTAATACCATAAGCAACATTCCAGCTGTATAACCAGTAAATAACCTTGACATGGCAAACCAGTGATTGACAGCATGAGCAATGATCTGAACTTGGAAGTGAGGGAGTAAATCAACAGGCAACCAGGGTGTACAATTGAATATACATTCCCATGGCTACAGTCACAATATTCATTGATGTATTTCTGAAAGTAAAACCACAAATAACATAAAATAATTCCATTCCTGGCATAACAGTTTGACATCAACATTTTCATTCATCCCAAAAGGTTTTTTTCTTTTCACATGGGCATATTCTTTCAAAGGTTCCAGATTGGAACCCCATAAGGAACCTTCAAATATATTTGTAGTCCAGAATATGACAATTAGATTGTTACTGATCACCACCAATTTCATGGCAGCACCCATGCATCATGATTTAAACACACTAGGTTGGAGCGGTCGGGTAGCCTAGTGGTTAAAGCGTTCACTCGTCACGCCGAAGACCCGGGTTCGATTCCCGACATGGGTACAATGTGTGAAGCCTGAAGCCAATATTACTGCACACACTTAAGGTGCTGGCATCCACATATAATTTAGATGTTACACCTCATTCAGTGTTTGGAAGTAAGTGTGAAAGTTAACAATTCCTTGTCACAACCCAATACTAATGTCTAACATTTAAACTTCAGAGGGTTCCTAGATTTATATAATACAACATGCAGTAAACTTAAAGGAGCCTGGGACACTATTTTAACACTAATTTTGAATACTGCTATTTCCAGTGTCTGCATTATGCCCAGGCAGTGCCTCACCTTCGAGTAGTGCAGGGCCAGTGCACAGTACACTGCAAACATTTTGAAGGCCTCCTCATCTGCAAAACAAAACAAAACAAACCCTTTGGATAAGAAATATTACTACACTTTGGGCATGAATGATGTGAAAATATTTGTAGTCACACATTTTTTTGCTTTATGCATTTTCCCGAGGCAAGAGAGTTAACTGACTATAAAAGTCCAGTTTCCACCCTTGCCGAACTAGGCTGGTATTATGGAGTTACATTTTGGCTGGACTAACGAGTCTATGCATAGTCCAATCGAAATCGCGCACCAAAATTGAAATCCGGTTCGTTAACTGTTGTGCAGATTTCGGTCGATTGCAGGATTTGCAAAGCATGTGCACTGCCAACTCGTTGTCAGCAGATATTTTCCAAATCTTTTCATGTTTTTAATCAAGGTGCTCACATGATTTGATGCATTTCGCGAAGTAAGAACCGTTTTATCACAATATAGATCTTGATTATCGATCAGATCCTCCCAACCGGGTGCCACCATTTTGTGTGAAGCAAACGCAAGTGATACGACAGGTGGAATCTGATTGGTCCATAGGAGAGGCTTAGAAGAGACATAACTGGTAATAGCCACTGGTGGCGCTACGATCGAGCCCAGTAATTCCAGCCTAGTTCAGCAAGGGTGGAAACTGGACTTTTAAAGTCAGTTAACTCTCTTGCCTCAGGAAGATGGCTTTATGCTGATAGGCTTATTTGCACTAAATTTGTTAATTCTAGGATGGAAATTATTATCTAATTATTGCACAGCAGGAATACAATACTGATGTGAATACTTGCACCTTGACAGCTTCAAGCTTATCCTTGAATCCTTGAACAGCAAGCATAGCACCATATTAATGCTTATATTATTAAAAATACCTGTGACCATGTGACCAGCACTGTACCTGCTTTAGTAAAGTGGTCCTCAGTGAGAGAGTTGACCATCTGTACCACCCCGATCACCTTCCCCCTGCTGATGATGGGCATACATAGAATGTTCTTGGTGGTGTAGCCAGTCTGCTTGTCCACATCCCTGGAACATGGTGGATCAGTTTACACAAGTGTCGGAAAAACATAAAAATCAGCAATATTCCAGTGGCCTAACGGAAGCGTGTCTGGGCCGAACAAGCCAGTAGTTGATATGTTGAGCATTGTTCCACGTCATCAGGGTACGGTGACATGCAATTAACTAAGTCACCAAAGCTGACCACCAATCCATTCCTCCACTTCTTACGACAAGGATACGAGGGGTTTAGCAAGATATGAGACAGGTCTGGCTTTGATTTGATGATTGATTATGATTTTTAAGTTATTCCTAACACCATTTCAGACAGCGTCAGACGGGGATGCAGAATTTAAACTGTGTCATTACCTGGTCACAGAATTCCCATTAATTACCATGAAGCAGAATTTGTTAGAGACGGTAAGTCAACAAACATTTTGATTGTGTCTGTTCTTCAATTTACTGAATAAAGTTTTGTTGTTATAGTAATATACTTATACCTGGACACCAAATTTATAAAGTTACTTAAATCAAGCTGGTGCGGGTGGGCCAAAAAGTATTTTGAATTTGGAAAACAAATATTCAGTATGCAGGTCCATGTCTATTGAGGCTCCGGCCACTTGTGGAGAAGGCTAGCATTTAATAAACATCCCTTAATTTGACTTCATTCATGACAAAATAACAATATAGAAATAGATCTAAGGCAATGATGGTAATAATTGGGAGTGTCATTCCTTTGTTTTGAGAGAAAAAGTGTGCTCTGCTGGTTTAAGAAATTTGTGTTGCATTACAGTATAGAATAAAATAAATTGTGTTAAGATGTAGTGTGTGCCTTAAAATCAACATTATCTTTATTTACAGCCCTATGTGTGCTAAAAGAACTAATTGTGTTGACCATACTACAGGAGCTATTGTGTCCAAACCTGTTAAATCTTGGATCCTCATAGGCATCAGGGATGTTGAGTGCCTCTCCTGTTTTAGCAACATGTCCCGCAATACCCCTGTCACTTGGGAATCTACAAGACATATCATTAGGCCAGTTAAAAAAGTTAATTATTTTCTGTTTTCATGAAAGGGAAGGAGAAAAGATGATGTTTATCTTTTCTTTAGTAGTCTACAAAGTAAGTTTAAAGTAAACTTGATTCTTATGTACCACATGAGTGTTTAGGCCATGCCCCATTCGACTAGAAGTATGAAGAGACAGGCCCAATATGAATAGCATGGCGCTTCAAAAAGGTTGGAATCCAACACAGAAGCAATAAAAAAATCATTTCTTAATAGTGCTTAAAAATGACAGAAATATTCGTCATTTGAAATTGGCACTAGTCCTATAGTCCTGGCCAAACTGTCCAATGGTTAAGGTATCATAAGGACTAGTAGGAATTTGCCATTTTTAAGGGTTTGCTATAAGTTATCATTATAAGGACTAGTGGACAGTTAGTTTCTATTTTTGATATTCGTTGCCTGGGGCCACTATAAGGGTTGGTAGACAGTAAAAAGACATGTAGGGATATTAGGCACATGAAATATTGATCATAACATTAACATGTCCACTGGTGTACATAGTGAGACAGTCTTCTACACTACATTTCTCTATGCCTTTCTTCAGAACTCTGTCATGGTCTATGTACCTTATCTGACGTTTGGTGAAGACTGGCTTGCCGTCCTCCGTTACACCCTCATCAAAGTAATTAGCAAACAGCTCATTCTTCTCCTCGTCAACCAGAAACAGAGCCGATCGGTCTGCCTGCACCAGGTCCTTGGTGTGATACTGGTAATCACATGATAATCATGTAATATAGCATGTCCATAATACAGGAGCAAAACTAAAACATACATCTTACTCCTATACAAAATAGACACACATTCTGTAATAACACCCACTGATGATCTTGGCTCATTTTCTTTTTCAATCATAAATAATCAATAATATCACCCCTTAACAGTCCTGCAATAATGCCATGAAGAGTTTATTTGCAGTTTGACCTTTCAGGACAAATGTGCAAGTGTTCACAGGGATTATCTCCCTTGCTGTGCTTTGCTAGATTCCTGTAAAAATGTTTTTGTGATGAATATTGCATTAGGTTTCCACTCTGTTTGGTCTGTACCACCTTATTACTGTCCTATGTGATAGCAGATGTTATTTCATATCCATATAGTATTGCTGGGATATATAAAGGGCTGGTAGTGCTGCTCATACCATGATATTCTGTACCAGAGTGTCTATGCTGATCATTTCATCAAACAGGACCCTGAAAGAAAAAAGTAATGAAACCAAGAAAGTTAACACACTAAAATGTTTTGATATTATGATTATGATTATTATTTGAGAAAAATTATAATTTATGATGATGATGATGATGATGATGATGTTGATGATGATGATGATGATGATGGTGGTGGTGGTGGTGATGGGCCACATATTAATCAACATCACTCCGGAGGATTACACTGAAGGCATGTGACATTATAACTATCATTAACCTGGTAAATGATCAATGATCAATGTTCATGTAAACTGTACTCTCAGTTCCCTTGAGATCATTGGGGCAGTGGGGTAGCCTAGTAGTTCAAGTGTTCACCATACTCACTCACTCCCTTGGGATCATATAACCCAAGCTGCCTCTCAGCTTCTAGTAGAGTTGTAGATTCACATTATCATCTCATTCTACCAGGATCCCACTTGCTGAATAAGTCACTTGCATAAATCGACACCATATATTCTACAACCTGTTTTTCAATGTGACCAAGGCCCTTGAAGCTCTCAGCAGCTAAGTATGCTTGGCCCGGTCACCCCTCCACCCACTTCACTTCACCAGGGGCAGTGGGGCAGCCTAGAGGTTAAAGCGTTCGCTTGTCACGCCAAAGACCCGGGTTCGATTCCCGATATGGGTACAATGTGTGAAGCCCATTTCGGGTATCCCCTGCAGTGATATTACTCGAATATTGCTAAAAACTGTGTAAAAACAAACTCTCTCACTCACTTCACCACATTTGTGGCCTGCTTGTCATGCACAGGACTATGAGCCACCACAGAGATTACTTGTTACACTTGGGCCTTTTATATTATTGTTTCTTTTACCAACTGTCTGACCAAATACTCAATTAATGTGGTTGAAATATTTTTCTTTTCAATTCCAATTTCCAAGTAAGTTACTTTTAGTGAATAAAAAACATCCTAGTTTAAACTTTGGGGACACTGAGTTTAGTGGTCAGCTAGTGATGCATTGTTTTGATACACTACAAAACACCAACATCAACCTGTGAGTCAGTCATGTATGTAATTGTTAACAATTTACGATTTTCAGGAGACATGTCAGGTTGTAAATATGGTGGTTTTCATCCTCCATACAACTGGAGCAAAGGGGTAGCCTAGTGTTTACAGTGGTCACTCATCACACAGAAGGCCTGGGTTTTTATTCCCCACATGGGTACAATGTGTGAAGTCTGGTTTCTCATGTCGCCATATTGCTGGGTTATTGCTAAAAGCGCAAAGAATGTTTTCTCTCATTTCAGGCTATTTGTCTGCTGGTTTTGTACACCAACTGGCAATGGATAAAAACACCTAAGGTCATGTCAGTTCTTTTTATTTTTCAGGTAAACCGTAATAATTTGTTAGATCACAATTCTTGGTACCTACTTGGTTGTGTCTAGCAGGAAGTCATTTAACTTGGACTGAGTCAACAAAACTCTGTTCATCTGAAATAATATCATGTTCATCAGAGAAAGCTGGAGACAACACCAAACTGTATCACTTTGTTTTACAATATGATATGTATTCATTATTTCATTCACTTAAATGTTTTAATTGTGATTCAAAGGAAAACAAATATGTTTGCCATGTATGCATACAAGGTTCGAAATTCCTTGTATTACAGCGCCAATGATAGGTAAAATAGTAATGGCACAGTTAAATAAGGTACTGGTGCTTAAAGGACACACTTGGAAAATCATAGTTTTTAGCCATGTATAAATATTATATTAAGCCAGTGATGATTGTACTTTATGTACTTTTCAAACATGTGGTAAATGAACATATAAATATGCCTCGTGGACAGTATGATTCATAAAAAAATTCTGGGGATTTAGAAACTGAAATTAGTGAAAATATATTACACATGTATCTATCTCAATGAAAGGAAGGTTCAACAAACTCATGGTGAAACGATATTCACATTGTTTGAAGATTGATCAAAAGCATTGTTCCAAATTCCAAAGGGCACTTCTACACAACGCTATGAGTGCCCCATGGTGGTACAGTTGAAAGAAAATATATTTCTAGAAATAATTCTATCTCTGCCATGTCATTTCAAAACAATACCAACCTATGGTCATGCTGAGTCAGACCGAAGGTTCATTCTATTTGTTCTTAGCTTTCATGTGAACATTGCTTATTTCATAATGCAATGCAATTCCCTAGAATCATCTTTTCAAACATACTTTCTGCAAGCAATGTATGAAGTATATGTGTAATTCCTTGGAATAATGTTCTAGACTATTTAAACTTTTCAAACATATTTTCTGCAAGCAATGTATGCAGCATGTGCCTAAATATTCACCATTCCTGATATTCTGATATATCCTATCCATTGAGGCTGTACAATGGTTCCCCCGAGAGGCACCCTGTACTTACCCTGCACTGGTGTAGAGAGGCCACCAACCAGCTCAACATGGCATTAGCCAGCTGCAATACATTGATCACCACGTGAAATGTGACGGATATTGTATGTTGTTTAACGCCGCACTATTAGTTATGGTGTCTTTAGTTGCGGTATACAGTGTCATATTAGATTAGCAGAAAAATTGGGCGAGGTGTGAGCCGAGCCCAATATTTTTCTCCTAACCTAATATAAAGACACATAACCTAAAGACACATAACAAATTTATTATGTCAAAAAGTTTACACTATGTACTATATACAACACTTTAACGCAAAAACATAAACATTATCAATCGAATATATCATGCACTAAATGAGAACGTTAAAGGCATTATAGTTAAAATGGATGGAATTTTCATCAAAATGCCCATATGGTAATATGCGGGCCAATGTAACTTGATAGCAGGCCGCTTTCCCCTTACGACGGGCTGCTGTCTATTCTATTGCTATGTGACGTCATTAGCGTCACATTTCTTGTTTGTGACGTCATCCTATACTATGTTCTTTGACGTTGCCATTTGTAACTCATCACCATTAATGATATTTAAACACAAAACAGTGTCAAATAACAAATTTCTGTACCAGAATTTAAATGTAAAATATGTGAGGTGTGTGTTGAAAAATCCGAGATGGCTGTTACTGACGGTATACGGTCTCATATCTGGGCCCACTTGCACAAAGCACTTTGTGCAAGTGGCCCAGGTCAGTAACAACCATCTTGGATTTTTACTGACTGTATACGGGCTCATGTGGGGTCAGTAGTTCTGCCCTCGGATTGGTCAATCTCACTTTGAGGCATAATAATCAGCAATATTACAGCTATTGGGACGAGCATAGTTGCTTTTTACAGCACGCTTAGATGTTGAAAACCTATTCTACCATTGTCTGAAGTACATTTGACTCCAAAGGCTTAGTTACCCTGTAGCCACGACATGTATATGTCTCCATAACTTAATTGTCATTATTTATAAGACACTAATCCCCGTTGTTAATCCTCACCAACATTTCATTTGATTTGACTGTCAGTCAGCCTGGACTACCATATCACTTCCCTTTAACTACTGCTTTTTATAGTATGGCATTTATTGCCTTAATTGGTCATCCCCTGAACTGTGTCAGTTCATCACGCCCATATGTCCAATGTCCAGAGCAACATCATTGTCTCTTTGTCTGTCCATTGTTGTTCATTACTATATATGAGTTACCATTACATGGTGTTAGTCAAGCTTGGTATTCCAAGTGCTGGTGTAGGGATGACCTCGAGCAGGATGTGCCGCTCGTAGGAAACGTCCTGAGGTGAGCTGGAGCTCCGCTCACCTCATGTATGCCTGAGCTGGAAGGTCCGCTCATCGCTGTGTTTGTGTTGTCAGAGCAGGTATTCCGCTCATTGTGCAATTGTTGTTTATTGTTTACATGTTGTGCATAAAGCGTTCCGGGACAGTGATGTCAATTTTGTCCTTTATTCACCCAAGAGCTAATTCCCTGTCAACATGCTCGTTGACACTAAACTGAACACCATCCACCAACCTGATGATCTTCATCAGTAAATGAATCCTTTAAGCCTTCTTTGGTCAGTTCGATGACACCTGCACAGAAAAGAAACTAAACTGAACAAAGTGAATGTTGTTTTACACCATTGTGCTACAGGTGACAGTCGAAAATGATCACTTGTTGTTCTCATAGGGGCGGTACGGCAGCCTGTGGTTAGAGCACTGGTGTCAGCTGTATCAGTGTCAGACTTGAAAATAACCATATCTGGGTGACACAAACCAGAGGTCGACAGCATGAGCAATGACTGACAGCATCACATTGTGACCATCACTCATAAGTTAGCTCCTAGTAACAAGCATGAGGTAACTGGAGATTTATTCGACTCCCCAGACTACAGTGCTATCTTTGAAATTCATTTGTCAAATATACCACATTGTGCACTAAAATAGCATACTATGTGTATTGCCTGATATGCCTCAGTCCTTTTAACTGATAAGGTTTGAGTGAACTGAATTATACAAAATATATGCATCTGGGAACCCTTGCGTCAATATAATTAAACGCTTTTGAATGTAACTGTGCATATCTACACAACCATCAAAATACATGCTGGTCTGAGACTACTAAATTGTGCTGAGGACAAGCAAACATCCAACAATGGTAGTCCCCACTGACATAGCTTTCCAGGGCTATATAAGTATAATTCTGAACCAGTTCTCGATGCTTCAATTTTGATACAAATTGGAACCGAATAAAACTGACAGAAAATGTAAATATAGTGAACATTCTTGTTCAAGCAGGACTAGCTACACATTCTGAGGCCTGGAGGAAATAAGGTGAAATAGGACTAGTCTTAGAAAATCTAATTTCTAAGGCTGCCTACTTCATCATACAGCCTGGTTTCTTACTTTGATTGATACACCACATCTGGACATGTTGTATCAAACATTTTTGTCACTGACTGATATGGAGCTGACAAAACAGAATTCAGAAACCAGGGCAAATCTGGTATTTGAACCAACAGTAATAGGAATGTTGCCGCACATAAGGACACAACTCTCTGTCTTCGGCACGCCTTCAATGTAAAAATGGCAGCTCTTCAGTAAAATTTAAACTAAAACAATCCTCCCTTTACAAACCAGGGCCCACTTGCACAAAGCGATCTTAGCGTTACCACTATTGTAAGCCTATGTTAAAGTATGGGAGTTATGATCATCTTAGCGCTAAGATCGCTTTGAGCATGTAGGCCCTGGTTCATAGAAATCTTGTGCAGTGCAGTTGTCAAATTCCATGCCACATTTCTATGTGAATATAATCATAATTCTTGCCATGTACATGTGTGGACAACAAACAGCACATCTCACCTAGGAGATCGTTCGAAGGCAAGACGAGGGGCACACACAGGGCACTGTGTACACTTGTCGCTCCACGACCAACACCTTTAGGGAACCTTGTGTCCTGCAGTACAAAACATGCAAATAGGACAGTGTTCATCCGGTACATTCAAGACGAGTGCGAGAGACATAAGTTGGTATGTTTATATGAAACTCCCACATCCTCCACATGGCTTTAAGAGTTGTATGCAGTATTATATCTCTATTTTAGTGGACTCTTACAAGCACAGGGCACACAGAACCTAAATTACCCATGAATCGTAGACCCCATTTTACCCATTAATCATAGAACCTATTTTACCCGTGAATCATAGAACCTATATTGCCTATTAATCATAGAACCTATATTGCCCATGAATCATAGAACCTTTATTGCCCATGAATCATAGAACCGATATTACCCATGATTCATAGAACCTATATTACCCATGAATCATAGAACCTATATTGCCTATTAATTATAGTATCTATATTGCCCATGAATCATAGAACCGATATTACCCATGAATCATAGAACCTACATTACCCATGAATCATAGAACCTATATTACCCATGAATAATAGAACTGATACTGCCCATGAATCATAGACCCGATATTACCCATGAATCATTAAACCTATTTTGCCCATGAATCATAGAACAAATATTACCCATGAATCAGCACCGAAATGCTGCATGTACTACTAAGCATCTCAAGGGACTTATCAAGATCTGCTGAGAGGCTAATGGATATTTGGTCCCAGGTCTTATACAAATATTGGTAAACATTCATTAATTGGAAAAAAATATTTCCCAACTCATAATATTCAACTAATGTTATCGCTTTGTAGATACTAAAAACAAGACCATTAATGGTAAATGCTTTCTTATTTAGTTTAACATCATTGCATTGAATGCAATGTTACAACACCCTTGAATTTCAGAAAATAAGATTTTAAAAAATAACTTTTTAGCCAATTTGACTGCCAAAGGCACTTGGTTTGAAATCCTAGCTAAATCCCTGATGTCAGTATCAATGATATCCCACCTGAGGTAGGTTTTCAACCAGTTGGATAGTCTTCTCCATTGCAGCAAGAGCTGCAACAGTCATGCCTTTGCCTATTGGCCCATACGGCTTCCTGTAAATAAACATGTCATAAAGGGCTGGGAGGGGTAACTCGGGTATTTGGACTACCCGGACCTGTGGTTAGTCACATATTGTTTAATGACAAAAAATATCTAGAACTCTAAGTGGTAACACTACAAGTCACTAATGTTCGCATTTCTTTCTGACTATGCACCCATTCTTTCTGGCATTTATATGCTTAAATAAAGTTGAAACTTAAAAGTAAACTTCAGTGTATGCATAACCTGATTGTCTTATACGCGAATGTAAATAATTTTTGCCAGGGCTACGGTCAAACTTTTCCCAATCAGACAGTTTGTACCTATCTCTTGAGACCTACAGCGGGTACGCGGGTAGGGTCGGGTAGGGTCGGGTAGGGTCAGGTAATAGGGGGGTGGGTACCTGGGTAGTAAATTTGGACTCGTCCCAGCCCTAATGTCATACATAAAATATAGTTAGTGAGTGACGGCTGTTTAATGTACAGTCAGCAATATCAGGGTAATGTAACTATACTATGGTGGCCTGTAAATGTTCAAATCTGGTCCAGACAAACCAGTGACTGAACGAATGAGCAACAACCCATGCCATTAAACACCCACTGACCAGAATCTGTCAGTAGTTATTTATAAACAACAAAATTCACAAATATATGCACGTAGAAACACAAACACAAATTGTAGACAATCTTGTTTTTAATCACATCTTTTTATTATGTGAAATTATTTTCTATTAAATCCCAATGATGTATACAGTATATTGTTCAGTGTTGTCAACCTGTTGAGAAGTTATCCAGATGTTACTTACTTTGTGCCATTATAGTAGTGCTCAAGCTCCTGCAAAACAGATGTGTGCATATATATATATATATATATGGTTGTCAGTTATCACTTTTTATCCAGAATCATTTTTTATTAACAAAGAACACTTACCAGCGATTTATCTGGACTAGCTTAGAGGCCAATATTTAAGGCCAAGTAAAGATTTCCAACTTTTAATTTAAAATTTCCAATTCACATTAGAGCTATAACTAATGGCTTTTTATGGCTTTGAGGGGGTGAGTTGTAATTCACAGACTAATAAGAGGAAAAGGCTTTGTTATATATTGTTGCACTGAGTGTTAAATACTTCTAAACTTACAAAAAAAGAATTTTCCAAAAAATTCACATTTCTGCAAAATAACTATTTTATTCATAATTGTCTGACAAGGGCATTTAGTTTGGAATCCTAGGTAAATCCCAGCTCACCCAATTATTGTCACTATGAAATTATTACTTAGCTTGCTTTGCAACATGGAAATTCATGTTATTGCCAGTTTTTCTCTTTCTTATCGACGGACTGAGCTATATCAGGCTTCATACACTATTAGCCTGACAAAGTGACAAATGTCTACGACTTTTCCATGGTATTAAGCCAGTTTTCCCCATGATATTACATGAATAAAAACCAAAACAAATAACAAACTTTAGGAGGTGTTAACTGAGAATGCCATGGAAAATGGATGATGACTGAATTTTACTTATTTTTCTGTCACTGATATATCGCCATAAAAAAGTACTGCTTTGAAAATACTGATTTCCCCATGACTTCATAACCATTTTCTATTTTCCAAAACTATTCCAGGCCTTGGAAAGTCAAACTAAAATTCCATGACTTCCAGGATTTCATGACCTGTACAAACCAAGCCTATGATGGCGTCTTGTAAATAATTGTGTCTGGACCAGACAAACCAATGACTGATATAAGAGCAATGTCCACACCATCAACTAAGTCACTGAAGTTGACCACCCAATCCAAAGAGTCCCATCACACAACAAGCATAGTTTTTTTGGGACCAATTCAGGAATCACAAAAATTTGACACTCTTTGAGTTTGTTTTCAAGTATGTGATAATGTAGAAGCATTACTGGGATGATGAAGATAAAGATGATTTGGCGATATATTGTTTCGTTAGATTAAATAACCTACCGTTTCATTATGCTTGGGGAGATACAAGGCAAAGTCATCTGAATCAGTAGCTGCAAATAAGATAAAATTGATTATCATAATATTTGTTATCCTGTCTCTACAATATCATAGTTCGTTGTATCAACATTCTGCAAATGGTTTTAAGTATTATATCTTGATCCTGAAATTCACATCAATCAAGTACTTGATAAATACTAAACCTGTCAAGTTGGTAACTTTGCAACAAATTTTATTGCTGTTGAGTAGAAATACAGCTCCTCTCAAAAAAACTAAAAATACAAATAAATACCATGTAGAGGGGTGGCTAAAAAGTTCTGAGCCTAACTATGATGAAATGTGTTGATGGAGTTGGTTTTTAATTGTTATTCCACATAATCCCCTCCAATGTCCACACACCTTCTACCAACAATGCTGGAGTGCCTGGATCCCACTGGTGTAAAAGGCTTCCTCATAGTGATGTAACAAGTCCTCCACAACAGAAGTGACTTCATCATCATTTGCATTATGCTTGTGACACAATTCTCTCTTCAAGTTTGGGAGGAGGCAGAAACCTGACAGTGCCCGGCTGGTAAATATGCAGATGTTCAAGGAGTACAAGTCAAATGCCAACAACAGACCTGTGCACAGATGCATTGTCCTGGTGGAACAACACACCTTTAGTGACTTGTCCTCGTTTAGCATTGATATTTTCACGTTGTTGGCTAAGCAGTTTAGCTGCTTCTAAGTTTGTCTTCACATTCATAGGATCAGCCATTGCAAATCAATGTGGTGATACAAGAAATTCAACACTAATATACCTTAAAAGTAGTTAAAATCACATCTCCGGAAAATAATTGACTTGACACTTTTTTCCTTTAAAGTTATCTTGAATAAAAGAAAGTTAGTTACTCCTTGTGTGCAAAATAATTATTCTGTGTGTTGATATTTCTATCAGTGACCTTTTGTGCTACTACAACAACCATGGTAGTCTTCTTTGAGACACTGTAGTTTCTCTTATAATCCTCTTATACCTATAATTTGTAGATTTTATACTACTTAATGACACAAAGGAAGTCAAGATATTCAGTGTTCTCTTTATGACCAAAGCAGCCAATGGGAAGTCAAATTAGGTTTACCTGTATCACATGAATATTAGTCAAAGTGTTTCAAATTCGATCAATTTTATACAACAGACAGTAAGTTGAGAAATTTCCAATTCAAAATTTCACATGGAATTTTAACAACTTTTTATTTAAAGCTGGAATAAACGATGATCATTTTTTAACATTTTGCAAAATTGAAATGCTTGAACATTTATTCTTTTCTTGTGACAAGCTGAATGTGTTGTTTTGGTTTTTTAAAATATTGGTTTGATTCCACTGCAAAGACCAGTATCAAGTTAACTTAAATCCCGCAACTTTTATATAAATATATATCTGTCTTACTGTCTAAGTTCAGTCATTGTAACCTTGCATAGTGCTGGCTGCTGTGCAGTACTTAACAAACAACACACAAACGTCATGACAAAAAACATGCATTGTCACCTTTAGCTAGAATACAGGCAGCCTCATCCAGAATCTCGCTCACATCCTTCTTCCTCCCTTCTGACAGACACAGCTGTGTCTGTGACTTCAGGCACAGCCCAGTGTACTGCCATGTTTAACAAAATATTACTTTGTGAATTCAAGGTAAACATACATTACAATCGAATCTCTAGCATGAAAAGACTTGAACTTTAGACATTGTTAAAAAACAATATGTTTTTTTAATAAAAGATGTATATTCATCGTGGAAACTAACGTGTTTACTCCACTCGTCCTTATAATGATAACATATAGCAAGACCCTTTAAATGGAATGGTTCGTACCAGTAATTGCATACAACAAGTTGTACTTACTAGTTGTACTGTCTGAATGCCCCTTTATGCAAGTTCATTACTAAATTATTTCTTTGACCACTGAGAGGTCAATCTGATGACCAAGGGTTTGTGTGTGATTAAGAAAATGGAGGCAATGATTGATGTTCAAATTATCTGTTTGTGATGGCCTAAGCTTATTAAATGAAACATACCTTTGTCTTTAGTGAAAGAAACGTGTGTGAAGCCTCTAGAGCTGAGAAACAAGATTTACAGAGATCAGGAAAATTCATAAATACTACATTACATGTCATGACAGACTACTTTTGAACTGAAACAAATGATACTGAAAAACTGAAGACATGTGAAATCTAGAAGCATATGTATTTCTGGCATTTACCATTAATAAAGGCTTTGCACAGCTGCAAGTCTTTTATACAGGTCAATGTAAAATACATGTTGTTTTCTCCATCACACACTCATCTTAGAACTCTTTAGAAGTGTTCATGGAAAATAGATAAATTCAGGTTTTGATACCTGATATTATTACAGATTTAATATAGATGCAGTTAATTAATGGCTGTAATAAATTGTGCAACTCAACCTGTCATAGTACATAAATATGCTGCAAGAGGCACACATGTGTCATTTTTATTAATTTTATTGATTGTCATCATTCTAAACCCTAAAAGTCATCTATGTGTATAAAAGGTAAATTTGGCTATCTCTAAATCTTAACTGGCACTTGACTCTTATGTTGACTGCTTCAGATACAACAATAAAACACTTTCAATGTGATTTTGAAAGTTATGGGAAATGCATGTACATAATTTAGTATATTCAATTGACAAGTTACTTATAGGTAACTGATTCTTCAGAACAAATTAAGTTGTAACTAGCATTATACAATGGATGTAAAGGGGTAAATTTATACCACCCAAGGTCCTGCTTTTCTTCCTCCCAAGACCGTCACCTTGAACACGGAGCAAATTTTTCTTTGGGGTTTGCTCCTTAACAATACTTTCTAGAAATAATGGGTGTTCTGCTAAATACTTCCTGACTAACTCTGGACTTATATCTGGAAGAAAAAAGGAAAATATTTGTATGCATTATGTCAATGATTTTTTCAAGAAGCAAAATCATTGGTGTCATAGTTGAACACTGGGCTTTGAAGTAACAATACATAGATTCTGTAAATGTTTATTACATGGTGGTATTGTTATTCTGATGACCCTGTCACTTTAAAGTGTATTTTTACAGCACTATTAATGCATTATTTTTTTGAAATTTCAACATGACTAAGCAGATTCCAAACATCAGCTGGTTTAGAAGTAGGCCTATACCATCTGTGCTTCCTGAAATCTGATTTCTTCTGTTTGAAAAGGGACCCGCTCGAATACGTTCTAACAAATTGCCACCGAATGGCAACTTTCGCCTTCCAGAAACTTGCTTCTCGCCACGTGACATAGTCACACCCATGGCATCGCGTTCTTCAACTGCTTGTAATTAGTTCAAATAAAGCGCCATACAAAGATACCACAAAACGTCATCAGTTTGTGAGTAAACGAGGGAGTAATCATTTGCACACATTTATCTTACCCGATAGAGTATTCCAAAACTTGTTTTTCGAAAGTATGTGCGTTTCATTGAATGTAAACATTCATTATATGGTCAGTATATAGAACATTATAACTATGTATCGATTATTGATAATATGTATTTTGTTGGAAAAAGAAGGGAGTACACACCATCACAAATTCTCCCTTGTGGCGCGAATGCACGGAAGTTGAGATTGTTTTTTTACTTCAACGTAGAAGAAGAGCTACTAAGTTAAAACGCTTTCAGGAGGTAATGACCAGTTTCCTGGCAGTCGTTGTATCTATATGATGTTTCCTGCAATTTGAGTATCACGCAATGAAATGACACTTAAGTATACATTTAGATAGAAACATTGCATGCATATAGGTGCGTCTCGTTCAACGATTGTAGGTGTATACCCGGTTGTCCTTTGTAAACAATCTTCAGTTAATCATTTGGAAGTTTAAAAGACCCACCGAGACATGTCCACTGGCAAATTGTGCCACTGCATTTAACGATTGAGAATAGCTTAACTATAATTTTAAACAAGTTGAAATTTACTCTGTGGTTAGAAACACAGTGATCAGGTGCTGGCTAAAACGGCACGTTCCAAAACGGCCTATATTACGTTGACGAAAACGGCAGAGGGGAAAAAAAACGACTAAAATTGAAGATTATGTTTAATAATCTCGACACTCTATATTTCAATCATTTATAAAAGCATATCTAGATATTGTGATCATTATTTTAAATTGTCATTTCGCTCACTTTTTACATGAATACATTAACTAATGGGATCATAATTTCCAAAATATTAATAGTCAACAGTAACATCTTTAGGTTTAATCTTAAATTTAGCAGGTTTTTTTTAAAGTGTCATAATTTTGTCAGCAATTCTACAGATAATGTGACCTGTGAAGATCCGAGTTAGGATTGGTCTTCAGCAACCCATGCTTTTCATAAAAGGCGACTATGCTTGTTGTTAGAGGCGACTGATGGAAGCGAGTAGTCAGGCTCGCTGCCTTGGATGATGCATGTCATCATATCCCAGCTGCGTAGATCAATGCTCATGATGTCAATCACTGGGTTGTCTGGTCCAGACTCCAATGATTACAAACCATCATCATAAAGCTGGAATATTGCTGAGTGGGGTGTTAAACGACAAAGAAACTGATAATGTTATCTATTTTGATTCTTTAATTTTAAATAGATCCTTGGGCCTGCAAGAAGGTTGTTTAAGATGTTTCATGTTTTATGACTGAATGAGAAGCCAGCATAAAACTAGTCCCATCAAGTGTCCCATTCATCATGTTCATTAAGCATCTCTAGAAGTGTATTCATATTGTGACTTCCGTGTTGTAATGGATAGAGCATATGACTGGAGAGCCAAACGTTGGTGGTTCTGTACCCTGGCTGCGTCATTACCAAAAGACATTAAAAGATTGTATTTGCTGTTACCCCGCCTGGAGTTTGGTATCAGGGGATAAAACAAGGGACTGGTCAACTTTGAGTCAGTATAATGTGTCTGTGTTGGGATTATGTGTTATAAATGAAGTATGATCTCAGTGTACATGCTCAGCACGACATACATTTAATAAAAATATTGAACAAGATGTTAAACCCCATTTCATCGCACTTTACCCAATATTCAAATTGTAAATGACACAAGTGCCACATGTTTTTTACAGGATATTTGAGAATGAAAATATTTTAAAAACTCAGGATTTATCAGCTGTATTAATCTCAATGTATTAACTTACAGAGATATATCTTGGATTTTGTACTTCGTGCTTGCAGTGCAAATTGCGAGGAAACATTGTTTTTATCCAAAATTTGATTTATATTTTTATTTCATTGAATTCAGTAATGTCAAACTAAGTCACATTTGCAAGGCTATGACATGCAGAGACTTATCCTATTTCTATTTGGGAATTTTTACCAATATTTGCTGCAGATTGGGAGCTGAATATTGAGCTCAGGAAAATCCTAGATGAATCTTTGAGTAAAGGTTATTACCACCCTTTTCTGTTGATTTGGGGGCAGTGGAGTAGCCAAGTGGTTAAAGCGTTTGCTCGTCACGCCGAAGGCCCGGGTTCGATTCCCCACATGGGTACAATGTGTGAAGCCCATTTCTGGTGTCCCTGTCATGATATTGCTGGAATATTGCTTAGAGCTGCATAAAACCGTACTCAATCTCAATCAATCCTGTTGACTTGAAGAGCAGCGGACCTGCCTCAGATCATGTGATGATGATGCTGAACCACGTGGGTGCCCTTAAGACGTGGCTGAAGACTTCCTACTGTGTCACAGTACCTGAGGATTGGCTGGAAGCATGTCTGGAATGGATTCAAGAAGAAAATCCTGTAAGCAATGGCCATCAAATAGGTCTACTGTCATTTATTGTGTTTGTACATGTATAGGTAAAGATGTTGCTCATCTTTTGGTATGTATTATGCATAGGTGTAGACAAGATTTAGCTCCTTGTGTACCGTATTCGACGTAATAAGCGCCCTGGGCGCTCTCAAAATTAGAAATAGGGGGCTTTTATTAGAATATTATTTTGGTGAAAAAACAGAGTTGAAAGATAAATTTCGTGGTTTATGTACGACAGATAAATTTGTCCAGAATTTAATTCCCCATAATTAACGGTGCATAAAACACACGAGTGCGTATTATACACGAATAAATAAGGCTTGTGTGCATTGATCAATCGGAAGGGGTGCTAATTGGGATTGTTCACTCGCCAATATAATAGCAAATATCGCCGTGGGTGCTTATTAGAGCGGGGCGCTTATTACGTCGAATACGGTATTTGAATTTCAGCGAAACTTCTACTACCAACATTTGTTCCTTTGCAGGTACATACCATGTTTTTGTGTAGGATTCTGTTTCTATCACACTGAAACCTGTAACTGTCCTATAGGAATATTCACACATATATGTTCTATCATGTGAAACTATCACCTGCCTAAACCCAGTGATCTTGCTCAAGACAAATGTCATTAGACATTAGACTGTTTACATGTTTGATAGGACAAATGTATTTTGTGTTACATTGTGGATGACAAGCATTCAGGCTTCCAGAACAACTGTCTGAAATGCAAGACACCCTTGCATCGCATATATTGGGATACATATGTTATGTCGGCAAAGGGGTGTGGAAAATCAATGCCTGACCTACCCGACTTTTTTTGTGAAATTAGGAGACAAACCAAGATATCAGCTTCAGTTGTCCACAAACAACCTTAATGTTCAGCAGACATTGGTCAGCTTTGATAAATTATGGGAGCAAAGTTGCACCTGCTTGATTGTTTTCAGGAAACTATATTACATTCATCCAAGAAAGAATTTTGCGAACATAAACATGATAAACATTCTCCATCACCTCATTATTATGGTAAGGAGCCTTCCATGTATTTCTTTTTGGAAAAGTATAATTCCATTGATATGTTGGAGAATGATATGTTAGAATTGAAATATGAATTTAAATTTAACCTTTCATTTTCAAGTATACTCCCAAAATGACCATGTTATTTTGCTGACTGCTGTTTAATATGTCCAAAATAATATTTCAATCAAACAGTTTCAAATGTAAACCAAATTACCATATGAAAACAAATAAACCTACTTGTAAATAGGCCATAAAACCCACATTACAAAAGTAAACTTGTTCTTATCTGGAGTCTTCAATATTATCATGATTATGTCTTATTATAATTAGAAATTAACATGTACCATGTTTGCTTACATTCAGTTACAATTCAATAACAACTCATTAGATTGCAGAGACAATGTAATGTACACCATCCTTTGTTCAAGAATACTAACTAGTACATATATATCTGACAGGGATCGGATGTAAGTCTACAGTCTCTGAAGAACCAGGTGTACGAACAGTGGCTCATGTCGGACTTACGTGAGTTGAAGATGGGTTGTCTCCCTTTGGAGCTGCTGGAGGCGCGGAAGATCGAGATCAGCGGCATATTTGCATTACAAGTATGTAACACTAGGAGATGATGGATTAATGATAATTTCTGCTGCCCAAAGAGCATGAAAACAGATGGTAGTACCTTAAATGGGCGACATCCATCAGAGATTTGGTGAGAAAGATAATGGATAATAATGGATCCTTTTTGTTTTATGGTGTGTTTCTAGTCTTCCACTTTTATAAGAGTAAGCATCACCCTTTTAATATTTGGTTTAGAAAAATACTGTCCGAACTTTGTACAACTTTAGCCAAAATGCTCTTTTAAATCCATACAGATTGTAGTGGCTACTTCCTTCAGTAGACACCAGTGTTGCCATTATCAACCTCAGTCCCTGGGAGCCTTTTGGCTCCTGAGTTAAAAACCTTTGGAGCCAACTGGTTATATAAGTAGTGAGATTTATCTATACATAAATGATGTTTCTCAGATAAAAACCTGTAAAAAAATAACATATGTTAAAAGTATGAATGCTAATCATAACTTGATTGAGTGACAGTTTGAACTTTGTGAAAGGCAACTCCTCTTTGGCAATTGTTTACATGGTGTATGCAGTGTTTGTTTTTTATCAGATTTTGTCATCTGAGTGCCAAAAGCACTATGCAGAGATATTTTAGTTGTGTCTTGTAATGAAGTTACATCTCTATAGTGTCTATGCCTGGCACTTTGAGACTGTTTGACAATGGTTTCTCAAATTACAACTGCCCTTCACCAACTCTGTTGTTCCAGCAAATTCTGGACTTGCAGTACAATAAAGTACATGAATGCTTTTGTTAAGTCCAAGCCAACTGAAATCTTTCAGACAACCTTCACGAAATAATAACACGCACTGGCCTGGTCAACAGTTTTGCTGACCCACAACCTTGAACTGACAGCCTGTTTGCCTCTATATTGCACTGACTCAATGTGAATTATCCCAGAATCAAACAAATGTTGATGAATATTTTTATGACTTTCTTCCTGTGGCAGAATGTGCCCAGTAAACCATGCCTGGGTTAGGGGCCAACCAAATTGAGGATCCAATGGCTTACAATGTCACAGCTGGCAAAATTCCCAAAGGTTTTGTAAATACTAAGAAGAAGAAAAAAGGATTTCTTTCTTAATCCATGCAAATAATATGTCAATCTTTGAAAATAATACACAAGGACCAAATTCCTACAGACACCGGTAAAGAGGTAATTGAGTTTGCTGTAGTTGAATAGAAACTAGGCAATGAAATTGTCATCTGAGTTTTTGTACTGTAGATGATTCCTGTTGTTAGGCTTTGGTGTCCCAAACAAAGTACTATTTGAATTTTGGAAAGGTCGAAGCTATGCAATATGTGCCCTGACTGATTGTGATGGTCGTTGCTCATGCAATCAACCACTGGTTCTCTTGACACAAATTTGATTATTCATGTTTTGAGACAGTGCAATATTGCTGAGTGCAGCTAGTTACAGCATGTACTTACTGTCTCGCTTTGTTTTGTCTGTAGATTGATTCAGCAGTGAATGTAGGGAGTTCCTTCTACTCCCAAGGCCAGAAGATAAAGGGTACAGAAAACCCCAATGCACAAGTATCAGGGGAGGACACCAGACAGCCAGCAGTGAGTCTCTCATGCTTCTGATCACATAGACAAGTATATGCTTCATGCTACTGGCTTACACAGACAAATTGAGACTGTGAAAATCAAGTTTTAAACTCTTGGGCTTTTAGCTAGGATTTCAAATTAAGTGCCTATGGCTAGAACATTAGGGAAAAGTCATTACTTTGTAGAACTGAGACACATGGAATAAATGAGACAATTTTGGTACATGTATAACTGAAATATTTTTCAACTCATTATTATTGTTGTTATTATTGTAATTGTTATTATCATTTAGTGCCTATTTTCATCGATTCAGAGGTTCTTTGACTTAAAATTCAGTGCAACAATGTGAAAGTAACCATTCTTCCTCTGTTGGTCAAATTATTAATGAGATACAAGTCCCCTCCACAATACAATAACATTAGTTTTAACTGGGACATTTTTCTTTCCACTTGGGAATTTGTACTGACATTTGCTGCAGACTTTGGTGCAAACATATCCTTCTCTGAGCAAGCTCAGATAAATCTCAGTTGATAATGTCATTACATCTCTGACCTGGTGATGATCTGTGTTTCAGTGGGAACCCAAGCCAACGCGCATGATAGTTCTCAAACTGACCGATGGAGTGTCCGATGTCAAGGGGATGGAGTACAAGCCTGTTGCAGCACTCACACCCTTCATCACTCCGGGGACTAAGGTACGGTTGAAGGGATAGTTCTGGTATGTCTCATCATCATGGCAAATGCCGTTCGGGGGATTCCAGATCACAATATAAGAGCTGACTAAAATAGAGATGGGTGGTCAGGTTTCGTGACGTGGCTGCTTGTGTGTCATGGTACCCCGATGGCATTTATTGTCGCCAATGCTTTCATTCCCATGTTTGCCTGGTCAAGACTCAGTTATATAAAGCCTGCAGTGATATTGCTGGAATGTTGCTGACTACATGATTCACTCTCTCGATCCAGGTCTTCAGCAACCCATGCTTGCCGTGAGAGGCGACTAACGGGATCAGGTAGTCAGGCTTGCCGACTTGGTTGATGCATGTCATGATATCCCAATTGCATGGATCGATGCTCGTGATGTTGATCACTTGTTTGTCTAGTCCAGACTCGATTTACAGACCGTCGTCATATATGGTATCTCGGTGGGCTAGCGCTATGAAATCGGAATTAGTCCTGACTAGTACAAACAGCCACACACACACACAAAAATGTGCGTGCACGTTGCTGTGTAAGTGCAATAATCTTGTATGTGACGTTAAATCCCATTTTACCTGACCTCACCTGTTTCCAGATGCTGGTCAAGGGCCAAGTGTTGTGTCGCCATGGGATGCTGATGCTGGGGCCGGAGAATGTCCAGATCCTGGGGGGTGAGGTGGACAGTCTGGTGGAGACCCACACCCCTGAGGCAGTGCTGGCTGCAGCGATGTACGTAGCCTTTGTGTTGGATGTGAGTTGCTGTGAGGGCACTTTGTAAAAGCTTTGAAGTTTCTCAAGAAAATTGCATTGCATACTAAAGAATAAAAATGTCTTTTCATAGTTTGTTAAAATTTTATAGAAAGCAGAGTTGGAGCCAGACTTCGACTTGTTTGTTTGGTGGTTAATGTTGCATTCAGCAATATTCCAGCTATATGACGGCGGTACGAAATAATCAAGTCTGGACCAGATAATCCAGTGATTGACATCATGAGCATCGATCCACTCAAGTGGGATACAATGACATGTATCAACCAAGTCACCGAGTCTGACCACCCGATCCCGTTAGTTAGACCTATTCTAACCTGGATCTTCAGTTCCTTTGACTTCTGAGCAAGCCAAGATGTATGTCTGTGTGGTGTCTGTCAAAGCTGGCTTTGCTTCACAGGCAGGCTGGGCAGACCAGTGAGGGGAAAAGCGAGAAACAAGAGTTTTCTGGCCGCATGCTGAGTAAAGGGGAGGACAAGAAAGGCGTGGCACACATGCACCACCCTGGGACAACATCTCGATCAGCTCCAGGGTTTAAACAAGAGACTATCAAGAGAGAGGCAGCACAGCAGAGTACACAGCAGTACAATTCAACCAGAAATATGTCAGTGGGCAGACAGGGTAAGACTGTATTATCATGAATATAGTAAAAGTTTTAAAAAATACATTTATTAGTAGTGTTTAATGAAATTTCTTTAACCTTACCAAGAATTGGTCTTCTCCAACTCTTGCTTGTCGTAAGAGGCGACTAACAGGGTCAGGTAGTCAGACTCAGGCTCATCATGTCCCAATTGTGTCCCAATTGTGTAGATTGATACTCATGTCAATCACTGGGGTGTCTGGTCCAGACTCGATTATTTACAGACGGCCTCCATAAAGCTTCAATATTGCTGAGTGTGGCCTTAATCATTCAATCAATCAATGAATCAATTCCTTATTCACATTTTGCATTTAGATAGGATCCTTATGTATATCGTATATTTAAACTTGCCTGTTGTCTTTGTTATGTGGCACCCCCAGAAGCTAGAAACTAAAATTGGATATATATCTGCAAATGTTGAAAATTCATTTTGAAATGTCTTCTTAGTAATTTATCATTCTTAAAACTGTTAAGTATCATTATGACTTGGGATATCTTTGTATCATCTTCTACTCTAAACTAAGGTCTGTTGTGGCTGAAAATGTGTAACAGAACTAGATTCAATCATGTATTCTGTGGGAGGCAGAATTGTGTCTCTTTGCAGGATCATCTGATCATTGGACAAATTCCATATCCCTGAATCCTTACGATGTCAGCAACATATCCATATTAAGTTATTTACAGTTTGTTTTTTTCCTGAACATTTTGCTGACATAGCATTTAATGAGTGAGTGACATTAAACCCGAAGTTGCTCATCCACCCATTTATTGTTTGTGAGTGATGTGTGATGTCATTTGTATTTGCAGAGCACATTTCAATAGTAGTGTCTCGATCTTTGGCATTTGTTGTTTGGAAAGTCTCTTGTTATTTGTTGTTGTTTTGAATCCAGGAAACCCCACCGCGCATCAGTCCAGTGGGAAAAGGGAAATGGCTGATCCTGATGATGTAAGTTCTCTGATATTACATTAAGTAATACGTTACCACTGTTATACCGAGGCTGTTGTCTCCCACAACTGCTGCTATAGCGAAATCTACCACAGAGATCTCACTTACCTCATGCAGCACGTGCGTAGCCACCTAGCTGCCATGTGACACCCTTCACTCTTGTCTCCTTCGTCTGCTTAGCAAGACGTGTTTTCTCCTGCTGAAGCGTTCCTTGAAGATTTGGTGATATTTATTATAGTTTATTCTCTAATAAACTGTGCTTTTATGGGTCGTTGCGGTAGCTACGCTTGGTTATAATTTTCCCGCCAAACGGAAAATTTTTCCCGCCCTTTTTTCTATATACTTGCGGGGTTCGCGTATGCACGTTGTGTTTTACGTTTCCCCTGTTCTTGTATGTTTTGGGGGTTAACATAACTTATTTCTTTAATAAAAGTTATATGTGTATGTTATATGTTCACATTGCTCGTTTATTTTCTTGTGAAAATGTTCGTTTGTGAATCATTGTGGTGCGTGCGTTGTAACCATGTTTTGTTCTTTGTTTATAGCAAACAATCAATGTCTGACATGGATATGTCCCCAGTATCCACCCCCTCTACCCCTGCTCCTCGGAGTTGTGGGGTGTGCAGAAAGTTTTGTCGTCCCGGGATCCCCACGATCGTTGCCCGCGGTGCAGGGTTCCTTGCGGGGACACCCGGTGCATCCTGTGCGAAGGTCTGGGGCCTGCGGTGTTTGAGCGGTACCGGCTGTACGTACAGTCCGTCTCCACCCCTGTGGTGGCCGGTTCGTCCGGTCGGGGTCCCCGTGCGGGTACCACCTCCTCGGCTGCGGCGGATCCCCTTGCGGCCCTAGGGCTGTCTGGGGATTCCGTCGCCGCATTGTTGTCGAAACTTGTGGACTCCAAGCTGGCGGCCTTATCGCAAGATAGGCCGCTGGCTGTTCCGTCCCCGGCCACTTCGGTGGACGCGGGGTCGGACGCGGGGTCCACCGGTACGGCGGCTCCCGTGGTCACCGGTCCTTCCCCCGAACCGTTGCTCCCGCTATCGGTTTAGGACCGCGTGGCCATGGTTTATGACCTCTTTGAGGACATGCCCCGGCCGGTACCGCGGGGAATCCACGACTGTGGGTTCCTCCGAGGTATACGATGAGTCTTCCGACACGGCTTTCCCCGCATCGACCTTGCTGCGCGGTTTCAAGCCTTCCTTGGAGAACGCCTTCGCGGCGGCCTCCGGTCGGGGTCTCCCGTTGCCTCCGACGTCGTGGAGAAAGGGTTTATTCCCGGTACATGACCTTGCCTTTCCCGAGGCTGGTCCTACCGCAGAGGCCCATGTTGAGCGGTTGGGTGTCCGTGCCCCACCGGCTGCTACGGTAACGCAAGCTACCTTGCACCAGCTGGACGCCCTCGCTCGGCACTCCATGTCTCACGGAGACACTTACTTGGCTGCAGCGGCCCGTCTGGTCGAAGGTTCTCCCACGGACCGTGACCAGCGCATTTACAACTGCCTGCTCAGTTTAAATGCTTCCCTGGAGTACGTTGCCGAGGACTCTCGGCACACACTTGCTCTTGTTGGGTCCCTGCATAGGCGCCTGGGTGCCGCTCCTAACCGGAGCGCGCCCCAGGCTGCTGCGGCATGTAGGTCTAAGGGGTCGGGTTCTTCTTCCTCTGGGAAGTAGCCCCGCCCTGAGGGCTCCGGTATGGGCAATCAGCTGCCCTTTCGCGGGAAGACGGGGAACTGGGGGAAGCCCAAGTCGTCGATGGACGGCAAGGGCCCCTCCAGGTGACTCTCATTGGAGGGGTTCGTATGCCGACAGCGCCAACTTCGGTTGGCCCTTAGGCGAACCCGAGTCACTTGGCCCTGGACAGTTGCGCCTGCCGCAACCTGTCAGGGCCCCCTCTCCTTCCCCAGTGGGAGCCAGACTCCAGACTTACTGGGAGAATTGGGAACAAGTGTTCGACGACCCGTGGGTGGTCAACACGATTCGGTACGGCTATCGGCTTGATCTCAAAGCGAATCCGCCGCTCACCGTTGCCCCGTTGGCAGGTTTCGATTTGGAAACCGATCTTCCCATCCTCGCCGATGCCATCGGCAGGTTGGTGGAGAAGGGGCAGTACGGGAGTTAGCTCTACCAGAAATAACACCGGGGTTTTACTCCAGGATATTTCTCGTTCCCAAGTAGGACAGTGCCGAACTCAGAATGATTCACACGTCCGCTCCCTGGCTGTTCACCCGGTTAACCACCCCCATAGTGGGGTTCCTCCACAGGAGGGGTGTCCGGTACTTCGCGTACCTGGACGACTCGCTAGTAGCAAATCGAATGACGGACACCCTGTCACGCCATCTCGATTTCGCACGTCGGCTCTTGGAGCAATTTGGGTGGATTATCAATCTCCCCAAGAGCGAGTTAACCCCTTCTCAGAACTTGCTGTTCATCGGAGGTCGGTTCAACACGGTGTCCCATCGCCTCTTTGTCCCCCCAGACCGGTGGCACAAAATTCAGGCGATGATTGCCAAAGTCTTAGCGGTGCAACAGACTGTTCACTTTTGGTCACAGCTGTTAGGGCTACTTGTATCAGCCCAGGACTGCACCGCACGGGGTCGTCTCCAACTCCGCCCGCTGCAACGGTTTTTAATCCAGTTGTTAGCAACGGAGGTGAACAGTGCGACCGTCGCCCTCCCGGATCGGCTCCGACCGCATCTGGAGTGGTGGACGGTCCCTTACATTGTCTTATCAGGACTCTCAATGCGGCCCTACAGGGCCACGTTGACCCTGTATACAGACGCCTCTCTAGTGGGCTGGGGCGCCCATCTAAAGGGGGAGGTGAGCTCGGGGCTGTGGTGCGTAGACGAACTAGGTCTTCACATCACTTGTCTCGAGTTCAAGGCAGTGATCAACGCAGTCAATCACTGGAAGCATCGTCTCGTCGACGCCCGGCTCATGCTCATGACAACACGACGGTAGTGTCCTATGTGAACAAACTGGGGGGAACCCACAGTCACTCGCTACTCGATCTCACGTTCGAGTTTTACGCTCTGGTGGACAGTGTCCCATGCCAGATACGCGCCCGTCACATCCCAGGTGTGCGGAACGTACTGGCCGATGCTCTATCGAGGCCTCAGGATCCGAGCCCCACAGAGTGGATGCTGAACCCAGTAGTGTTTCAGTGGCTGTGCGAACGTTTGGGTCGTCCGATGGTCGACCTGTTCGCAACGCGGTTCAACAATCAACTCCCGTTGTTTGTATCACCAGTCCCGGACCCGAGGGCCATCGATCACGATGCTCTCGCGTTAGACTGGACGGGCTTGGTCGCTTATGCTTACCCGCCGACAGCGTTGATACCACACATTCTAAGCCGGCTCCGAGGAGTTCGCTGTCGAATGTTACTGATCGCGCCCATGTGGTCGAACAGATCGTGGTACCCCGACTTGCTGACCCAGGTCACGCAGTCGCCACTTCCACTGCCTGTGAGACCGGATCTCTTGATCCACCCTCACACCCGTCAGCTTCATCCAAACGCAGGGCAGTTCAATCTGCACGCGTGGATGTTGTCACCGAGCGTCTGAGGAGTAAAGTTTTTTCTCGCCGGGCGTCTCGGGCATACGTTAGTATGCATCGTGATTCTACCCAGAAGGTGTATAATGCATGTTGGGTTATTTTCACGAAGTGGTGTTGTAAACATCACATTCATTCGCCAGATAAGGTATCTGTGCAGGATATTGCTCGTTTCATGTCTCACTTGCGAGAGACCCGGAAACTCTCCGGGGGTTCCATTGCCAACTATGTCTCGTCCGTTGCTACGGTACGGGACGTTGCTATGGGTACCAGTCTCTCCAAAGAGCCGGTGATACGGGGTATTATCAAGGGTTTCAAACAGCACGATCTTAAGAAGGGCCGCCTTCGGGCACCGGCCTGGGATCTGTCCCTAGTGTTGCAATCACTTACGGAAGCTCCGTATGAACCCTTACATAGTGCTTCGTTCCGGCATGTGACTTGGAAAACAGCATTTCTCCTCTCCTTTGCCACGGCGGCACGTGTATCCGAAATTCATGCACTCGATGTCGCCAAGGTACGATTCGATAGGGGTGACGAAGGAGCGGTCCGCCTGGGCCTGCTCATGGGCTTCATCGCCAAGAATCAGAGAGTCGGGCAAACGGAGAGAGAATTCACTGTAAGATCACTCAAAGAAATCTTACATCCTGCTGATACTGAGGACAGAGCGCTGTGTCCGGTTAGGGCCCTTAAGTATTATCTTAAGGCTTCGAATGAACGTAGACAAGGGCGTGACCGTCTGTTCATATCGTGTAACCCTAATCGCACGGTTGACATAACTCGCAACTCGATTGCGTTGTGGCTTCGTTCTGTCATCAATCTGGCGTACCGGTCTCGGGGGTTACCGGTAGCGGGGTCAAACCCGCACGAGATCAGAGCGCTAGCGGCAACATTTGCCCTACACTCGAATATCTCTGTTCGCAGAATATTACGAGGTTGTTACTGGCGTTCTGACTCGGTTTTTGCCAATCATTACCTCAAACAGGTCGCTGATGCCGTCGTGGAGAGTGTGCACCGTCTTGGCCCGCGGATCGCGGCGCAAGCGGGCACCTAAGGGGTGTGCCCAGCGCAATTCCGAACTCCTCAGGCGTCTGACCTTGCACGGTGGTCAATCTGGGTCGACTCAAATGTTCCCACTGCCGTGGGTACAGGAGTTGGGGTCCCGCAAACCAGCGCACTCACACCACAGGTGAGGGCGGCTTTTTGTGTGCTTTAGTCCTTATTTGTATTTTGACAATTATGTCTTTAATTGTCTGTCGTGTATCCCAACCTTGTGATGCATGCTTACAAATACTGGAATTAGGTCACGCGCCTAATGCATACTTTAAGTAGGCTTGCTCTGGGATATACGGTCTGAATGAAATTAATTTCCCTCTTTTCGACTGTTTAACCTGATCTAAGATTTAGCTCACACGGATACTGTGTTCTCATCCGCTGCGGCGATGAAATACCTATCCAGTGGGGCCGTTTGGAGTCACCAATCGTTTTGGCAATGACGATTGAGCCTTACGGTATGCGCTTGACAGTGCTTTGGTATTCCTATAGGGTAACGCCTAGCTAGGTGCATGCGCATCGAGTGCTTCCGCCTTGGTGTTTACTTCCGCTGGTCGGAAGGAACGCTAGCAGTCAGGATTCGGGTTGTAGGTGCTCCCCACCGCCTACTGTGGTAGTCAGCCTCGGTATAACAGTGGTAACGTATTACTTAATGTAATTTGTAGAATTTTCCTATTCGGAATATTCTATAAGTAATACGTTACCACTGGGCTGCTGCCAGCCCGTCCGTCCCCCGAGCACTTGCTCTCGCAAGAGACAAGAGTGAAGGGTGTCACATGGCAGCTAGGTGGCTACGCACATGCTGCATGAGGTAATTGAGATCTCTGTGGTAGATTTCGCTATAGCAGCAGTTGTGGGAGACAACAGCCTCGGTATAACAGTGGTAACGTATTACTTATAGAATATTCCGAATAGGAAAATTCTACAAGTTTGACCAAAAGTATAGCTCGAAGTATAGCATCATTAGAGTATCTGCTGCATTGGGAGGATTCCAGGTTAAGTGATTTTGTAGCCTGTGGTGTTCATTTGCACACACACATCAATAAGAAGTTAACGGACCAGTATTTCACATTTTATTGACCTTATAAAAAAATGTTACGTTTACTTTTCTGTTATTTATGTAAGGGCGCATTCGTAATATTTTGGCTCCTATTTGCTGTCCAAAAACATGTCAGACTTTCTGACACACTCTGAGTGTTTGTCAGAAGATTCGGAAAGATGTTTTTCGATGGCTTAATTAAAAATAGAAACTTTTATGAATTCCCTATTTTCAACCAAATAATGATTTCTTCCAATTTTCCTGACAAGGACATGATTTGAATCATACATCTATCCTTAGTAAAACATCATGCATTCACTACCGCTGTGATGTTTCAGTGGGGGGATGATTTTGACTACGATGCTCTCATGGCTGACATGGAAGACGAGGGAACAGCACAGACAACCACAGGAGGACATCAGCCAGCGCATCATATAAAGACCGAGCCTCCCAGCCAACAGCAGACGTCTGCTGGGAGGCCAACCAATCAGACTGATCACATGGGCATTGGGGAGGATGTGTTTATGGACGACTTTGATGATGACTTTGACATTCAGACATCTTTTTCCCGGACAGTTAAGCAAGAGGTTAAACAGGAACCAGTAAGTCAACATTCAAGAACAATGACGACTAGCGGAGTTGACCAAGACAGGAAGATGGATGCAGACAGACCCAATCAGAGCATCTTACAAAACAGAAAGCAAACTGTTTCTAGTTCGACAGGAATAGACCCCCAGAGAGGGAAGAATGAGCTTAGAGAGAGACTTGAAACAGGACAGGTTGGGTTAGGAATCATCACTGCACAAAACAGACCTACAAGACAGCCCAATAATGATAGAAAATCAGGGTCGGCATATGTTGCTGATGAGGACTTCGGGGAAGATTTTGACTTTGATGTTTGTGATGTTGATGCAAGTAAGACTTTGAACTCATTCACCGGTGTACAGGCAAAGAGGATGAGATTTGACAGCCCTGCTGAAGACCAACAGAAAAACTCAGAAACCATGTACACTAAGCACAAGGTGAAGCCCTGTCCTGAAGATGGCCAGGTGTGTAATAAGACTGATGTTCCCAAAGCTGTAATCCATCCGTTTTCCAATCTGACAAAAATGAAAACAGTTGGTTCGGCCACTCCTGTCCAATCAAATCAGGGAAGTAGAAGTGCCTCAAGGAACCAAGGACAGTCTAGGATGGATAGATTCCTCGGAGGGGGATCAAGTCCGAGCCAATCAGCTCCTCCTGTAGAGGGAAACTTCATGTATCTTTCAGAGATCCTCAGTACAATGCCAGTCACGGAAACCAAGGAGTTTCTAATCAAGGTACATTATGTAAATATATCAAAGATTTGCAGGTGGAATAGGTTTCCAGCACCCCAAGCTTGTCTCTGTTAGCTACTTGTAACGGTCGTGTGTCATCCTGCCCCAGCTGAGTGGATCATTGCCAATTCTATCAAAACAGTTTCTCTGGCTATAATTTGATTATTTACAGGCCACTGTAGGGGCGGTCGGGTAGCCTAGTGGTCAAAGCGTTCGCTCGTCACGCCGAAGACCTGGGTTCAATTCCCGACGTGGGTACAATGTGTGAGCCCATTTCCGGTGTCCTCCGCCATGATATTGCTGGAATATTGCTAAAAGCGGCATAAAACCATACTCACTCACTACAGGCCACTGTGATATATCTGGAATATTGCTGCCGTATATATTGCCATTTTTTCAATCTCTTGTAGGAGTTTAACCAATTATTGTCATGTTTGGGGTGAAGGCTGTGAAAGTAGGACGTGTGGGCGAGCCCTGAAGAATGTAAATGCTTTATAATTGTCAAGTGAAAGTGTGAGAGTAGTTGTGAGATGAGGTGTGGGTGTCATGGTTCCAGGGTTATATCTCCACCTTGACAAGCAAGTTGACCAGCTGCCAGGGCAAGACCTGGAGTCTCTCCTGCAAGGTCAACGATGGTACAGCAGCCCTCAATGTTGACCTCGCAAACAGCGTGAGTAAAACCTCAAAATCAACCTCATAAGTGAACCACCCGGGGGGTGGGGGTGGGGACACCTGGGATTTTAAAGCAAAACAAAATCCAAAAAAATTCTTGAAAAAAATCATTTTGCTCCAGACTGTTGACAAAAACTAAAATTGACTGACACAAAAATAACATTGTTGCAAGGTGTTGTTCTTAAGGAAATTCAGGCTTGTAAAATATCTGGTTTTGTAGCTGTAGCCCTCTATAGCAACCATTTTAACAGCGTGAGTTAGCCCGCCTATCCTGAATGTTGACCTTTCGTTCAACATAAGTAATAAGGCACTCTGTGTTGATCTCTCGAACAGTGATAGTATATACCGCCGTCTACATTGACTAATTGAACAAGTAAAACTACCTTCATTATTCAGTGTTCCCGTTTACTGGTAATTAGCAGTTTTTTACCGGTAAAATTAGGCTTGGATCGGTAATTCAGGTGACTGCCAGTCCCTTTGAACCGGCAAATAAAGTACCATATAAATCTTTGTTGTTGAACAAAACATTGGCGATATTCATGTAAGTACATTTTTCGAATGAAGTCAGCTTGTCTGTTACTATCAGGGTTTCCCCTTGTCTATTTTTATTGCAAGGAAATAACATTTCGCATTGCTTCGAGGTTAAATATCAATTAGTAGTGACTTCATCTCGAAATATTTAAAAAAAAAGGGAGAAAATTGTGACTGAAGTTAATGTGAATGATGTATAGATCTAATTAAGTTACTTCAGAGATGACATCTTTGCACTGAACATAATGTTGAAAGAATTAAAACCAGGTAATTTTCAAACATTTTTTTATTTGTTGAAATTTGGGACCGGCAGAAATTTGGGGGGGACTGGTAATTATTAGAGCTGCCAGTCCACTAGAACTGTAAGTTTCAAAAGCCAGCGGGAACACTGATTATTATGTATAAGGACCTGTTGACCTCTGTATCGATGCAATGCCGACCTCATGAACAGCATCCGTAAAACTGTCCTCCATTTTGACCATTTTTCATAACTTAAGGAACAGAAGTCAAACTACCTTTTTACTTTGACACTCGCACAGCATGAGCAAAACTGCCTTCTATTATAGACCTTGAACATCATTTGTAACACTGCCCTGTATTTAGAGAACTCGAACAGTATAAGTGGAAAATGTCCTCTGTGTTGACCTCCAAAACAGTGTTCGTAAATCTTGACAACAATATCTGCATGTGCACTTGTTGAAAACTGCATCTGTGTTTGCAAAAGATCACTCTTGATTTCAGGTCCTGACGAAGTTGATAGGATTCTCAGCAGAAGACAGCGTTGTGAGTGTATTTGTGTGTTTGATAGCTTCTCATGTCCTAGTTTAGTCAAAGGTCAAGTTCATCAGCAATTAGGGAGGCTGATTCTGTTTTAGCTTGTTTTCTCAGATGGTGTTTTGTTTTATGAAAGGATTCAAAATGGAAAGTTTATCTTTTGTGAAGCAATATGACAAAAGTTTGTGGTATTATGAGGAGGCATTCAAGGTTCAAAGGTGAAATTTGGTGCGAAAAAGAAACAAACAATTACATTAATTATTGCAGATTAAGAATATTGCTGAAACAGGGAATCATTTTAGATTTGACAGTTTGCTCCAAATATCTATGTAGAAAATGTTTGAATGGTGACAGAAGCTTTAATATGACATTCTACCATGAATTTGGAAATAACTCGATCGATTGGTCAATCAGAGGCTATTAAATCACAATAAATCCCCTCTGATTGAAACAGCTGGTTTGACGGCCGCATCCCTGTGGAAGCTAATATTCATAGAATAGTACTTTTTTCAGTCATTGTCGGTAGGCATATAAAAAATAATTATATCTACAATTACAGGTTACAAAATGCACAGTGGCGGTTACTACAATATTCAAAGGATGTGTGGCAATACAATTAATGCAGAAAATACGTTAGAAATCTACAAAGAGAATGTATTTACGTTTGGAGACAACAGAGCTTGGAATTTGGTGCTTTTCTATATACGACTGTGACGTCATATCTTTTGCATAACAATGAGCGATATGACGTCATAATGGTTACGCGCGGTGTAGAAAGATTGCTTAGTTTTCTTTAGGGATACCTACATCATGTTAGCTTACCAAGTTGGAGTGCTTGTATCATGTGTATGCTTTCAATGCCTGTCATATGTTCGCGTGATGTATTACGGTGTAAACACTGCTTGAGTATATACAGCGCCATATTTTGTTTACTGGCTGTTGTCGGTGATTTCATTATTCACATCGACACCCCACTCAAAAGATTGGACTCAACGCATGACGCTTCACTCAATATATTTGCACCAAAACACAAAAGAGTTTGCTTTTTATTTAGTCATGATCGAATGGAGATAAACATTCTGTGTTTTCAATGTAGAGCTAGGTTACCTGTAGATTTAACCGCGCAAAATTTAGCATTTGAAACCTCACAATTTAGCGGGTTTAAATCTACAGGTAACATAGCTCTACATTGAAAACACAGTATGTTTATCTCCTAATTATAGGAAATTAAACTGTTGACAACATAAGGGAGCACCTTTAGAATACAGTACCACAACTCCATGTGAGGACATTGGCTGTAGTAGGTCACCTGTCACCAAGGAACCAATCTTTTTGAGAATCCTTCGGACGCGATTGTTAGCCGACATCTAACCGACTGAGCGACGTCTACACTGTGAAACAAAGTGCCAATTTACATAGTCATGCCTATGCTGTTTTGGACTGAATGAAAAGGGTCGATTAGGAGATGGACACTTACGAAGGTTACGGGTAGGCATGGTGTCTCGTGACTTTTGTCTTGACGCTTACAGATGATCCCGATGCCATTTGGCAACACCCCTCCATTCCGTAATCAAGAAGATAACGTGTGGTGAGGAATGATCCGATATGGCGCGGACTGAAGACGGCTCCAGGCGTCGGGCGTCAGACATCAGACATCGAACTGACCTTAAGGCATGGTTTTAATAATTCGCCAGGTGATTTGGGGTATTTTTGTGATAGAAAAGTGTGGTAGGGAACACTCTTAAGATAATGTGGATCATAGTAAGGAACAAGGGAGTCATAAGCATGACTTGTGACGCCACAAGGGTGAGTCCGCTTTTGATTCATTACTGAATAAAAGGAAGCAGGCGAAAGTGGTTTGTGTGAATGTTCCAGGACAGTTTCCAGTAGCCAGAATATTTGAAAAGTTTGTGGTACTGTATTTTGAAGGTAGGCCAACATGTGAGCTACAGTGCCATGACGCTATTTGATTCTTTCACCATGGCTACTACTTGCGTCATATTTCAGGTAATGAAACAAAGAGCAAAGAGGGATCCAACAGTCAAAGAAGTGCTAACAGAGGTACAGCGGTATTATCTGTAGATCGATATTAGGTTATTGATTCAGGAATGTTACATCAACGAAATTATGATCATGCATTAAATAAACACTTATGAAATTTCTATTAAAAAGAAAGACAACTTTTTCCCTGCGAAGTAAAACACATGACATTCATGATTTGGGAAAATAGCTCAGGTTAGGTTTTGACATCTTCCCTTTATTTCCCTTTGTTGTGGGATCACAGAAACCTAGCTATCTGTAGAATCTTAGATGCTCGGGGGCACAGGTGGTCCAGTCGTTTAAGGTGCCGCGATTCGTTGTGCTGAGTTGCGTCCCATGGGCACGCCAGAAACCTATAATTATGGGTTCGAATCACGGTTCGCCCTGCTTATGTTTCTTGGTTTGTCAGCACCATTCCCGTGCTTGTGGATTGCACTAAAGTGGTAAACTTCTCAGATTTGCATCACTTTGGGCTTTCCTCCCACATTCAGCTGACACGCCGGAGTATAACTGGAATACTGTTAAAAGCGGCGTTAAACCCAAATCACCCACTCTTAGATGCTCACCATCATGTGACCCATGAAGATCCAGGTTTGAATTGATCTTCAGCAACCGATGCTTGCCATAAGAGGCTACTACTGGGTTTGGGTAGTCTGGCTCAGTGACTCAGTTGATGCATGTCATCGAATCCAAATTGTGTAGATCGATGCTCATGATGTCAATCACTGGATTGTCTGGTACAGACTTGATTATTTACAGACTGCCGGCATATAGCTGGAATATTGCTGAGTGGGGCGTAAAACTACAAACGAACAAAGCTAACTATCACGCTCATCTATGTATTACTGAATGTCTGACAGGGATTGCAGCAGTGTCAGCAGCAACTCACTGATCTTTCCAGTCTGATGAAGATCCAGTTCCAGCCTCACCAGCCCAAACCAGTTCTCTGCCAGATTATTCCAGTTACAACTTGTCATGCCCACTGTCTGTACAATCAAATCATCAACAAAAAATGGATAAAAAGATAATAAAGGTTTTCAAAATGATGTTTCACTGCTGTTTGTGCAATTAGAACAGGCCACCTTTGTACATATCAAACGCACCAATTCACCTCAAGCAATGTCATATGCCACATGGAACACACCTGCATTGCAAGTCTGATGACTGTACCTGAATTTTCATGACAATATGAAAGCAAGAAGGACATCAGATTAGTTATTAAGAACACCACATGTGCATCCAGGACAAAGCACACTGTTTGTTAGTTTAATGCCACACTCTGCAATATTCCAGCTACATAACGGCAGTCTGTAAATAATCAAGCCGGTCCAGACAATCCAGTGATTGACATCATTAGCATCGATATACACAATTGGGATATAATGACATGCATCAACCATGTCAGCGAGAATGTTGTAAATGTTTTTTCCTGCAAGCTTTCATTACAAAATTTATCTGTAAGAACTAGAAGAATATAGCAGATGATATCATTGGAAGAGGTGGTTTTGCTAACATCAGATAAAGCTAAGAAGAACAGAGGAGAGGAGCGTCTTTGAAGATAAGTATTCGTCATAGTTTCTGTAATGAGTTGGGACAAGGGGAACCCACCTGGAAGTACATGTATCTGCTTGTCCCAATTCCTTACAGAATTTTTTATGATAAATTTTGAAGAAGCTGCCTTGACAAGTATAGAAAAGTAGCTAACGCGCTCACCATCCAAGACAGACCAGGACAACGAAGCTATACTGGAGCCCCTCAACTTTCAACACCAAAAAATCAAGTTTACCTTCGAAACGGAAAGCCACCGCAAATTACGCTTCCTCGATATACAACTCGACATTAGTCATGACAACATCCACACTGCCGTATATCATAAACCTACTCACACGGACCGTTACGTTTACTACATGTCAAACCATCATCCACAGGTCAAACAAGCCATACTTGCCACCCTCAACCGACGAAATCTAGCATTTTAAACACACCTTTAATGTATATGCTTATCATCTGTTTGAGAAAAACATTCGTAAACCCCAGGAAACAAAGCAAAAAAGATCCCGATTCCAAGTCAAAACCAGACACACCCATCCCAAACCAAGGCCCTACCATTCACCAGATCAGCAGATGTCTTTCCAAAGCAGCCAACACAGATGTGGCTTTCACCACTGAAAGGACACTTAAAATTATCTTCCACGCCAACGGTAAAGGTCCGACCCTGTCCACCTCCACCACGGGGATGTCTATGACATATCGTGCTACCGCGGAGACATACATTGGAGAGGCTTCACATCCCATAGCCACCAGAATAAAAGAACAAGACCTCCAATATTCAGAACATCTCATAAATCCTTACTTTTTTTCCTGGCAACAATCCAAAATTATCCACACCATCATCTTCACTGGAAAAAGAAGAAACTCCAAGAAACTATAGAAATCCACAGGAACCGAGACCAAGGTACATGTATCTACCTACCTTGCGTGTACTTCAAGCACATCTTCAATCACAAATGGACATCTTGATCTACCCGTGAAGAGCCGGGGTAGAATAGGTCTTCAGCAACCCATGCTTGCCGTAAAAGGCGACTAACGGGATTAGGTGGTCAGGCTCGCTGACTTCGTTGAAAAATGTCATCGATCCCAATTGCGTGGATCGATGCGCATGATATTAATCACTTGATTGTCTGGTCCAGACTCGATTATTTACAGACCGCCGTCATATAGCTGGAATATTGCTGAGTGCGGCGTAAAAAAACAGAACAACCAAACAACAACATCTTGATTATTATTAGTATTACCATGGCCAGCTCCGGGTTATTCCACCCTTCCCAATCACTGCACCCCTGAGTGTTCTTCATTGGCTTGTCTCCTGTTAATCTCATTGGCTCCTAATTACCTTTGTAGACTAATCCTATCTCATGGATTCGTCATTGTATTGTTATCTTTGTTATAAAGGATAGTATTCCTACAGATTAATTTTGTTCCGCCATTAGTTTTGACTTTCCACATACCATTCCCAATTTGCATAGGTTCAAGTTCTGGTAGGGAAAAATATGGCAGCCTCCATAACGTTCTGGTATCGTGTTCTCTGGACAATACATCCTTGAAACTTTGAACATACACTTCTTTTCATGGTCCCGTGAGGCGGATAAGTCGCCAAATGGATAACAAATACTGACACGTGTCTTTAGAGATGAATCACTGGTCTCTAACATGGATAGACTTACCAACCAACCCAGTCCCCCATGCAGTTACCAATATCATCACTAGGACGGCCCCATTCTGGACATCTTCGGCGACAAACTCCACTGCAGCTGCCCAAGGTCTGATCAAGAGTACCGTGGTCTTACGTGCAATCTCATAAAAATCAGATCTACGACTTAGTTCTCTCTACCGCTTAACAAAGATCTGAGAACATCCCCTTACGGGTCACATCAGAACGAACTTTCGCGAACTTTGACCGACCACTGAAATGACTAGCAAGAAGTCGACATCAGCCAATTAAAAAACAGCTTTCTCGAGCTTTACGTCGCTCACCCTGGCGACTTCCATTTCAGACTACACTTGACAAATATGCTGGCACAGTTCTCGATTAACATTTTGAAAACTGAACAAACGAACATTCCGGAATGTCTAATATATGGTTGAAATTGTATGGCATTGCTTCCCATGTACTTTGCAATGCCTCCTCTGTTCAAATGTTTATACAACGGAAGCGAGAGATAGACGATAATTTTGACGGAATCAGTCGTACGGACCGTAACTGTCGTTCGGAATACCCCGTGTTAACGTTTTCGAGGTTGCATGATTAGAAAACACATTCCGACTGTCACTTTCACGATCTTGTAAGCGACGCTTTGATTGGTCGGATGAAAGGTCGTTTTGACGTGACCTGTAATGGGATGTCCTCAGATCTTGGTTTGGCGATAGCGAGAACTAAAATCTGATTTTAATGAGATTGCCTTACGTGAGAGACATTTGCGAAACCATTGGCATGTAAATGTGTTAGATCTCCCAGGTGGCACAAATGTTAATAAGGCAGTTAACTCTGTTGATAAGCCTGATAATTGCTAACTAATCACTCTATTAGAACCAAAACTTCGCGATCAAATGCATCCAGATGTTCAAATATGTCAATTTGTGATCTCCAATCGGAGTTAAAAACACAAAGAGGCAACTAGAATTAGCAGAAGTGAAGAGTCAGGCTGAAGAGGATGCCAAAATTGTTAAGTGACCAAGCATATTGGTTCGTCTACAAGTGGAGGAGGAAATGCTGAAGGCCCGAAGTGGGAGACATTGGACTGCTGGTGGCGGCAGCGTGGAAACGAAAAACAGAGCTGGGAAAGAGCTTTTACGAGGGGGACTGGTTAAAGACAACAAACCAATGTAACCACAGCTATCACTATTACCACTTCACCACAAGCTCAGCCTACTATCCTCACACGCAAAAGAAACGCAAGTGGTTTTAAGCAAATAGGTAACAAACACGGAACCATAAATTGATACGAGTTTTAGCATGTAGTGAAGCCTGATGGTGTTATCAATATTTTTGGTTGCATTTTGGAGGCTCCGAGTAAAAACGCAACATAAAAAACGAATCGCCAAAACGCACCATTTCAATGAATATGTGGGTATCATGCACCCATTTCTCGCGAAATCAAAGATGCGCGAACTGTCACGTATAAAACTGTGGCCGATTCTTGGACCTACCACTCCTTGGTCAACATTGCCACGCCTAACTCAAATTCAGAGAAACCAGGCTACCGGACGTTTGGAAGATGGAGAGTCTGTCCAAGATGTTGCCCGTCATTTCAACGTTAACATAACCACAATTTACCGTCTCCTGCATCGATACAATGCTACACAGACCAAAGATGACCTTCCTCGGAGCGGTCGTCCTAGGGTCACCACACCTCGAAAAGATCGGCAGATTACCCGTCAACACCAGCGACATCCGTTCCTAACTGCAAGTGAAAGTGCCCGACAGACCATAGGAACACATAATCGACACATTAGCCGGGACACTCTGATCCGACGTCTCCGTTCCAACAACCTCAGATGTCGCCGACCAGCACGTCGTCCTGTTCTCCAACCACGGCATCGACAAGCACGACTTCGGTGGACACAGGGTCATCACAATTGGCGTCATCGTGAGTGGAGGCGTGTCATCTTTTTTGTGTCTCCCATACAGACGGAATAGTCAGAATTTGGCGGCGTCGAGGTGATCGTTTCGCTGACAGAAACGTTGTGGAAAGGGATCCATGGGGTGGACCTAGCGTCATGATATGGGCAGGGATTGGACTTAATGCGAGACTTGGACCCACGTGTTCGGGGACACGGCGTCACTGCTCAGCGGCATATCGACCAAGTGATCAGACCCCACGTTGTTCCATTTTTTGCACAACATCAACAACACATTTTCCAGCAGGGCAACGCTCGTCCCCATGTTGCCAGAGCTACCATGGCCTTTCTGCAACAACACAACATCCGTGTTCTGACGTGGCCAGCCCTCAGCCCTGATCTGAACCCCATCGAACACTTGTGGGATGAGGTTCAAAGGCGTCTGCACAATGTGAGCACAGTCCCTACAAACTGCCGATGAACTACGCACAACTGCTCTGGATGAGTGCAGTTTGAAACCGGGTCAAACCGGACAATGTTGTTATCAAGATGGAGAAGCCAGGCAACGATGTTAACCCTACCACGCTGTATTTGTTGGTAATACCATTGTTACAAACCTTAATTTAAAACTTGCTCTTAATGTAAAAAAAATACAAATTTACATAAAGAGTATTTTTTATACATTAAGGGTTAATATTGTACATATCGCCCCTTATTGAAAAGATTCTTATAAATAAAGTTTGATTGGCAATATAGGGTACTTTTTGCTATTTTCACGTCTTTTATTGATTTTGATAGGTTTCTTGTAATTATTCGTAATGAGAGACAGCGTGAGAAACTGACTTATCTCAGACCTGAGAACAAGATGGGCTATTATAAGAATGGCAGGCTCGTTATTGAGGACATACTAACTATACTACTACTCTGG